CGTAGTCGTGTTTTATCCTAGATTAATATCAATTAATTAAAAAAACAGAAAACCAGGTGGTACTCCAAAAAAACCTATTACTCATTACATGTTTCAACCGCTATCAACTATTTTCAAAAACAATTTTTAAAAGACTCTCCCTCGAAAGACAAAATTTGGTTTATTAAATCTTTCTAAGAATTTCTTAAACATAGTTTTAGTGATTGTTTTTTAGTTGGTTGTTTAGTTGGATTATAAGTACTCCTGAATAAGAATTGGTTGCCAATTTATTCTTTTCTTAAATCCATAATAATATTTCTGCCTTCTCTCTCTTTTGTTAAAGAGTCCCAGTTGGCCATGACTTTCAGTTGAAGCAATAAGCAAAACAAGGTTTATGTGAAATCCTGACGTTGGACGTAGTCTCGTTTTATCCTAGATTAATATCAATTAATTAAGAAAAAAGCAATCCAGGTGGTACTTCAAAAAAACCTACTACTCATTACATGTTTCAACCGCTATCAACTATTTTCAAAAACAATTTTTAAAAGACTCTCCCTCAAAATAAACAAAATTTGGTTTAGTTTCTAAGAATTTCTTAAACATAGTTTTAGTGATTGAAACAGATTTTCGATTTTCGACATGGTTTTCGTTCATCCATTTAAAACCAATCCACTGTGTGACGTCATTTCTGCAATGAACGATACTTTGTTCTATGCTCAGTTTTTAACGAATGTACCTACTAATACTTTGTGTATCTGGAAATATGTCATTATTTATTAGTTAAAAGTCATTTAAAGTACAAACTACGTATGTTATCTCGTGTCAAACAACATAAAGTGTAGAGCTGATAAATGGGATATAACCTATAAAGGGGAATGAAAATATAATCGAAAAAACAACTTGAAGTTGACACCTTTGTTGAGCGCTGAAAACTTTTAACTAGTTATATATGCTGGCTTTAAAAACTTTCGTATCGAAACTTTACTGATGTTGGTATTTAAAAGTTGATCTGATTTGGGTTGATTTTAATACTCTAAGTACTTTATTTAGTAAGAATATAATTTACACTATTTTATCTTAACTTTGAAACAAGTGTGTATTATTATTGATACCATTATAATTATTATTATCCATAAGTAAAGACAGTTTCGTTAATTCATTAACAAGTATGAAATCAATTACAAATCATTCAAATAAAATAGGTGGATTGGATGCTCGTAGTCTCATAGCGATTAATATATTTATATATTTTATTGAACTGAGGTGGCTTTTACTTAATGAAAATCCATTTATCAAAATAAATAAGAACTAAAAGTTCAGATTTTCACGAAATTATATATTATTATTATTACATTTGATAAAGACACGGTGTTGTCGAAACAATTTTCATGTCATAATATATAATTTCGTGAAAATCTGAACTTTTAGTTCTTATTTATTTTGATATATTTTATTTATATACAGTGTGTCCCACTTAAGAAATGTACACCCTTGTAAAATCTTTGAAATTCAATTTTGATAATTTTTTTTTGTTGGATAGGTCTTTGAAAAATGCACTAAACCATTGTTTTTATAATATTTCAATACAGGGTGTTTGAAATATCGTTCCGCTTAACGCTCTGCATCGTTGTAAAATCTTTGATTACGGTTTGATTTTGATAATTTTTTTTATTGGAAATACGTACTAAAATCTTGTTTCCTTATTACATCAACCTGAAGTCATGGCTAAATGGGAGTAATTTTTTATGTCAAATATCGAGAAGGGCTATTAGGGATTCCTTTAACTTCATAAAACCTAACTAAACTAATTTCCGTGAAGTTCTCTTGTATATTTTCTAATTTCTGCGTAGATACTGAGAGGTTTAGTCTTTACGCATCGATTTGTGACCGCAATTATTGTGTTTCACGAATACAAATCTGTTGTCATTTTCAATTTGAAAAGATCGCTAAAGCACTTCTCGATTTTCCGCTTTGAGCAATAAACAAACATTCTACAGGAGTAATGCTAAAGCGAACTTCTTGGAAAATAGTATAGTCATGTTTAATGTAGTCTTGAATAAAAATTTGTTAATACTTTGTTCTATTAGAAATCCCTAATAGCCCTTCTCCATATTGGACATTAAAAATTTGCTCCATTTGACCTTTAGGTTGATGTAAAAAGAAACATAAGGTTTTAGTGCGTTTTTGAGACATCTATGCGACAAAAAAAAAGTTATCAAAATCAAAGATTTTACAACGATGTACAGCCTTAAGCGGGACGGAAAAGATATTTAAAATACCCTCTATTGAAACATTATAAAAATTGATATAGTTGAGTTATAAGTACTCTTGAATAAGAATTGGTTGCCAATTTATTTATTTTTTAATCCATAATAGCATTTCTCAGTTGACCATGACCTTCAGTTGATGCAATAAGCAAAACAAGGTTTATGTGCATTTTTCAACAAAAAAAAAATCAAAATCGATGCATAAACAAAAGATTTCATATATATATATCTCTTAAAATAGCAAAAATATCTCAAAAACCAAAATCGATCCTGATCATTGAAAAAAACATCGACTATAAATATCTATGTCAAAACTGAACCAAAGACAGCGAATTAAAAAGAAGTAAATTATGGAAGTCCCCAAAGTTATTTAAAAAGGAAAAACTAATACCCGTCATAATCAGGCGCTTTAAGTGAAAACATCTGTTTCGATTTAGTAATACTTTAGTTGGTTCGAAGCATATAGCTGCTAGATACATACAGGTCATGATTATGCAGATAATACAGGAAATTGTGAATCGACAATGAAAAAAAAATATTGCGGTGAGCCATTTAATATGCTCATGTGCGGTCATTTGAAATTTAGAAGCATGCGCGGAAGGTCATTCCCAACTTTACTAAAATGTCATACCCGCCCGAGACGCGTCAGTTTTTACAGCATTAGTACCATTATAATATCTAATGGATTTGTGATTCCAAATATACCTTAAATGTCACATATTGGTGTGAATAGGTTTTACAATTGTTTTATTAACTTCAGCCTCAATCTACAGTTTACATTATTGGAGCAATTGCAAAGACAAACGATTATTTAACGCCCCTTTATCTAAAGTAACAAGCAATTCATCACACTTATGGTGGGACGAATTAAACATTACAACTTGAGAATGACAAATTTCTGTTCAACGAGCCAATAAACAATACCAATAAATTTCCGTTCCCCAAAGAATCGTAATTAGAATCACGCGATAGCACTATTTGGTTAGCGTTGTTCCCCGCCATATAATTAAGTCAAGTGCATAACCGGACAGCCTATAATTGAGAAAGTTTTCAATCGAACGTCCCATTTCTGGAAATAAATTACGTGCTATTTTTTATGGGTTTTTAATTAACCACCTCACTTGCGATGGCAACGATTCCCACGCCCTTCCTATATAATTAAATAGAGTGTTTAAACCTTTAAAGAGGTTGATTAAGATCCAAATTTGATCTCAGAAATTACTCATTTGGTACTTGGTTGAGGAAACTGTAGCATTACGACAATGTACGTCAGCACGGAATTTACGAAACTTAGCATCAGCTTGTGGTCTATGTCAAAGAAGCCACCCGCGGAAAACCTCGGCCTGTCGGGACCTAGTTTCTCAGCCATGACGGTGAGCTGTTCCACCATGACGCCGTCGTGAACGGATTTGGGGCGTTGGGAAGTCGAAATCAGAATTTTGTAGCAAATTTTCGATGCTCTTATCATTTCTCGGTGTATGGTTTCGCAGAAGTGAGCGATCAAAAAGACAAAATACTAAAAAGGTAATAAATGTCACATATTAATGTTTTATTTATTTCTGGCGACACAATTTACTGTAGGTTAAACTGTAGAACTGCTCTTACCAACATGTCTGCAGTTATACCTCATATATTTGATAGACACACCACTTGATTTTTATGTTATAGCCCACAAAAATCATTACGTTATATTTTCGAAATATAGCACTTAGGAACGGATTTCAATACTCACTATGAAAATGAATCCCGATGTTGCGTAAATAAAGTTTGTCATCTTGGTTTGTCGAGCGTTTCCCTTTAACAACCCGAGGATAACGTAATAGAATGCGATAGTGGCTCCAGCATAAGAAGAAACTATCACTAAAAATACCTGCGTTCCGAAAACGTCACCAATATCCACGAAAATGTCGGAAAGAGTTTGATAAATTTTGTGATATTCGAATGCGATCGTGCTATAACCCAGCACTAGCCCTTCGGTACATTTTTGGAAAGGCTCGAATTGGAAAAAATGTTTGTTACACAGCCGAAGCATGTTTCGAACGAGCCATAGCTCCATGAGCAAGTGGACGCTGAATATCATAATCTGAAACCAATAGTAGAAGAGGCAAACGTCTTGCAGTATGTTCCTGATTGGAGTTTTGTCAGCGTTAAAATACTGGAATAAGAGTCGCGTTGTGAAAACGACCACCAAAGGCAAGCACCACAAAATCAATTTTAAACTCTCGTAGGCGGGATATTTCTTAAATCGACGAATCAGCAACGTTTCCGTCTCCGCCAGGGCGACCACCAATCGTCTGTACCTCGATTTCTTGTAAAACGCCACGATTATCTTGAATGAGATACTAGCCACCATCATCACGTAAGCCATGGCCGCGTAAACCACTTGTATGGCGATGGATGATCGATTGTTTTGCAATACTCCCAGCTTGAGCCAAGTAATCAACCCACCTATCTCTACGGCGATGACAAATTTACTGAGAACCGAGTGCGTGTGAGCACATAATCCACCACCATCCATTTCGTAGAAATTTAGGATGGATAGAATCGATTTGAGTGATTTGAAGAATTTCATGTCCCTAGGCAAGGAAGTTTTGCTTTTACTCATGATTTGAGCTGGCGTCGCACTGCTCGTCAATAATGGATAAAAGCACCGAGCCAGGTAGAAGCAATTTCGTTTATATATTATATTAAAATTGTTGGTAGACGTCGGCTTGATTGATGATCATCAATAATAAATAATAAAATAGAGGCGATGTTGTATTTTTATTGAGAGTTATCGAAAATTACAACAAAATAACAATGTCCGCCTCAATACGTCGTGAACGGTCTTTGCATGTAAGTGTCGAAGAGGTTCTGCCATGCCAGGAATTGCTCAGCCTTCGGGGTGTTTTCTATCTTGAGCGTGTCGTTAATGTTCAGATATTGGTAGGAGTCTGGAGCTACCTGAGGCCAGATGAGGTTCTGCAGGAGTTCTAATTTTGCCGGAGTGGGGTTCCTATCGATAAAACAATATCAAAATGATGAACGACATACTGAAAATCAAATCAAGTACAATTTTTTTATGAAGTCGGTCCACATCTGGATCATCCTGTTGTGGGTTAGAGCGTCGCCGGAATCTAGATCTCCAACTGCCCCTGGGGTGGACAGATAATTCTGCTCCTCGCCGTGGCTAACTCTGTCCGCCTCTGAAATTGAGACAAAATCAAACCATGCGATATTTCTTGGAATGATCTGTCCCCAACGATTTTTGCGCGACAAAACCTGGCTCTGAGGAAGCCGCCGATTGTTGACGGTTACGACAGAGCTGAGACTTTTTAAATGTGATCTTTTACGCAATATTAAGAAGCGAGTCTATGGCCTTGTAATATCGAAAACATATTCCTTGTTTACTATTAAAATCATTTAATTTCCAAAGAAACTGTAACACTATTTACAAACAAACAAAACAAAACGAAGCAGAAAACTGGAAGATCACCGACTGAAACTGTTATGATTACTCTGTACGCTGACCTTTTTGTTGCGTTGAACAGACCGTTAGCGTTGTCTCTAATTATCTTAAAATATATAAATATAAATATGTAAATATAAAAAACCTCATCCACTTATAAAAATTTTTGTAAATCTAGTTTTGCTTTACTTCGAGAAAGAATTCATCATACTCGTAAAGAAGTAGACCAAATCAACATCTACATCTTGAAATTGCTTCTATCTTGTCCCCATCCAAGTTCGATACCCTTTCAAAAGTCAACATTAGTGAAACCATCAAACTCTTCTCAACTGTGGTAAATGTAGAATAGCACCAACTTTCTGACACGGAAAAATCAGTTCTTGCAAAAGGCTCCAACTTCGTCATTGCCCCACGTATTTTCCCAAAAGAGGAAATCAAGAGGAAACAAACTGCCATCTCAAGCAGCTAATGATATTGGATTTGAAACTGCAAAATTCCCCAAATATTCCAAAGCCTGAAGGCATCGCTCTAAAAGCTCTAACATCTAATCCCGACATCGTAATTCTACAAGCAGATACAGGAAATGCTACGATGGGCATGAACACAAATAAATATCATGGGACTATTCAAGATATTCTTACAGATGGATCATATCGCCAACTTAAAAAAAAGATCCTACATCATCTATGGAAGGCGACCTTAAATCTGTTATTAAAACTTGTTCTCTATCAGAACCAGGATAAACCAACATATTCTTTAGAAAAATATCTAGCTTCTATATTAAAACCATTTACACAGAAAACTCATGATTACATTAGTTAATAAATACCCTATTCCTGAATGTCTCAACATATATTGTCTCAACAGATATATTAAAATCCGGGAATCTGAAATCAAACTTTCTCATCTTATTTGAAAAATGCTTGTCTGGAACATATTTTCCTTATAACGGTCAAAATTTTGAACAAGCTTCGGGAACATCTATGGTTTCCCCATTATGACCAGTCATCGCAAATATATTTCAGAAGAAAATTCTCGACACCTTCCATCTAAAACCAAAATTATGAAAATGCTACGTTGATATTTTTGTTATCTGGTTATGGTCAAGAATCCGTACTAGATTTTATCAGCCATTTAAACTCTAACATACGTTTATGTTTAAAGAAAACATACACACACGGACCTTATTGCATTGTCACAACACCATCTGGCCTAAAAATCATCGGTTATCAACTCTCTTATTTACAGAGTCATAAATTATCTCTTAAAACATCTTACATATTATTTCCACATTAAAGATATAAAAATACGCTTCAAAAAGAATCGAAAGCGACTCCGCACTTGCCACTGTTGTCCTCCTTTCTTAAGTAATATAAACTCATAACCAGATTTACCACTTATCCAAAAATCTCTTCGATCTTCGATCCGTCAAAGACAAAATTCCGCTAGAGATACCGGCAAAGAATACATTGGAGAGACTGGACGAAAAATATTAAGACTAAGGCAAATAAACTCATCGATAGTTGCTGAACACAATCACTAAACCGGAAGTAAAATCTTATTCGATAAAACTAAAATTCTTGGATGTGATCAATTCTTCCATAGAGAGAATCCATAGAAATCTATAAGCGACCAAACAATCTTAACCGCGACTCAGTTGCCAATATGGGAATCAGTCATCCGAGACAATGTTCACACCCTTCCTTTAGCTCCGCCCACTCAAACAATATATACGCAAGTACAGAGTAGAATGTGAGCCAGTTTCAGTTAACATCTGAAGAAGCCAACAGGATGATTGTCGAAACGTCAGCAAGTTCGATTCAACAACAACCGACACAGCAGGAATCCAAAAGTTTTGTAAATAGAGTAATATCATTTCTCACGTACAGACGTGAGAGAATAGTGGTTGAAATAAATAGTTAACATCTTTAAAAAGTATTGAAGGCATTGATCAGTGAAAGGGGTTGGGCCTTTTGTTCTTTAAAATTTTTAATATAAAAATTGCTTGTGGTATGTCAATCGTTGAGCCATTGTAGTTATCATCACTGTGCTGATAACATTCAGCTGTCCTTAACAAAATGATTTGCTAAAATTTATGTAATATCCATTGATCTTTCTCCGAACTTGAATCCCATAAAACTTATTCTGTGCCAAAAATATTACCAATGATTTAAAGCTAGAGCTGCATGGGCTTAATATTCCTTTGGAATGATCAGATATCACAATAAATTTTAGTAAGCATGTAAAAAGTTGCCCAAGAAAAGGTTATTCAGTGCTTAGATCTCTTTATCCACATCACTACATTCTTAACCAAAATACAAGGGAGTTAGTATGTGGTTCGTTAATATTTTCTCACTTTGGTTATTGCGAAAACGTTTATGGCCCCTTTCTCGATTGTGTGGATAAAAAAAAAAGTATATAAAATGCGAAACTCTTCGGTATACGACGTCAAAGTGTTTAAGTGCTCCCATATCTTTATAAAAAACTTCACTTGCGAGTCTAACTTCATAGTCATTTTTTTTTATTAAATACTCTTTAATAAATAATTATAATTATTATATATAACATTATAAATAGGTTGGTGGTGATGGTTAAATGCCACAAAAAGTAATAAAAAGCTTGCCCTTTCCTAATAACTTACTAGACAAAAACACAAAAACCAACAAATTTTAAAAAGTTTTAAATTTTAAGTTTAGAAAAAAAATCTGTATCACAAGTACTTAATTTGTGCACAGCCTCTTGTCTCTTTTTTTATCTTATTTTTCTTCTACTGATTTTGTTATAAATTTTTAGATTTTTTTATACTGTTGTATAGAAATTGAAGCATCTCTTGTCATCACCTGTCTTGTTAATTGTTTTTATTATCAAGATTTTATACTTGATCATTTAATATCAAATTAACCAATTTCCAATTAACCAAAAACGTCTGCTAGATACAATGTCATGGTCGGACTCATCGAGAACAACGAAAAAAAAACGATCGCTTACCAGCTATGGTAAGATTGAATCCTCCGATGACGCCATCGTAGGAAAATTGATAAAAGTAAACGGGGCTGTAATTGGACATCAAAAGACCCTGCTTGATCACGCCTCTCGTGAATCTGTTGTCGCTCTCCCACTAAAAATATGCAGCGTATAAAACTAGTGATCCTGCCGCGATTCAAACATTACCTTGACATATTTGCCCAAATGGTCCGCCAGTTTTGCGTCTCCCGCGTAAGCCTTGTAAATGATGTCGGCAGCTTCGTTCTTATCCACTCCGCTCTTCAAGTGGTAAGTATCCGGCAACACTTTCGAAGGATCGGCGTCGCGTTGCGCCGCCGATTTGGCAACGCTGTCCAGGTCTGAAATGATGGTTATTCTTTCCTCGGAGTTGACGCCAAGAATGAGGGGAACTTTGGTATAATCTCCACTTTCGAACGACTCGTACATCGGTTTTGTGATGAAAGCCCCGTCGTGTTCCGGCTCGGTGAATATCACAGGCTGAAAGTGGTGATCAATGAAGGAACCAATTACGAGGGTCGCTTAAAAAGTTCCCGACTTTGCCCTAAAGATGGCGGCAGCAGTTGCTTAGTTTTGGTTACCAAAGATTCGACCATTTTGGACGCGTGATTTTTGAGAGTCGTTTGAGTGAGTTGATGTGAATGTTTTCGTGAAAATGAAAAAAAGTGAGTACAGAGTGTGACTCTGTACCGTCATTTTCCACAGTGATATTTTGGGCAGTTGGGAGATGATGGACGTTCGGGACGTCCAAAACTAGTGACGATAATATTGCATCAAATTAAACTACCAAATGAGAGATAACAGAAGTTACGAAAATGTTCGAAGAAAATGTTTGTCATCTTTTACATCTAGATCTAGATCTAGACCCAAGAAAGCTGTCCGCGCGTTGGGTGCCGCCTTTAGACCTGTTAGAGCAGCTTAGGCGCAATAAATTCGAGTTTTGGCGCCAACTAATTGCTGTAGATGAAACTTGGATACACCATTATAAGCCCGAATTAAAAATACAATCACAACAGTGGACTGCGAAGGAGGAACTGACTCCGAAAAAAATAAAAAACTGTTTTTTGGGATAGCCATGAAGTCATCTTAACCGATTACTTTCAAAAAGGAAAAACCATTACAGGAACACACTACGCATCATTACTTGATAACCTTAGGACAGAAATTGCAAAAAAACTGACACATTTACAAAAAAATCCTATTTCGGCAAGACAACGCGCTGTATTATACCACAGCGGTGACGAAAATCCACGAATTTCGGTTTGAACTGCTTGATCATCCGCCTTACTTCCCAGATCTAGCCCCAAGTGACTTTTTTGTCGGAAACTTTTCCGGTGATGCTCCTAGCTACTAGATATGTAGGAGGTCGGGCCTATATTGATAGTACGGGCACTTTTGAAGTTCACATCAAAAAAAGTTGCAAATGGACATTAAATATGAGCATGGGAGAAGAATTTAAAAACTTGTTTTCACCCAATAAGATCTTAAGAAAAATTAAATATCATGCCGATCTTAGAAATAAAAAAATATATAATCAGAAGTAATTTATCTTTTTATATCGATGGCTATAAGCCACAATTCTATTATTTTTGTCAAATTCTCCTTCCATTTAAAAGTTTTATATCCAAATATTAGTTGAATTCAGTTGATTAGTAATTTCTCTTATTCATAATCTGCTTTCTTTAGGTAATAATTTATTTAGTGGTTATTTATTATTTCCAAATACTCTAAAAATAACTGCAATACTTTGTTATTGGTTATATAAAATTGAAAAAGCTCTAACCCAACCTTTCTCAAAACTGATATTTACCCCAACGTGGCGTGGCGTTAGCATAAAAAATAAACGTCTTATTCGAGTGGCAGCGTCTCGTCAGTCGCCGGCAGAACTTGTGAAATGCATTTTTACTATAACACATTTTATGGCGAATCATTAATAAGCTTACACTCATAAAGCTTTTCATTTGTTGGAAATTTATTTTTATATTTGTATTATTTCCAACAAAATTTCATATTAGGTAATTTAACAATTACTATCTTGCATTATGGACAGTAATCTGTGTGTACATTTGGCATAATGCTAAAACTTCAACAAATAGCTGTACACTGTAATATTTTTGTATTTTGTATTTGTATTTAATATTGATTGCATAAGTACATAAACTTATCAAGTATTTTGGTACGTCCTGACAACTTTTTAATAATATACAATAACAAGATATATTTTCTCTTTGATATTTGCTTTTTTATAAAGTATTTATGGATTGAATTTTTGAAAAATATCATCAAATAGGTGTAACACAATGAAATGTTGAATAATCTGTTTTTAAATTTTTTCCAATTTTGTGTTAAACACACTTATCTATTTTCTATGACCTTATGAGATAAGAAGAAATCAGTGGACATCCGCTACATTTATTTGAGACACCCGATACAATCATCTAGAAGCAAATATGCGTTTTTTGGTAGAAAACTATTTTTTTCTTATATTTAGATTAATTTTTATGTGATTTTATAAAATTATAAAAATAGTACGTGTAAAATTCTGTTGCTTTAGTAAAAAATAACATGCTTACTCGTGTTTTAATGATGGCCTGAGCATTGTCGATGGCTTTGGCGTCCACGCTTTGTAAGAAATCCAAGAGCTGGGCGCTAGTTAGATCCGACGGGATCGAGCTATTTATAGTTTGAGCTAATTCAAAGGCGTAGTCCAATGGATCTTCTAGATAGGTCCAGGTGTTCAATGGCGAGCCGCTTTCAGCTATGCCTGCCCGGAAAAGACCTAAACACCACATTAATGTTTTATGTTAATTATTAATATTTTAGGAACTTGTAATTTTACATCGTCATTATAAAATACCTATAAAATGCAGCCATAGCAATTTTCGTATATTTCTTAATAGAGACTTTTAGTTATTTAGTTATTTTTTGGAAACGATTTTTGCTATAATTGCATTATCGATTTTTTCATAAATCTGACAACTCTTCTAATCTCCAGAAAGCTGACAGTACAATAAAATAAACTACTGGAATATTATTGTCTTACAAAATATTTACTAGTCTATTTTATCCCATAATGAATGAAGTTAATGATGAATAACATTTCTTAATTTTGAAACAAATAGGAAAATAAAAAAAAATCTAATGCTGTTTCTAAAAAATCGCTTCTAATAGAGCTAAATCTAAGAGAAATGGACTTAGAAATGATAAATAGAATAATTGAAACATTAAGAATTGAACAATGAAGAATGATGGTCTTTTATGATAAGAGCTGATAACCCAAACATGTTGTTTGCTAACAATTTGGGCACATTAGCACAAGGGGCTGTATACTTTTTACAAATGCTCTGGATTCCTCTTCCAGAAGATTTGTAAATAACTCATTTAATATTGGAATGTGTCAATTATTTGAATGACATTCGACATCCACATTTGAATTTGAAATAGAGCGTGAAGACTCCAAAAGCAATTAAAAAAGTTGTTTCCGAGGATATTTCAAAATTTATGAAAAAATTATTATTAAATAATATTTTGAACGAAGGGTACCCGACAAACTTCAAATTTTATTTGCGCGAGAAACAAACGACACAAAAATTATTAAATACCTCTAGATTTGGGGCTCAAAAGATGATAGCCGACGGATGCTCCTCCAGCGCTTTGGCCCATGATAGTGATCCGATCACGGTCACCGCCGAAGAGATGGATATTGTCGTAGGTCCACTGCAGGGCAAGGTTTTGGTCTTTGAGGCCGGCATTTCCCGGAACGACTGTATCTCCGGTAGCGAGGAACCCAAATGCTGCTATCCGATAGTTGTGCGAAACCAGCACTATGTCATTGTCGATCCAGTATCGTGGTGAAATTCCTGCCTTTCCGTTTCTGAATCCTCCTCCATAAATGCTGAACACTACCGGCAACTTGGTCGTATTTTGATCCTAAATTATAAACACGTATCCTTCTATTTTAAGCATATATTTAAGCCCAAGATGAGACGATCGGGGTTCGCGTTCGAAAAAAGTTCAAATTTGAAGTCGTGCAGGTTATCACCTACGGATTTTGAAAAGTTTGCATTTTAATTGAAAGTATCTATCTTTTCTATGTATATTTTCTTAAAAATTTTTGTTAAAGACCGATTTCTAAAACATGTATTAATCGAGATTTCACTCAAAGTTTCTCTATCAGAATTGTCACAAAACCACAACACAAAGTCCACAACATCTCTCAGATGAACCTTGTTCTGGAGTCAGTGCGACTAGAACGGGTATAATTTAAAGTTTGACAGATGGTAAGTGGTCGTGATATCTTCTTGACAGGTACTTTATAATGGTATAGTATTGCTTTGTATTTTCTATGTGCAATGTTTTTCGGGCATTTTATACTCACAGCGTTAAGGATGGGAGTGAAAACGTTCAAATATAAACAATCTTCATTTTCTTCAGGTGCATCCGAATCCATATTGTAACAGTAATCACTGTAAGCTTTGGTCTCTAGCGTTCCGGACCAATTTTTCGCTGGCTGGGGAGCCTAGCAAAATTTTGTATTATACAATACGGAGCTAGCACAGAATTACATTTTTAGGGCAATTCTTAAACGCAAACAACAGATAAACAATTCATTGTCCTGTAAAATAAAAATATGTTACCAAGAGTGCTGTTTGATTAGCTCTAATATTTATCCAACCCATATCAAAATTGCATTTTAATTCATTTAAGAGTTTTATGAAACAGGACAAGTATTTTGTTAGTAGCAATTAGTTTTCGACAGCAGTAAACATAATACATACCTGGAAACGAAGATTTCCAACGGGAGGTTGAGCAAAAGGAATACCTTGGTAAGCATTGTATACTTTTTTCGTATACGTGGTTTGTTGGAACCCTTCAATTTTTCCATTCGGAAGATCGACAACTAACTGGCACTCCTACCAAGCGATTACATTAAAATAAGTATCTGCTTAAGTAATAAAAATAAATAAGAACTAAAAGTTCAGATCTTCACGAAATTATATATTATGACATGACAATTGTTTCGACAACACCGTGTCTTTATGTGTTGTCGAAACAATTGTCATGTCATAATATATAACTTCGTGAAAATCTGAACTTTTAGTTCTTATTTATTTTGATAAATGGATTTTCATCAAGTAAAAGCCACCTCAGTTCAATTTAAGTAATAAACTTTTTTGACTCCAACCCCCAGTTTGTGATTCAAAGCAGAAAGGAATTGTTGAAAAAGAATAACATCTTAATAACGTTTCTCTGCATAACTCCAGCAAGAATTTTTCCATTATACAAGTCGGTCCTATATAGGAAATCTTTTTATTCTTAATTTTACGCAAACAATTCATTCTTCATAACAAGTTCTGCATGGTCTAAATCTTGAAACACCAACCATCAGATAATTAATTAATATATAAGCTCATATATTTAGTAAAGTACAAAACTAAAGCTTCCGCTAAGAGGTTTTCCCCAAACTTCGACTTGGCACCAACTGTTTTAGTTAAAGTCGCAGATTTATAAGAAAGGAATGCAATTTTGACAATATGGACATTTGGTACTGCAATATTACTTGGAATTTAAAGTCCGCAAAGAAACCTAGAACAGAATTTGATTCAATGCAGATTTCAGAAGGATACATTCTCTTCAACTTAAATGAAACACAAACAATTTTTTTTAACTACGACCCTCTAACATTCAACAATGAGAAATTATTGTTTAGGAGTTCATTAGAGTTTCTCAGTCATTTATAACTTGCTTATAATTGGGGGGCGACTATACAACGTGCCAATCAAAATGACTGCATAAAAAAATTGAATGCTTACCGCATATGAGATTGCGGCCAACAGCAACCCTGCCCCCAAAAGTCCCATCATTACGACAACCACCACAATAAAATGTTATCAATTTTTTGGGTCTACAATTTAAACCAATTTTTCCCATTTACGTCTTTTCTGATAACAGCGTAATCAGATTTTTCAAAACGACACGTTTCCTAAGTGTCCACTCCACCAAATTTGTGATATCGCATTTAGTTTCAAATGAATCTAAAATAATCTTTCCAGAGCATGACCGATCACTCGTTCTAAATGTTTTTATAGATTTTACTTTTAGAAATTAATTCTAAAGTTTCTAAAGTTTAATGAGTTTGATATTGCTTATCACTCATAATTATTAATAATCAAAATAAATCTGAAACCCAATTTAAGACCCAGAGACAAATAAGTCAATATGTTGCGAAATAATCAATTTTTTTCCGGAGCAAATCGATCCTTAAGATTCGATTTGATTGATTATTTAAAAAATGAGTTTCTTATCAATTTGATTCAACAAATGTAACAATATTTAATGGCAGAAAACAGTTTTTATTTTAAGAGGTAATGAACAGCGTTAGGTGCAAAGTATTAGTTAATTAACACCGATTTAACTGAGTATACCTTTATGTGTTATATTTCCTACCCTCTACATAATCCAAAAAAAAAACTGGAAAACTCGAAAGACTGAAAACTAGGATATAGCAGCCGTTGCGTACTGGATTAATATTTCTTATCTGCGCTTATCTAGCTTAATTAGTTTGGATGATTTTCTGAAAAGTAGATTAACTGGCCTTAACCTCCACTTCGATAGAAGGAACTCTGGGTCTATAACTTTTAATTCATGCATTTTTTTTTTTCGAAATTGTAGAGCAGTTATTCTCAAAAGTTGTCTTTCTTCTTCGAATTGTTAATAGCAACTGAAATTCTGTGAAAATCGTTTACCATATATCAAATCATATATCAAATATAAATTATTCACTGTTACTGAAATACTGTTACAGAAGTTATAGTATTTAAAATCATTATTACATATCAAAACATGAAAGTTTTATTGGATCTGCCACAAAAAAAAACTGGAAAACTCCAAAGACTTAAAAAAACAATTGAATAAATATTTTGACATTGACAAGTGAAAGTAATCTAACATGACCTGACACTCTCGAATGATGTATTCACACACAACTTTTCAATAATAATTATTATTATTTTTATTAAATTGAATTGTCATTAAAAATGGATTTATTAATTTTTTTGCAATGTTTTCAAAATTCGTATGAGAACAGAACGGAAAACACCTTTGTTCTGCTGTCATTTTGAGATATTGTTTTTATGTCAAAAATTACAAGTTTTAATTATATAGATGCCTGCCAAATTTCACCGTGGCACATACAAGGGTACAGAAAATAAATTGTACTGTATACCTTTCTAGGTGTATTCATCCTATGACTTAACTAATGGTCTTTTTTACTGTGCATCAGTTTTTTAAACTAACCAAAATTGAAAATTTGGGCTAAATAAAACAACTCAAAACCCTAAACTGTTTTATTTAAAAATATATTATTACAATGAACCCAAGTATCGCATACCCAAGGCATACCCAACGTTCATACTCATATAAACATATTTTGTAACAGTTTCTAACCCTATATAAAAATTGCTATAGGTCAATTGGGCAATATCAGAACACAAATTACCAAATAAGAGTATAACTAGAAATATATTTTTTTTAATTGCTTTCTCAAACAAATAAACCAACTGTTAAGTGTCATTTATTAATAAAAAGAAAAACCAAAAATCATTTTCGCAGGCGCACTCAAATCGCAGTCTTAAAAACATTCTTCGAATGGCACTTTACTAGCACATCTGCGACTCGTTATCTTCGGGAGGTGCCGATTCCTACAATAAATATACACTTTTGATTATTTTTGAATCACCATTTTGGAAAAGGCTTATTTAATAATTTCCCTAGTTCTAATTTATCATTACTAACCCGATTACTGTCAAGATGAGATCTGTGGGGCACAAATGGGTTGAGAACTTGAGATGGCAAGGGAGGTATCGCACCAAGCTCACTAAAATGAGACAGCTGCTCAGTTAATTCAATAGTCCCCTGTTCAACAACTGTCAAAATCGCCCACATAGGATCTGAAATTCATGTGTAAATAAGTGACATTAAAACAGCCACACACTGTAATGCAAACCTCCAAAATAAGAACCATTGAGGGTGCAGGCTCTCCATTTGCTTTGATAAATACCTGGCACAGGCGGACTGGTCATTTCAATCTTCAAATAGGTAGCTTGCCCTGGTGCCAGGCAAGGCAAGGGAATTCTCCCGCCTCCAAAGCTATCACCATCAGAACACTGAACATAACAACCAACTGGCCATGGTTCTGATCCACTATTACATATATACCAGAACTTCTGGAATCTATAAAGATAAATATTTAAAAGGGCCTAATTGCAAATTAGTGAACTAATATACTTTGTATTGGGCTCAATACTCCCAGTTTCAGTGGCCACTGGATCCGATATTAATGACAATGAAGGTAGCTGGTTGGGAGATTCAATATCTAGGTAAGAGCAGATTGCAGCTTGCAGGTTCCTATAATTAACGACATTTCACAACACACCTACAGTTTAGTTTGATGTTTCTTTGTTTGTAGCTTGTTCCTTTTATCAAATTGTAATGTACAGTGAAACAAAGAGCTGCTAGTGTCAATGGCCTGTTGCATCCTTACCAATTATTCATGTCTAAAAAGAATGCAGCAGTAGAGTAGTTAAGATGTGTAGGACTCCCCAATAATTTCTGCAACTGCTGGACCAGCTCATCTTTGTCAGTGGTACCCATGCAGCTGAACTGTTGCAGAAGGGACTGCTCAATGTCGAACGCGCCGCCTCCGCTGGAAGAGTCGTTGTCCACATTCATCTTCTGCGAGATTTGTTAGAAACAAGCAGGCTGACAGGTACAAGAATAGTACACTAAACGTGTGGATTTCCGTTATATTCAACAAGAAACCGTGGTTGTTGCTCGTAACGACGTTTTTCTTTATTTAATTTGTTTGCCATTCATGGAAATTTGGGAAAAAAGCCTGAAATTTTATTAAATCTGAAAGATAATTTGACAATCAGCCTGACTTGACATATTTACCTTACCACAAAGGATCCGCACAGGGTTGCCGATATTGCGAATATATAAAGAAAGGTATTCTTTAAAAACCTTGCGCGTTCTCTGGACATCTAACGCATAAATTCGCAGAATCAAACAGTTTACATTCACTTTGAGCAAGTTTATTTTTCCATTCATTATAAGAACCAAACACCATATTTTAAATCAAGGACAGAATAAATAATTTGGTGGCTAACATATTTTCACCTTACCAAAACGCTGGTTGGCATCATTGTCAAACTGTCAATTAAAGTACAATCCTTCTTTCTGCTGAGCACGTTGCGGAGTGCATCAGAAAATGAGGTTTGTGGCTTTTATTTCTCCACTGCAAATACATCTTTCATAAAATGCTATATTTGAGTTCGTTGATAGTCGTAAAAATAATAAGCAAATTAAATTTGGTAGCGAACTCTATAATTTGTTTTGATTGCACCACATTGTATACCCAATGGAAAGCTTGTGTTTTTATTAATGTTGCAGTTCTTTAAAGCTCCAGAAGAGGCTTGCAGCCTCTGTTATGCGATGTGGAAAGAAAAAGGTGTGGCTGGATCCAAACGAAATAAATGAAATTGCCAACACTAATTCGAGTAAATCTAGTAATTCAGAATCGGTACTAGGAAACTTACTGGTTTGCTTGCAGGACAAAATATTCGCAAGTTGATTAAGGATGGTTTGATTATTAAGAAACCTGTAGCTGTTCACTCTCGTGCCCGGGTTCGCAAAAACACCGAAGCGCGCAGAAAGGGAAGACATTGCGGCTTTGGTAAGAGGAAAGGTACTGCTAATGCCCGTATGCCACAAAAGGTACTGGAATAAGTAAATAAATCCGGCGCTTTCGTTTAAATCCTTTTTTTGCAGGAGTTATGGATTCAGCGTATGCGTGTCTTGAGAAGATTGTTGAAAAAATATCGTGAAGCCAAGAAAATTGACAGGCACCTGTACCATTCATTGTACATGAAAGCTAAGGGTAACGTATTCAAAAACAAGAGGGTACTCATGGAGTACATCCACAAGAAAAAGGCAGAGAAGGCTCGCACCAAGATGTTGCAAGATCAGGCGAATGCACGGAGGCAGAAGGTTAAACAAGCCAGGGAAAGGAGAGAAGAGCGCATTGCTACCAAGAAGCAGGAGGTTCTACAGAACTATCAGCGCGAAGATGAAGCTGCTGCTACTAAGAAATAAACTGTTTATTATGTATTATTCTTAATAAAATAGTTTATAAAACTTTTGTTTTTATTTGGATTTTCATCCTGGGAATAAACTTTACTTTATGGGCTTTTAATGACTTTTATTAAATAGTGGAGTTTAATTTTAAAAAACTTGGTTTATTAGGGACAAAACCAAAATAATACAAAAAAAAATTAAATGCTTAATATCCCTGTAACTTTTCTTTAACATTGGTTTCAATTTCATACTCTATTTCAATCCTAGGTCTTTTCTTAGAATCCTGATCCGACTTTTTACTGTTATTCTTTTTCAGTTTTGCCTTTTTCTTTGATGGTGAAGGTAATGAAATGTCCTAAAATAAAGGTTCAGCTAATACTTAATATTCAAATTGAAGTTGTAGTAATTTACCTCAATATCGGAGCCATCAGAAGATTCAAAGCTACTATCAAGAGTTGCATGTTCTAATTGCCCACTGTCACTATCCTGCAAAAACAACCTTATCTATGAGAAAAATGGGACTGTCAAAAACTTACCAGATCACTTTCATCATCAGAATCAGCTGCAATAAATTGTGTATCCCCTTCTGTTTCCCTTTCAAATTCTAATTCCTCCTCCACTTCATCCTCCCTTTCTGCTTCTTGGAAGGCTGTCTGTGGTATATTATAAAGATCCTGATACTGCAAATTTATAAATCAATCATCACCATTTACCCATAAAAACTACCTTAAACATTTACCACTCCCTCTTTGAGCCTATCCAGAAGAGTTTTCTCAACTCCCTTTTCAATTCTAGCAGCAATAAGAGCTTTTTCTTCTCTTCTTTTTTCACGTCTCTCAATGTTCTTTTGAATGGGCACCAACAGTTTCTGCCTTCGTAGTTTCAGTTTTCGCATCCTTATTAAATACTGAGTGATCTTCACAAACCTCTGTTTACATTTTGATTTAATAAATCCAGGCCAGTACAGCAAGTTCTCGTTAATTTGGTGTATTGCTTTTTCAAAATTCCTGGAGAGCTTTACTTTCTCCCATAACTTATTAGGAAAAGCCGAACGTTCAGCCGTTTTCATATAGAGATATATAATACCATTTTGTTCTCGAACGGTGGCATACTGACTGTTAGCTAGAGGACATGAAGATCGATTACACAAACCTGTGAGATTGTATTCATTCTTGCAAAGTTTCTGGGTTTTCGTGCTGCAATTAAAGAAAGTGATAAAACAGCCCTATGTAACTCAATTTTCATACTAACTTCACTTTGTAGGAACAGAACGTTTTGTTTATGATGCTCCACACTACCTAAAATATATTATTTACAGAAATGATGGGCCATTTATTACATTTACACAACTCACATCATCATGTTGCATTTTAAATGAATATGTTAAACAAGACGGTTCTGTAACAATTAATATTTTAAAATTCGTTTTAATTAAACGTGAAAAAGTAACTAACCTAAATCCTCTTCTTTATTGCGTTCTGCTAGTAACCATATGGGCTGGATCACTCGGTGAGATGAAAAACAGATGGAGAGGTATTTATTTATCTTAATTAATCACGGTATTCAAGATGCAAATTCTGCATGTATTTTTACCATTTAACAATACTTTTTACAAAACTTCTGTTTTTGCAATTATTCTGATATTTAACGTTTGAAGGAACTGAACTAACCAAAACACGTCAATGGTACTAATTTTTGTTTTTTCAGAGACTAATTTCTCAACAATGCTTGTATATTTAGGATTTAGGGCTGAGCTTACCTACATAGACAGACGCCATATAACTACTATAATTAGAATGAGAACTGGACACTGCGCGGTGGGGGAACACCTGGCCCGGATAGGGGTTAGGTACTCACCTTTCTGCAAGTGCGGTGGGGTTGAGAACCTTAATCATATATTTTTCGAGTGCCCTATAACAAAGGTCCCGGGTGTGGATTTATACGTAAACTTTAGAAATTTCGGACTTAACTTACCACTTTGTGTTGAAAATATGTTAAGCTCCCCGAGTGCGGAGATCATACAAATGGTCATATGCTTTTTAGATTATAATAGGATAAAACTTTAAGTTAGGAGTCGAGGTCGGACAGCTTTTCCCTAGTAACAATACTAAGGAATTTTGAATTGTATGTATTTGATTCTGTTGTTTTGTCTCAGATCTGACGAGCCTGGTCTCATGGTCCATCCTAGGCCAGGAACGCCCGTCCCAAGTTCCATAGTGCTGGAATTTGTTTGTCCTTTTTTTTTTAGATGTGACAGTCTTGCCTGTATGTCTGTGCTTTTTGTGAGCTCTGAACCTGCCTACTAACTGATTCTATCTCCTTAGCAGCTTTAATAATATAATAATATAATAATAGAAATATAATAATAATAATAATATAATAATAGAAACAGAAGTCGGAAAAGTAAACTTCCCCAGGAGAACATTCTCGATTATCTGGGGCAGTTCAAAATAGTGCTGGCAAATTGCCTAGTAGCAGCGCCAACCTCAAAAAAAGAAGAAGGGCTGATTAATGTTATATTGAAATACTTTTTTTTAATTGTTTATTACCTTATGTTATAAGTATTTTAATTTCGATCGTTAAAATGCAAATCCTAAAGTTTTTTTTAATTATTTAAAAGTTGAACTATTGTCGTCAAATAGCAGAATCGTTCTAACAATCTAGACCAATAGAACTTAAACTTAAAAATCTTTTTATTGTAAAATAGCCAAATGAAGCTAGCATTTTTCGTCAATAGTTGTAAAAAGAAAAAAAAATGTTGTTTTGGGTGTTTGGCGAAAAAAAAATCTCGATACAAAACCGTGCTTTCACAGCATGTGTCGTACACCTAAGACTACATTTTTATTATATAGTTGATCGATAATCCTAGTCAGCTTAAACTATCGTTGCTACACTTACAGCGCAATCCAGTTTATAAAACACAAAGTACCATAGTTCTACATACCGGGGGTTTACTATAAATTAAGATGTCACACCACCGCGACAAACGTTGATAGACAGACAAAAATAACCGTCATGAAATGTGACAAATTTAATTTATTATATATTTTGTCAACAATTCAGGATTTATTCTGCCTTTTAAAAATTATGCAGCCCTTAAATTTGCTCGGAGTTCAGCTAATTTGCAAGACCATAAGAAAATGAATACAGATAATCAAAATTTAAGTGAAACAAAAGTAAATCGACTCTATATATGCAAATGATATTGACATTCGCTTACTTAAATAATTACCTTTAAGGATTTGTGGAAAATAGATGATCGAGCCTGCCTGGCCTGCAAAACTTACATACGAAAAATCAACGATATACAACAGAGCCTAACGGGTAGAGACATAATCATACAGCTTTTACAAGACCAACTTAAAAAATCCGAAAATAACTACAAAAATCTTTTCGATGACTTTGAGAACCTTCGTTTTAAACATTGCGTCGCCGTGCAAGATAACACCACTTTACAAGAAATCGCTGGAAAGGTGAAACTGCAAAGTGCTTAACGATTTTTCTTATATCAATATTTAGTTTTTAGTTGGAGGTAAAGCATATGAACGATATCCAAGAATGTTGTCCCAAAGATTTATTAACGAAAATTCTCAAAGAACTAGAAAAATGTAGCTGCATTCAACAAGACGTCCATAAGGATGACAAATTCAAAGAAAACGAGTTAATATTGAAATGTACGGATAAAAACTTACTTGAACAAGTGAAAGAATTAAAATCCGAAATTACAGACAATGAAATCACTTTTAACGAATGCAAGTGTAAAATGAACGAGCAAATAAGTGACCTGGTGGAAAATAATAATCTATTATCCGAAACGTTGGAAATAATAACAGCAGAAAACAAAAACAATCTAGAAACAATTGCTCAGTTGAAAAACGAGTTGAAAGAAAGCTCCAAACAAAATGACCAATACAGAGATAAATTACAATCAAAGGTATCCATGATCACTCACACAGAAACAATACTTGAATTAATACCGGAAACGGAAATACTGGAAACTGAAAATGACAAACCAATGGAAAGCGACTTACAAGAATTAAAACAAGATCCTGATGTTTTCGTTTGCGAATGTACTAAACTTAATGAGGACTGCAAAATGCAAAGCAATGATGCTACGACGCTTCGTAAGTCAATAAGGGATCAAGTAACGGAAATAGATACACTGCAAAATGAGAATGATGAGCTGAAATCTCAAATTGATAAAATAAAATGGGAAAACAAAAATGAAGTTGATAAGTTACAAAATATGGTGCTGCAATTTCAAAATCAAATAGAGATTCTTTTAAAAGAGCACGACGAGAAAACAGATAAAATTCAAAGCGTGGTCCACGAATTGAACAAGATTCGGAAAAATGCGATCGAAGAAAGCGAAAAGTTCTCTATCAAAATAAAAGAGTTGGAAGACGAAAGGGACGCTCATAAAAGCAAATGTTTAGAATACGAAAAAAAACTGGAAGGGTGCAAATGCGGAGATGTTTGTACAGAACTTGAAAGGTTAAATAAGGAAAATATCACGAAACAATGTCTGATCGTGGAATTGGAGAAAAATATCGACGATTTTAATGAAAACATGAGGGAATTCGAAAAGAACGTTAAAAATATAGCGGAAGAAAATGAACTGTTGAGAAATTCCAACGAGAAATTACTGAAGAGCAATGAAACGCTTCAAGAACATTTGAAACAAAGTTTGTCGATACAGACTACCGCGACGAGCACCTTAAAAGAGGAAAACTTTACTCTCAGAAACGAATTGGAAAAAATTAAAACCCAATACGCGAGAAAAACTCAAGAGCTCCAGTTAGAAAATGACAATTTGAAACAAAACTTATATGAACTTCAGGAGAATGCGCATGACAGCGAAAAACAAAATAGGAAACATTCTTTGGAATTGGAGATGCAAATTCAAGACCTGCAACAAAAACACAAAAGAGATACAATAAATTTGAGTGAGCTCCAACAACTAAGAGAGAATCATAGCAAACTAAAGCAGAACTATGATGACGTTGTTTTTAAGAACGCGGTAACACAACAAGAACTCAATAAATGCATTTTAAATATGAAGCAGGCAGAAGCAAGGCACAGGCAGGAAATCTCAAACTTGGAAATTGAGATGAAACAGCTGAAAGACGAATTACGCGAGAACGACCGAAGAGAATCAGCAGTAGTTCAGCAGTTTAGTCAACTGAAAGAAATTCATACTACCTTGAAAGAAGAATATGCTAGAAAATCCATTGAAAATGAAAAAGTCCAACATGAACTGCAAGATAAGATCAGTGAAAGGCAAAGATGCAAGGAAGAATGTGTGGCACTTATCAAAGAACGGTTAGAAAATGAAAAAGAACTGTCTGAATTAGCGCAGAAGTACAACAGACTAGAAAGAGGGTTTGATGAGAAAATGCAAGAGATTAGGAAGTTAAAAAAACAATGCGAATCTTGTTCTAAACAATCACAGATCAGCAGAGAGGAGTATAATAACTTAAAAAAAGAATACAAAGAAATTAAAGTGATGCTGGCTGAACAGATAAGTAAATACCGAAAAGATACTGATCAACTAGAAGGAGTTGAAATTAACCCTTGTAAGGTTGTTCTGGATCTTAAAAAGCAACTGTTTGAAAAAGAGAAGCTCATAGGCGTCCTTCAGCAAAAAATTAAGGATGCATCTTATGAAATAATTGAATTAAAGGACTATATACACAAATTGGCATCTGATAACAACATTCTTAGATCTGCAATTAATAATCTGGTAGACAATTTAGAAAGAAAAATTAGAGGAATGACAGCTGACAACTCGACTGAGGCAATAGCTGGGGAAATATTACACTCACTAACAACAATAGAAAATAATATCAAAATATCAGATACTTGTCCCATGAAGGATGACTGCAGCTGCATGTCAGAGATATTACTGAGATACGGAATTGATTCCAATCCACCCACACGAGATGAAAATAAAAAAACCAGATACATTCTTTCAGAATCATCTGCAACAATTACAGATTCTGATGATCTTCATTATTTGCGAAAGGAATCTGCAGGTGATCCAAGGGGCTCAAAAAATAAAGAATAATTGGAAAAGTATTATATTCTTATTCAGTATCCTACATTAAACATAAATAACAAGTTAATAATAAAGAGAAACAAATTATGCAGATAATTGTTTTTATATCTTTCTGAGTATATCAAAACTTATTGTCTAAGTTGATAAGATTTTAAAATGTTTGCTTTTAAATGGCATATTATGAAGTTCTCTAACTGGCCCTGCTACAACCAAAACTACAATTTTCAAAACTTCCTTGCTGTTGAACTATATCTGGGACACACATCAATCTAGTCTAGCATGACTTACCTACTTGAACATTTGGCAAAAAGTTTGAAGACAAAACAGAGTGTAATTTATTTTTTATGGCAAGCGAATTGATGCTCAGGGTTTTTAAAGAAGAAACTGCACCTTGCAGAACTACTTGGGATTTCATTAACTGTTGATCAATTGCACCAAGACTCTTATGAGTATCGGTCACCAAATTTTGTGTGAAATTTTCAATGTTGTTATAAAGCTGATTGTTAGTTTCTCCTAAAATACTGTTGGTCAAAATCTTCATCTTATATCGTTCATAATTTACCCACTTAACTTTTGATGTAGCAAGGAATCTTTCTCAAACTTTTCTTCTTGGCACTGAAATTGATCCAAGGCAGATATTGCACTGTCAACACTTGCATTAGTTTCTGGGGAAAAAAAAATATTTATTTTAACCTCCGACAATATTCAAAATACACTTGCCGTTTTCTGACTCTGAATCCTCTCCAGAAATTACCGCTCCTTGAATAGAGTGCGCTAGGTCAATCTAAAAATGTTTTATTTGGGAACACAAATTCGAAATGTCACTGTTTCTACCTCGATCTCCTCTGCCTCTTCCTCACTTTCTGTTTCAGATGCTTCACCTGTTATTACCAGCGATTTGTCCATGTTCGTTACAAACTGATATAATACCAAACATTTAAGTTTAAATAACCAGATAGATAACCTATTAAACTTTTTCTTTGGCATAGAAATGATCAACAGCGGCAGCCAAAAATTGAGCGCTTCGAATGTACGGTTGCGTAACGTGAAATTGTAATTTTTATTATTAAGTTTTTTATAAGATATTTTCCAAATAAAACTCGGAATTTGAAATACTAATTTTATTTTATTATTAACATATTTTATTTCATCACATTGTTCCAGCAGGAAAAATCCTTACTATCCCTGAGCAAACCCATTGGGCCTTCGCTATATTCACAAAGCAACGTCTGTTTTTCGGAGTGCCCCACTTTCCCTTAAAAGTTATCCAAGTGGGAAGATTCGTTTTGCCATAGTGGTAAAATTCCACTACTGTCCACGTTTTCCACGGAACACCGTAGCCGGTTTTGTCGGTTATTTCGGAAGTCTTATGAACTGGTGTTCGCCAGGCGCAGACCATAAACCGTGAGATCCTTTCGCGGAGAATAATACAGGATGTCCTCCTAAAATCGTAAATAGAAAGCATAAGAATAGTGGAACGGCAAGCGAGGGATGAGTCGACTGTTGAAGTGAAAGCTATTTTGGTTAATAACATCGCGAAAATAACAAATTTATTATACGTTCACGGTTGAACGATAAAATTCTGGAGAACTAACCAAAGAAACTCGCCAAATACCCCCTTTTGATTCTCACACAACCGCGTTTTTCCTATTTTACATGCCTAACCCTTTCTTTCCTTTCGCCTTATCCATAACATACAAATGGGAACCATATAGCTATAGCATCTAAATTGGTCGAACACAGACTATATAATCCATTCGGTCTTGATTTTTATTATTAAGTTTTTTATAAGATATTTTCCAAATAAAACTCGGAATTTGAAATACTAATTTTATTTTATTATTAACATATTTTATTTCATCACATTGTTCCAGCAGGAAAAATCCTTACTATCCCTGAGCAAACCCATCGGGCCTTCGCTATATTCACAAAGGCCTAGCCTCTTTAACAGCAAACATCTGTTTTTCGGAGTGCCCCACTTTCCCTTAAAAGTTATCCAAGTGGGAAGATTCGTTTTGCCATAGTGGTAAAATTCCACTACTGTCCACGTTTTCCACGGAACACCGTAGCCGGTTTTGTCGGTTATTTTCGGAAGTCTTATGAACTGGTGTTCGCCAGGCGCAGACCATAAACCGTGAGATCCTTTCGCGGAGAATAATACAGGATGTCCTCCTAAAATGGTTAATAAGATTGTGCGAAAATTCACGTGGATAAGCGACTACCTTGGATTCTGACAAATGGTGGAAACTTGGATACTTGCGCAACGCCTTTTCTAGGCACGTTGGATTCGTATTTAAAAATGTTGTTTTTTCTGTCGTACGTGTAGAAGGATCCGGTGTCGTGCACCGACAAAAACATTTTGTCCGGAAACGGCTGACCACGGAAATTCAAGCTTACACGTTCCCAATCGCCGATGTGATTTCCCATAGTTTTCACGTGACCAAGACATCTTCCAAATATCTTTGGTGCGGGCACTTTCCCTTCAAAACAAACGTAAAAAGTAACTACCAATTACTCTTCTAAGCGAATTCACTCAGTGAAAGATTAAGCCATAGGAGTCCAAAATACATTATTATGTCTTTTTATTTTCAGAATTCTATTTTGAATTAATTACTTTTTTCACGCGCCTACCTATTTTATTAAATATTAATAAGCAATATATTTAAAAAAAAACTTCTATTGTTTAAAAAAAGATTAACATTTGTCTTGAATTAGTTTATACTTGTAAATCCTTTGCAATTGTTACTAAAAATAATATACATATTTGTGTGGGGGTCTTTATTATTTTATTAGATTATAAAAATATCTTAAAAACCAGACCTCCTTATCAAAATTAAAAGAGCGAGAAAGAATTAGTATGCCGTTTCTGTTTATGAAAATGTTATTTTTTAAATAAAGCTTAGTGCCTGTGTACTAACACGTTTCGAGAATAGTAAATATTTTGAGCTATGAGGAACTAGGACTGTCACCAAGATATTATGCAATAAATTTGATAAACTCCATTTTAGTCACGAGTTTGATTTGGCATGAATGTTTGATAAAGGAGTAACTGAAGATATTTATCAGTATCTTGCGAAAGTCCCAACAGTCCCTATATTAAGAAAAAACCTACCAATGAAGCAAACTTCTTTTCCTTCGTTGTAAGGATAAAACATCCAATAAGTTACGAGAAACTCCGGGAATATTTCCAATTTTCCCGGAGTCACTTTCAACTCGTTAAACGCGTTTTCTTGCGCACTGTCGGAACAGTGGTGAACGACAGCATAGACAGGTACCGCGTTTTCCTTCGGATTTTTGCCGTACAAAAACGAATTCCTATTAATTTTTAAATGATCTGCAAAGTCGAGTTTAGGCAAATTCAATTCGGTGGAAGCGAACGACAATTATCACCTAATCCCACCCTAGGTACCAAAAAGAACCATCTCGCGTTGTACTCGGAGAATCTGTTCGGGTGTCTAGAAGTGGATAAAATTTTCCCTTTTTCATCGGCGATGTGGACATTTTCGAGGAACGGTTCGACAGCGAGCGGCATGAATTTTTCCTCGGGTTGTAACCATACCAGTGGCGCCCATTGTCGCACCAAATGTTCTACTGCGAAATAATATTAATTACGCTATACGTGTTACGCTTACGAGCTGCCGGCTTTAATTAATTTTGGTAAAAAAATTGCTCAACACCGACTTTCTTAAAGTTCCTTTTAAACAATAACTCTTGCGCAACCCGTAATGTTAATTTGGTGCAATTTTGGCTGTTTCGTTTTCGTACAGTTGTGAAAATTTGACGCGTAAATAGAAAGCATAAGAATAGTGGAACGGCAAGCGAGGGATGAGTCGACTGTTGAAGTGAAAGCTATTTTGGTTAATAACATCGCGAAAATAACAAATTTATTATACGTTCACGGTTGAACGATAAAATTCTGGAGAACTAACCAAAGAAACTCGCCAAATACCCCCTTTTGATTCTCATACAACCGCGTTTTTCCTATTTTACATGCATAACCCTTTCTTTCCTTTCGCCTTATCCATAACATACAAATTGGAACCATATAGCTATAGCATCTAAATTGGTCGAACACAGACTATATAATCCATTCGGTCTTGATTTTAAAGTATACTTTAACAAAACTTCCGGTTTCCTCATTACCAGATATACGTGAAATAAAATGGCAGTTCTGGAATGTTACATTGAACAACGTATATTTCAGATTCTCGTCCCATTTCTATTGGGAGTTCTGCAATTCTTGCTTAGAAAATAGGTACTACAGGCACTTTGCTAAGCTAAAGAAGTATACAAGAAACGAAACAGAAAATAAATAAGTTAAAATTTCTGCTAATAATTTGCAAATGTGAATAGTTTTCTTTTATTTTCGGTTTCTTAGCAACAGCTTTCAAGGCACACTATTTTTATAATGATTAACACGATTCTCGCGTCTTATAAATAATTCATGGTATGTAAACATTCAAGAGTGATTTTTCCGCAAAACGGCCACTCGTTGCGATTTAAATAAGATAGAATTAAATAACATATACATATACCACCAAGTTGGTACCGCTCTCTAGTAGCAATATGTAACTAACAAAGAATCTAAATTTCGCTCCCAAAACCCCCAAATTTCCAACTTTTAATGCACCCCTCAACAGCCTATATTTTAATAACTAAGCATTTTAGGACCTATTTTTATAAGAAACTTTTGCATTAATTTTTATCATAACAGAATCATAAAAGAATCAAATAACCACTTACTCTGTTTAACATTCCGCTCAGAAACGGCGAACGCACAATAATTAACAAACCAAATAAAAACTATAACCTTTTCATGAACCATGTCTTGCCGAAGACATGGTCGTTACTTATGCGAAAAGTCATCGAGAAAGCAATGCGTACTGAAATCGTCCGGTCGACATTGCGGACGAAAAGAAACCATTATTGCTACCCACTTTCCTGAGTTAAGAAGTGAGGACGATGGCGGACACAGTTCGCTGAATGTAATGGATTAACACCCAGCGACCAGTTGATCCTTTTTCTCTGTGCACAATTTCATGTATAAGGACGTATCTTTCAAATTTCATGTTGTTGATAGTATAATGCTTACTGTTAACTAACAATTTCAAATTTGTTTATGTCTATTACCACTTTGTTAAAATTAAACTCTTCAACATATAATCAATAATATTCGAAAAGATCCCTTAAATACTATAACAAAATATAAATAATTTAAGTTCGTCGGTTTTTGTCTCTTCAATTTTTATTATTATTCAATTACACTATTTTCAAAATTGTGAGAAGTTGAATATAAATAACCAGCGGAAATTGTAGTATACTTTTATTTTAGTGTCTAGTAGAGTAATAAAGGGATAAATAAATAAATCAAATTGTACTTTATTTTGAGGACCATGGTGGAAAAACGAACAAGGTTTCTTTAAAAACTTTTTTGGGACACTCGTAGTATTTCCTTAATTACATCAAAATAGCTATATTAATAATAATAGTAATAATAATGTGATTTGGAGTTTTTATTGTTTTTATATAATTCCTTCTAAAAATTTATAAAGTTGTCTCTAAAAGTAGCTTAACAGAAATACCCAAAAATAATTAAATAGTTCAAAAATCTCATTCTATTTTCAATACCTATAATAGAAGCGGCGAGAATTCTATACTACTGAAAGAGTTCGATTAATGCGCCGATCACCAAAAGTTCCAATTAGATTGCTTTTCAGGAATTTGGGTTGATCTCGGCTTTATTTTGCAATAGTTTACTTGCCCAATTCAGATGGCGATCTTTTATGCGGCCAAGGATACAAAATGAAAACCCCATGTATACCTATAATACGCTGTCAATGGTTTGATTAACGGCAACTTTTAACATCGCATCGTATGACTTGGCGGAAAGGTGCAGCCATGAAAATTATTAATTTAACATCGCCATTTGTTAATTATTGCTCTCACCGCTAAAGAGCGAACTGAAACAAGTTTGATAATAAATAATAATAAACAAAAAATAAATGAATTTTGGCAACATGTGGATATTGTTCATAATAACTTCCGCTTATCAAATTTTATCTCATCTAATCCTAGAAAAAAGACCGTGGTAGTATATACAGGGTGTTTCAAAACAAACAACAACAAAACAAGGGTAGTTTGTTATATAAACGTTGGGTCAAAACTCAACTATTAGGTATATATCGGGGCTACAAATATGGCAGAAAAATAATGTTTTTACTTTTTATCTTAAAAACCAAAATAGAACAATAAAATTAAGTATTATTATTATAAAAACACGTATTTAAAATGAGTCGAAGGAATTGCGTTTTTTTGGGAATTGCTCTTTCCAAACAAAAATAAAATCTAAAGCAACGCATAACGATTAAAAAAAATATCTAATACGCTACTGTCACTTCTTAAGGAGTTTCTTAGTATTGCTTGACATTGGTCAGTTACTTTGAACACAAAATAAGTTTAAGAAAAAAAATATTTTCAAATCATTCATTAATGGTAACTTACACTAATGCAGAAGCTTGCCGTGTTCATACATAAGCGTATGTTAAGCGTAGATCTCCTTATTATTCAGGAGACAAAAAGTTTACAATAAAATTTATTTTTTCCATGTCATTGAGTTAGTTTGCTTTAAACTAAAAAAAAAGTAAAAAAATATACAGAAAGTGTTTTTTATAATAATAATATTTCCGTAATATTTTATTGCTCCATCTATTTTCGTTAAGATAAAAAATAAAAATATTATTTATCTGGCATATTTGTAGTGCGATATCTCCGTAATGGATAGTTACACAACGTTTAAATAACATACTACCTTTATTTAAAACAAGTTAGTTAAGTCTCTCGCAGTTGTTTTGAACCACATTGTATAATGTCCAAGGTTTTTATTAATTTACTTAAACATCTTGCGCAAAATAAATGGTAAAATGGTATGCTTTTCTTGATGTAACTTTATAATAAACAATAAAACATACAGAAAATCGCAGTAGAATCACTTCTAAAGTTATCTGCTGGCAATACCGGACACCTTGTATTTCTAATTTTCTTATACATCTAATTAATTATTTATTTATTATTTAATTATTAATTTTCAGCTTGAATTATTACGGCTTGTGGTACATTTTTAAAATTAATGGAATACACGTGGTACTTACAATCCTGATCCCACCCCTTAAAAAAGTTTTCCATGTGCTGCCAGAAATGTCATTCACAGAAAAAATGCTATGCAATACCTATAAAAAGAAACATATTAATATTATATAAATGTTAAAAAATTAGGCTCATCTCGCCTCACATCTATTACCAGGGTTGTCAGACAATTATTACCCTGCGCAAATCAAAATAACACTATTACAGACAAAAAATATTCGTATTCCCATCATGAAGCGATCCGACGCGTACGCTGTTCGTTTTATTTTATAATTAAAAGAAAAATTTAGCAAAGTCGCGTCCAATGTATATGGATCTTGTCCATGCAAGGTTAAGACAACTTGTTGGGAAACATCTAAAGATTTAAATTTTGTATTAACAGTTCATTTCGTGAAATCGGCGGGCTAACAATGAATTTGCTAAGGACGTTTGGTGTATTTTTAACCATCTTGGTGCTGTGTCAATCGCAACGGAACGGTTTTGGTTATTTTAGGCAATTTTTTAGCGGAAACCGTCGCGACAAAAGTGATTCTGGAACTATTTTGGCGGAATATGATTTTATCGTAATCGGTTCAGGTTTGTAAATTTTGAGTTATTTTTGAACGAAAAACAAAAAAATTCGGAGAAAAAATATTTTTTTCAAATTCTTTTTATTATTTTTTTCCTCTTAGTTTGTTGTATCTACATTTTTATGTCAATATTTAACAAAATATGCAAAATGTGATTTTAACATTCAAAAGAAAAAACATAATGCAATGTTTAATGTATTTACGAATGAATAAAAAAATCAATACTAAATACTAAACACAATACCCAGGTATTACTGAGTAATTATTGTTATTATGTTTACATATTTTGTCAAAGTTGACAAAATAAACAAAAAAAAAAGGGACCGAGGATGGCTCGGTTGGCAATGTAACCGGCCTGGCCAGCGTGGAAGATAATGACTAAATATCTTCCCTAGGGAATAGTGGGGCGCGACAAAGAAATAAGAAAAAAATAGTCTTTATCGTTGCTCTTTCATATAATATTAATTTAATTGATTTAATATAAATATCGGTGGTAAAATGGGACTTGATATGTATGTCTCCTTAAATGGGGATCTAGATGAAAATATCCTAATATTGTATTTGGTTAAACATTTTTTCACATGTATCATTTATACATTACTACTTTAAAATTGTTAAAATTCTGAAAGGTACTAAATAACTAGCCAAAATTGGAGTGCACTTTTATAGATACATAGTTTCAAAAATAAATAAATAAACCAAATTAGACCAAAATTACTTTACTAACATGGTCAGAAAATAGTCGGTACACGAACAAGTTTTTTTTCATAACCTGTTTATTATTTATCCTCGGTAAACAATATGGAAAATTATCTGCCTAGAAGCTATGGTAAATCCAAAATAAATAGTATCTTATTTATATATAAAATTAAAAAAAAAACAAATCTTTTCAACAGCTGTAAGATATTTTAATGGCTAAACTTGATTTTTATTTTTTAATGTTGGAGAATTTACTAAATGTTTCAGTTATTATTTTTTTTTATTTTTAACATTTCGAATTCAGTAAGTAAATAAAATAGTATAGTATGCAACAAATGGCAGCGAAGCGAGTGTTTAATAAACGAATGACTTAAACAATTTACCAAACGTGGTGCATGCTATACTATTTCTACGAATGTTAGTTTTTGGGTACATTTTTGCAAAACAACACGAATGCATTCTTCACTGGTATGATTGTCAGAATTGATAAACGTCAAAATTCAAGCCGTGCGGTAAAATCTCCGAAAATATCCGATTGCTCCCAAACCCGTGCGGCAATATCACGGAAATGTCCGAAGAGGCTCGAATCCGTGGGACAAGAAGCTCACGTACTAAAGTGACGCTTCCCGCACCCTAGATCGGTGTATGATTAGGAATTTTACGGGAGGGAGTAGATAAAAATTTTTACATTGATTCATTTTTCCACTTTTATTTCACACAACAATAATAAAAAACATCCAACGTCTCATCAGGGTCAGGTGGAAGTGTGGTAGCCAGCCGCCTTTCCGAAAACCCCGATTGGAAGATCCTCCTGCTGGAAGCCGGTAAGGACGAGATTTTCCTAACTGACGTCCCGTTGATCGCATCCCTGCTATCCATAACCGACTACAATTGGAGCTACAAGAGCGAAAAACTAAAAACGGCTTGTTTGGGACTGATCGACGGCAGGTGCAACATAGCCAGGGGTAAAGCGCTGGGCGGGACCTCGGTAATCAATTTCCTTCTGTACACCAGAGGCAACAGGGAGGATTTCGACGAATGGGAACGCCTGGGAAATCCAGGTAATACGGAATGGTTAAAAATGTTCGCGTGCTTGAAGGAAATTGCAGGCTGGGGTTACGAGGATGTCCTGCCCTATTTTGTCAAGTCTGAGAATTGTACCTTATGCGAAGATATTGATGAGGGTTACCACGGCAGATCTGGTCCGCTTCACGTGGAACATCCGGGTTACGAAAGTCCATTCGTTAAGCTGTTTATACAAGCCGGACAGGATATGGGGTACAAAAACAATGATCCTAACGGAAAATATGGAACGGGTAAACTGAAAAGGTCATAATTTAACGTTTTTCACGAGTGGATGTTTTCGGTTTAGGATTTTCAAGAGTTCAAGCAACTATGCAACGAGGTCTTAGATGCAGCGCGGCTAAGGCGTTTTTGGAACCATTCCTCGATAGGGAAAATTTGCATGTATCCACCAGATCTCGCGTAACCAAGATAATGATCGACCCGATCACCAAGCGAGCGTACGGAGTCGAGTTCGTTAAAGATCGACAAAAGTACACTGTCAAATCGATGAAAGAGGTCATTTTATCGGCAGGGACGATCAATTCCGCACAGCTGTTGTTGCTTTCGGGCGTAGGGCCTCGAGAAGACCTGGAAAGATTGGACATTCCGGTTATATCAGACTTGAAAGTCGGTTACAATTTTCAAGATCACATGGCGATGTCTACCATTCCTTTTTTGGTAAACGAAAGTGTTACCGTGTCAGATATTAGCGTACAGAATCCGATCGACATCTACAACTTTCTGTTCAGGGGCAAAGGGCCTTATACGATCCCAGGCGGTGCTGAAGCTCTCGCTTTCGTCAGAACCAAATACGCTTCTCCTCATCTTAAGGACTACCCAGATATTGAACTCGTCCTAGGAGCGGGTGGTCTGAACGGGGACGTATTCGGTGGCTTCAGGGCGTTGCTCGGTATACCACAAAGCACTTTTAAAAAGGTATACGCCCCTTTGATTGGGAAACCGTCGTTCAGTATAGCTCCGGTACTGCTGACCCCTAAGAGCAGAGGTCGGGTACGATTGAAGGATGCAAATCCGTTCCACCGACCTCTGATTGACCCGAATTACTTTGCTGAACCTCAAGATGTCGCCACGATGGTGGAAGGCATTAAAATGGTAAGCTGAGAAAGTCCTATACCGCAACCATTTCGTTAGTGCAGCTTCAATTGCTAAAATACCTAATTGATATTGGGTTTTTGTCAGCGACTGGAGCAGCATGATCTAGCTGGGAAAGTTTGTCAATTTTCTGATTTGCCAAAATCAACTGCTAAAATTTTCTACCTCGTTAAGTTCTGGAACGATAGTACTCGATTTGCGCAGGGGGTTGGTTTTATAAAAAAACTGATTGGACCCTTGCAGCACCTTGTTTTTTCAAAATTTCGAACACTGCATTATAGTACTTGTCATGCAAACTTAATTGTTTTCATATTTCTAATTCTGTCTTTCTCGTACTGCTACATACAATTAAAAAAAATATCATCGTTGTCACAAATATGTTAGAAAATAAAAGGAAGCCTAAAATGGCTCCACATACGAGTAGAAAGTTAAAAGCAAGAATTGTGACCCAATTAGAAGATGGTTGGCAATTATCAGTAGTAGCTCAACATTTTAATATAAGCAAAACAAGCGTTTTTTTCCATTAACAAAACATCGAGACAAGAATAAACGTTTGAAAGGAAAACGGGATTTGGTAGAACATCAGATGCTCCTTTGGATAGTTGATGATGACCCCTCCTAAAGCGCGAAGAAATTAATAATTCTGTCGAAATTTCCGGACAGAAAAATCACAATTTGCCGAAGAATTAAGATATTGCATTTCAAGTGTCGATCTGCGGCAAAAAAGACCGCACTCACTTACCAACAGAAGCCAGCACTGTTTATGTTCGCTCTTAACTATCAAGTTCTGGGATAGGGTCATATTTTCCGATGAAAAGATCTTCCAGTTTTCCAAACAGTGTAAAATCAAAGTGCACAGACCAGACAACCACCGATTTGTCGACAAGTACATATCTGCAGGCTTATTTCAGTTTAATTGTATGGGCATGGATTTCTTCCAGAGGAATGGCGGATTAAAAGATTTGTTGGTCAAACTTATGCCGAAATAATGCGGAACGTTATGGTTCTCAGTGTGGAACAGCTTTACCCGGAAAATAATTATATTTTCCAAAAAGGCAACTGTCCTATCCACACTGCGAAACATCGTTACACAATGGCTCCAAAATGTCAACATTGAAATCTTGCCATCACCAAGTAACAGTTTTGACATCAACCCAATGAAAAACATATAGGGATAATGCTGAGATGGCTGTATCGAAGAAATTTTATTACTCAAAGCAGCGAGGCTCTACGGCAAAGTATTCAGGAAGTATGAAAAGAATTGTCGCTTAAAGAAAACTCAATAATAATACCTTTCATGACAATGAGCCGACGATTTGAAGCTGCGATTGATGCTTAAATATTACTTAAATATTAAATTCCTTCCAATTGTTTCTTATTGTCCTGTTTGTTTAAAATTTTGAGCCCTGCTGGTAACGATCCAATCATCTTCCAAATTTGCTACAATTATTGCATTTACCTAAATCTCTAAATCTAATTATTTTTAAGGTGTTTATTTAAAAGTTAACGATCATCTTTTCATTTTTAAAATTAATAAAAGTTGAGTCTGTTTATTTTCGACGATTTTTAATGATAAAGCATACCAGAACAACTAACGATAAACAATAAAATTGAACAAAATACTGAACACTCTAATACCTATATAGTATAAGCTTGGTAAATAGTGGACAGTCAGTCAAGTTGCTTGGCATTAGGATCGATGACAGTCTAAATTGGAAACAACATATCTCAGACCTGAAAAATAAATTGTCCAGCAACAAATTCGTTTTTCGACGACTGAGAGGCCTGATAGGAACAAGGACTCTGCTTATGGTCTATTTTTCTTTGTTGCATTCGCACTTATTATTATGGCACGGTGCTGTGGGGTGATTCCTCAACTGCTGTGGAGATTTTTAGAATGCAGAAAAGGGCCATTCGAGTCGTTGCTAATATAGAATATAGGGATCATTGTCAACTTTATTTTAAAAAATTTAAAGTGATGGCCCTTCCTTGCATCTATATCTACTACCAGTTATTAGAGATACAAAGAACGAAAGGAAACTTTAGCGCTAATTCTGATTGCCATGCCTATCCAACTCGTTCGGGGATCGCCTTAGGCGGCCTAGATTTAGACTTAGGAAGTCTGAGAGCAACTCGTTGAACTCGAAATTGTATAATATTTTGCCAGGTACCGTGAAAAAGATGAGCAATAGAAAATTTAAACATACTATTAAACAATTCCTACAACGTCATTGTTTTTACTCCCTGCGAGCATACATTGACACTGTCACTGGTATCGATGCGCTATAAAACTGTATAGTACTGTATACTTTTGTTTGTATCAGATGTGTGTTTTTATGTTATTTTTTAATGTGATTTTATTACACTTGAATATAACTTCTGACTTGCTACAACTGTACGTTCCTTTTGTACGAAACGTAGTCAATAAATGAATCTATCTATCTAAAAGCATAATATACATACATCACCAATTTACCAAAGAGGATGCCCCATATTGCTTACCATAATTTCGTGTTCACTCAAACAGTAAAGGCCGATTAACGCAATAGTTTTTAGTAATAAAAATAGATTTAATAAGAGGTGGATACAGTTTTGTTGTAGCTATGAAGTGGCTCACCCAGTGGCAAGGCAATAGAAATACGCGCTTTTACACTTTTTTCTAAAACAGTTGACGAAACAGCTAAACTGGACCATTCGATATCCCCAAGGAAAAAACACTCGCCTCTTAGAAATATGCGTATTAATTTTTATTATAAACCTGCCTTGAGATCCGATATTCTACGTCAAAACAAACTTTATTTTGCCAAAATGTGTTGCTTGATGATGTGTATACTGCACAAAATATACAGTAAAATTTTCAAGCCGTATCAGTTTTTTATGAAACTAGCTGTACGTAAATTCCAGGCAGTATCAATTGCCCAGACAGAGAGGTTTAAACGATACGCAGTCAAAATGAACACAATCCCATTCCCTGGCTGCGAGCAGTTAACATTTGGTTCCGACGAATATTGGGCTTGCTCAGTGCGACACCTGTCGACCACACTGGGTCATCACGTGGGCACTTGCAAAATGGGTCCACCCACCGACCAATATGCCGTGGTGGATAACGAACTCAAGGTTTACGGGGTCCGTGGACTGAGGGTAGTAGATGGTTCGATAATGCCCAACGTGGTCGCCGGTCATACCAACGCGGTTATTTTTATGATCGGCGAAAAAGCAGCGGCCATGATTAAAAATCAGTGGCGAAACCAGTGACTTTGTGTTAACAGTGCATTGGATTTGTGATTAAAGTCTAGTCAATTATGTATCAATTATCTAAAAATAAAATAAACGCCTACCGACTGGCAGGACGTAAAAATTGGGTTGAACTGGAGAAGTGACCTGTTTTATTTGCAGATTTCCCTTATCAGATATCAGCCGAATGATAAAACTGGTATCGTAAATTTTGTTTCATATACTAAAAACGGTGACTCAAATTAGTCGCCGCTAACTATGTGAGCCGTTCGTTTTCTAAAATGTACAAACTAGTTTTAAGCGCCTTTTGTATTTTAATACATTCCAACGAAATACATTCGCAAGACTTACGAGCCGTACGACAAAGACTTGGTAAGATTCTGATAGTTTACCTAACATAAATTGCCTTTAACGGCAATTGACGTAATCAGGTGTGTCGTGAGTTTCATACAGCGTGTTGATGGATTCGCGTATAGATGTTTAAAGGAGTGGTAGAGCTTCTTAAGAAATCTTAACTTTTTTTATTTTACAGTGTCAGTATTTTAAATTAAGAAAAAAAATTTTATATACCCGATTACACCACTTTTTCCACCTGAAAACACATAGAAGGCTTTAAAAAGTTGCTACCACACTTGCAGTTAGTTACCAGAGATGTCTGTTGGACAGCGACTGCCGAGAAAACTCATTTTGTTTCGACAACGACCAGCACAGAATCGGAATATGCAAATGCACGGATGGATACGAATTGTTGTATAGGAACAGGACATATTACGCCTGTTTAAAATGTAAGTGTGTCGATTTGAGAGTTTACTGGAGAATTTACTCTCGACTGGAGAGTCTTCGACAATTCAAGTCCTTTCTATTCATCCGTTCTAATCTTAGACTTTTATCGGGACTAGTGATAAGTTTTCGAATACAGGTATATATATTTTTGGATGGAATATCTTAAAACAAATATTAATTGCTACCTGTGTTTCTGTTCTCCAAGCAGAAAACATTTTTTTAATTTGACTTTGGAATTCCAGCCATACTCTCGAATATTTTTTAAAATAAAGTACTGTATCATTGTAGTCACAAAATACAGCGAAGAAATAGATAGAATAAAACTTTTTTGTTTATTTTATAGTATATACCGAATGTCCTAGTGAGGGCAATGAGGTAATGATACTTAAAGTGAATACTGTTTTAAAGCTGAGACAAATTTAAGTCTTTTTGCTTAGATGTTTTTTACTCCAACTCTAAAAGAAAAGCAGGGATCATGTTCCAACATTGCCGAAAGTAAATGTCGGCAACTCCAAAATGGCTTAATAGATTTTAATATACTTGGAGTCATTAAAAAGAGCTTTTCCTAGGATATTAAACGTGCTATAAGTGAGATGAATGTCACTATATAGCGGTTTCTGACATAATGACAAAAAAAAGTTCTGAAAAAAGCTTAAAAGCAACGATATGCAATTTTTGACGTAATTAGATGGTGAAACAAGAGACCAACAATCCATTGAAAACCGAATCTCAATATCTTTGTCCTAACCCAACGCCAAAACTTATAAATTATTAACTCTATCTGAACGTTATGGAAACTAAACATTTATAACGACAAAATAATAAAAAAGTTAAAAGATTGACTACAGTATATCGGATACAGTCAATTGCATTTTCAGAGGTAGAACAACGAATTTGATAAACAATATCTTTTATTCTACCTCAAAGGTAAAAGTACAGCATAGTAAAGTCTTGAGATCTGGCACATCACGGAAACAAACTGTCTATTCCTATGAAAAGGTTTGGACAATCCTGGTCTAAAAAAAAATCCTAATTCCTAAAAATTCCTAACTGTACCGATGTTTTACTAATATCCAAGTCCAATCTTATTCTTAAGGTAAATGAGGATTAAGGTGGACAAGAGCATTAACGACGTTTTGTTCGTTCCTAACCCGCCGATTTCTTTTATGCACTGGTAGGATGAACTCTATAATTAGTAATGAAGAATTTCAGTCAAATGAGCTGCTTTATTTCTTTCATGGTTTTCTATTTACTACTTACCACTTTAAACATCAGTAATCCATAAACTTGGTTAGTCTTGGTTAGATTGATAGTACCCAATCTTTGAAAACAGATAAGGATATCACAATATAGTAATAACGCCTAAGGTATTGTAAAAAAAATAATATAAACTAAGATTAGAAAACAAATTTCAATAGCAACCAGTAAAGCGGAGATATTTACCAAAATTCAACTTCTTTTGAGTTAAAAATTCTTTTGTTCATATTTTATGTTAGGATAAAGATATTGAGATGCATTTTTCACAGAATTATTGGGCTCTTGTTTGACGATCTAACGACTTTAAAAAAATTATATCGTTTCAGTTTTTTTTTTCAGAAAATTTTTTCTTTTGCCATTATGTCACGCCATGTATAAAAAAAGTCATGTGGTGGCAGGGTATTCAATCCAAGTCATCTCACTCAGAAGCCATTTTCCCATTTTGGAGTTATCGACATTTATTTCTGGAAATGTTGGAGTACCCCCACCACTTTCCTTTTAGAGTAAAAAGCATAGAGCATGAAAGCTTTGAGTTTGTCTTGGCTTTAACAGTGTTCAGTATAAGTATTATTATCATGATAAAATTTTGTAGAAAAATGATGGCCATTTTAGATTCAATTAATAATTGTCTTGAGAGTTTTCCCAATATCGTACCTCGTTGCCCTTACTAAGACACCCAGAACAAAATTGTATTATCCAATTTCCATCAATAGCTAACATTTTGTGATCATATAGACAAAACTAAGAAACTGGATTTCAAAAAATTCAACAAAATCCTAACAAACTGACACATCTTTTTATTTTAAATATTTGATGTTTGCAATTTAGTTGCGGGTTACGATCAGGAATGCGTACAAGACACGCAGTGTATAGAAAGCTTGGGCGCCCTCTCTACATGCGATGGGTTCTGCAAGTGTGTAGATGGCGCTCATCGCTACACCGACGGGAGATGTTACAAGAGCATCCGTGAGTGTTCTAGGCAATGGCATTATTTTCAAAGGAAAGAAGACATCCTAAAATAACTAAATATGGCAAACTTAAGCAAAACAAAAGTATAAAGTAAAAACTATCGTTCTGTCCACTCTCTTGGCGATAGAATGTGTTTCAAGGCGTGGAAGGGATAGTTGATGGTTTGGTCTGTTTGGTCTGTTTTCGCACGCACTTATTCACCAAATTACAAATATGTTAACGTCAAAATGCGATATCAAAATTTCAAAGAATGTTTTCAAAATTAATAATAATATAATAATAAATAATTGTTAGCTGAATAATTGAAAGCATGCCAGCTTTCCTTTGAGTATAACGGCAAGTGATTTTTTTGGTTTCAACTTTGATTAATTCAATTTGTGCCCGCAGTATTGGACGATTTCTGTCAGACGGACGCCAACTGCATCCTGGGCGACGGCACATTCGCCTTCTGCGCAGACGGTCAGTGCAGTTGCAACTTGAAGCAGCAACCGTCCGCCGACAAGCTGAGTTGTATAGAAACGCGAAATCTGGGGGAAAGCTGCTCGGACAATAATCAGTGCTCTCTAACGGAAAACGCTATTTGCAGGGAGGTGTGCAGGTGTGCCGCCGGATACGTGTTGTCCAGGAACAGAACCGCGTGTTTAAAAGGTTTCTTTTTTACAGCGGCAGCTTTGTCTTTCGATTAAGTGTCGTGTTTTAGCCGCTACGTATTTTCTGGAACCTTGCGAGGAGAACCCCCAGTGCTCGGAGTTTTTGAGGGGTGCCGCTTGTGTCGCAGGAAACTGTTCCTGCATGGACGGGTTTCACGGGTTTGAAAACACGTGCGCCAGGAGTGCAGGATTGGGAGAAGCTTGCGCGGGTAATTATTGGCTTCAATAACTTTCGGTTTCGGTGTTATTGAAGGAAAATCAATATTATCTCTCCTCACAGAATTCAGTTTAATTTGTTGTTATTTTTGGACGTGTTAAACTAATAGTGATGAAATCTTGGGTAGTTAGTTAGTAGTTTTTGGGACAAATTTATGATATAAGCCAATTGCGTGCTGAAAACTATAAAAATCATTATTGAACTGTAAAACGTAGTATTGTACCTATGAGGATCGTCAAGGGTCCCGGGAGTGATAGGTAGATAATCTGTCTATTTATATTAGTATTTAAAATTAGAATTATAGTTGCTTTTCAGCAGTTGTCGGAGCTACTGAAGACTGTAAATTTGAATAAACCATTTATAAAGTTTGTTGTCGACGAAATCGCCTCAAAACGAAATATAAATGGTATTTCGCATTCCGCCATAGCACTGCCAATTAAACTCCATAGAATTGCTATTCCAAGGGGGGATAAAAACGGCAGATTGTGAAAAATGGAGTGCATCGAACATGTGACTGAAACAAGCTGACAACATGGTAGAAAACACTGCAAAGTTCGGCGTCCAAAAAATTATTTCATCTGACCACGGGGAACATGATTAATCTGTTTTAATATTATTCTTGTTTCTATATAAGTTTTTATTTACTTCATCTTATAATTAAATAATAAATTAATTTATTATCTGATTATCCGCCCATTTCTACAATTATAGTCGTATATAATTATTATCATATTATTATATCTATTATTTCTGTAGTAAACACCGTATCTCTCTCCTCTTTTTTAGGAACGATTCGAGTTCTTAAAAACTGAAATATGGAATTATTAAAAATCACCAATGCAATTTATCTACACTTTACGATTAACTTTTTAGTTGTCCAACCGGTTTAATAATTTCTTGTTCTTTCTCTTCTTCTTTCTTTTTCTTAAGGTAGAGTTAGCTTTGAATCAAGGCTCACGTGGGAAACCTTATTGCCTATCGCATGCCATTTAATACCAAACTTTTGAAGCTATTTTTCTAGAATATACTGGGCTTCAACCATTAATGATTATTTTTGCCATTTGTCCCACGATCTTGAAGTACATTTATTAAATTATGTGGTGTCATTTCAATAACACTCTCCATTTTCACCTTTAAATAAAACTGTAAAATCTAAAGTTTTCTAGACTTTCTAGATTTTTTCGGGAAAACGACATGTATCAAAAGCAGAAAAAAAAATAAAATTAACTATTTTTTGTTTTTTAGCTTTGGAAGAATGCGTTACGGAACGACAGTTTGGCAACATTGTCAACTGCACCGAAGGCATATGTCAGTGTCAGAGGGGGGTAGTGGACGAGAGACATGGATGCTCGCGCAGCGATGACGTTCCCGTAAACGATTCGCTTATAGTGTTTTTTACCGTTATTTATTTAATTAAGGCCGCCTTAGATTGGTAAGGGACAACCGAACAAAAATAAAACGCAATTTTATAACTTTGGTTATTCATTTTTTTAATTCTGGCGTACAAAAATAAATTAAAAACAAAACAAGAAAAGCCGAAAAAATCTACGACAAAAAATACGTATTTTTGGTAATAACGAAGTTGGTATGGCGGTGAAAATAATAGTGGATCGCGCGACACGCGGCACTGGGATGAATGTCATTCCTATCCCATATCACTTTATGAACTACTGGTATAATGGTTAACAATAATAAATGGTGTTTACATCGATGTATAAATCGATAATGTGCAATATTTTAATAAATCTTGATTTTGAATATATTTTTAAACGTCAAATCCAACAGTCTTATTTGGTATTTTCATAAAATCAACAATATCTCCGTTGATGAATTTTGTGGTAAGAAAAGTTCGGTGCAGCAATAAATTTCGAATTTTTAAAAATATTGCGTGATGTGTATAAATAGGCAACGCGAATTAAATAATTGACATTCGAAAATACTAAATCTAGGTGATTATTAAGTACAAGAAACACTAAGGTACATGGTATGGCAACAAATTTTAAATCCTATATACAAAACATGGCCGAAACTTTTACTGCAATTTCTCGGTAGGTGATGACCTTTATGTGTTGAAGTACATGTTGGAACAAATCGTAAACATCACTAGCGGTATCGCAAGTCTTTGGTATAGAGTCTGTGTGTCGGAACCTGCAAGAACGAAAAATAAGAATCATGTCAAATCTTGAAAATAAGGGCGGGGGCTATTATTTGCGTTTGCTACTAGTAACGTAATCAAAATAAATAATTCACATAATGGAAGGCGGTCGAACGAAAAATGACGCGTGAATATTTGGATCTTCAAATAGCTAATTAAAGCCAAATAATTAAAGGTAAACGATTAATTAAGGAAGCCAACAAAACACGCAAAACAATTATCCTGTTATTACACCTCCGGAGTAAAATACATGTCGCATTTTGTGTTTAACTTCACCGAGCTACAAGTAGTTGAGCAAATGTTTATACAGGGCTATGTACAAATAGTTCTAACTGTCTAGAGACATTTTTGGAACTTTTTCTCCAAACTTAAAAACCCACGCACTCGTTTAGAAAACAAAGTTGAACTTACTAGAGCATGTTCTCCCATCTTCACTGGGATAATAAAACTCTTTGCATTGGCACCTGACGTTTCCGTCGCAGTAAGCGCCATCTATGCAGTGTTCGTCATATTTACAACGCTCTCCTACATCTGAAAGTGTACCGATTTGCAATTAATTTAGGAAAATGATTAATAATGACCATTACTAAATTGGTACAATTAAATAATTATGCTTATTAAGTAGTACCTATGGCGCTCTTTTTTGTATAAAAATTATATAGGTCGCGTTCCGAGCCCCAAATTTTTTAGGTTAGTGCTAATACGAAACTTGACATTTAAAACAGATGATTAATATTCACAATAGTGTGGCTTCCAGCATATTTCGATGCGATTACCGTTCGTCATTTGCATTTATTTACATCGTATTTAAATATGCAAATGTTTCAACTCAGTACATATGAAGTCGAACAATAATCAACGCACAAAGGTATAGTTTGTTCACAAATATACAAAACTGGCTATTAATGATTTGCAAATTCGAGAGGATACTAAATTTGATTGATTTTCCAATTGCTCGGACAGCTGTGAACATATGTAATGTCTAATGATGCCCCCTAGTAAACCTGCCATTTTTGAGGTATTTAATATTTTCTGTCATAATCGCGTATACAAAATAAATAAATATTAAACTAGATAACTACCTAAACTTACTACTTTTTACTGTTTACTTGCCAAGAATAAAATATTTTTGAAAATATGGTTTATTGACCTTCTGTAAATATCTTTAATAGGCAGATGCAGTCAGGAAGTTTGATTTCTTTCAGCACGTGAAGCTTTTGTACTTACATCCAACACACTTATCCCCATTCCTGCTTGCAATGTACGACGGTCTGCACTGACATGTCCTATTCCTCGCGCAGAAGTAACCTATGCTCTTACAATCTCCGACAGTCAAACAGTGTTCGTTCAAATCTGCACAGAAAACGTAAAATAAAATGATGCTATCTCGTTTAACGAAATCATAAATCACTTTTGTAGAAACTTAATCGGAGTTTTTCCGCTACTGCAGCAATTAAGCAAATAAGACCCGTTCTGCGAACTACTCTCTGCTATTGTTTTATTACTATTTCGGGAAATACCGACTGCGTTTGGAAATTAACATAGATGGAAAAATGCAAACCATTAAGCAGGGGAGTGAAACAAAATTCTTTTAATTTGCGCAAAAATTGGACCTATTAAGGACTATTCTACTGCCATTTGATATGACTTTATATATATATATATATATATATATATATATATATATATATATATATATATATATATATATATATATATATATATATATATATATATATATATATATATATATATATATATATATATATATATATATATATATATTCTCACGTATTGATTCACGGACTAACCAAAACTTTACTGGAAACGTTTCCGAAAACGAGCTATATATTCAACATTTTCCATTGATTGTTTGATTGATTGATTGATTGATTTGCGGATAGTTCGTATATCTGTATTGCGGCACAACAAAAATCACCTTCAGAATATTAAATTTTGAGAGAACATCCTCTAATCTTGCATTGGTAATTGCATTCATATTGTCACCGCAATCAGCAAGGTGTTATAATTGAATTGTTTTTAAATGTATTTTTTAAAATTAGTATTTGGTCTCTAAATTATTTTTCTGGAACATTGTCGTAATACCTTAAGACGGTCTAAGTCGTTTTGTTTTCGTGTTTTCAGATACTTTGAATAAATTAGCTGTGTGACTTCTTTTTTATAATTTTATCTACATATGTAAAACCATTTTCCATTACTACATTAAATATGTTCATTAAATATTACAAAAAAATAATATGGTTACCATCGCAAACACTACTAGAATCAAATCAATGCCAAATCCAAATCCATTTTCCATAACTACATTAAATATGTTCATTAAATATTACAAAAAAATAATATGGTTACCATCGCAAACACTACTAGAATCAAATCTTGATATTGCAATTTAATAGTTTTATTTATTAAGTATACACTTGCTAACATCGAAGGATCTCCTAATTTTACTTTAAAAATGGAAAAATCCAATACGGCGTTCATATAAAACACTGATGATGACGAATTTACAATAAGCATAAAAATATAACTTATTTCCGACAAAAAAATTAAACGTGAAGAAAATTCGGAAACTTGTTGCGTAATTTTGTGTAACGGATATTTTACTTTTTGTATCAACAAAATAGCTAGCTCGCACTTTATACCAACTAAACGCGGTTGCTAAAATTCCAGCGATTATCCAAGTACATTTTTCTTACCGCTCCTCTTTCCCTAACCGCAAAAGCCGAAACGGCGCGCAGCTTTCCGAAAAACGGCGGCAAAAATCCGCGCACCGCAATAACCTATAAAAAGCCTCTCCACTTACCCGACCTACTGTCCTGTGCGCAAACGGCAGTCAACAAGAACGTGAGCGCCGCAAAAACACAGTAATCCATGACTAAAACCAGTCCTTTTGCATTGCAGCTGTCTCGCCTCCTTTTCTTTCATGTGTGGGGATCCGGTTATCCTTGATGAAAGTTTGGTCGATTCCGTAGTACGCTCTCGTATTTTTTGACGCGTTTTTTTTTTCGCCGTTGTGACCTACAATGAACATACGTTGCCTTTATCGCCCGCAGCGAAACGGGAGATTGCGACGAGGAGGCGCGAATGTGTGGTACCTAAATCTCTTTAGAGATTGCGAAAGAGACGTTAGACGTCTGGGGATAGCCGTCTAAAGCCCCTTTGTTCCCCGGAAATGATATACCGGACGGAATCTGCTGTGTGTGCGCGGTACGAAACTGGGAAAAAAAATGTGAGAACTCCCAGAAGTATTTGTACTCATAATCCATCACAAACAGATATATCCAAAGGAGACTGAACAAGCTGTTCATGTTTATGGAAGTCACATGTAATTCTCACACCTAAACAAACATAATATCGCCACAAAAATCAATTTGTCGCGGTTATTTGATGGTGTACTTAACCGTTTACTTGACTTGCTTGATTTTCTAAAAAAATATACAAAGCTCTACAAACTAACGAAAACTGTTTCAAAGGTAAAAAGAGGATTTAACCACTCATACCTTTATGTTGCGTGTTAGTATCTTAACTTAATCTTATCTTGTTTTAGAAGTCCTTTGTAGAAAATATAAATTGTCCTTCGAATTATAAGAGAACTATAAAATATTACCAGTTTAAGCCTCAGATGTCTTACTACCAGTTACATCTATAAAACTCGTCAATGTTTAAATTGGCGTAATGACCAGCACCAGATTAATTCCCCAAGAAGTGCTTTGGAAAATAATTAATATGAATTATTGATTATTCATAAGGTAACAAAAAGTGTGTATATCTATTTATATTTTGACGCATTCTACGAAATGAAATATGTACAGTGTTCCCCATTTTTAATGGTTTTACGGAGTATCTTATTTTATTAATAATGCTAGAGTGTTGTAATCCAATGCTACAAAAATTTACTACTTATTTGTTGTTGAATCCAACTTGCTTCGATTCAAAAACAACCAACGCAGTAAATGGTATTACAGGAGCCTGTGGCAGGTTCTTTAAAAAAACAAAAATTTAATACAGATATAGATGCGATGAGAATTCGGTGGCGTAGTCAGTTTTCCTTTGAAACTCTCAAATTTTGATATATACAATAAACTTTTTTTTTAATGGAATACACTGTATGCCGTTTAATAAATTCTTTAGACTTGTTACTAGCTTTTCATGACTCGTAAGAGCTATTTCAAAGATTATTGAGTAGGAAAATACAGATTTTTTAACATAATTACATAAATACAAAAAGTTAGTTACTAAAACCAACAGAAGTGGGACACACTTTACATGAATTCTACAATTTTTAAGGATTTCAGTCCCTAGAGATTTAACATATAAAAAAACACTATTTAAAAGGTTAAGAGGAGTTAAACTAAATAAATAAATTTTGAGCAAAACATGGGCGTAAAGAATATAGCAACTATCAATCGCCTAAGGTCGATTACGTAGAAACCACAACACTAAAGTGTCCCTAATAAATGTGGGTTGTTGAAACACAATCGTTCAAAATATTCTAAATGTATTGTAAATAATTAATAACATTTTAGTTTTAGCAAAAGTAAAGCAAAGCCGCTTAGTTTCGCAATTTCGTGTTTGGTAGTAGTGTATAGTTGACAGAAGACAACGACAGCTACGACTTGTCATTTTTGTCACATTCGTATGGCCTGTTCACGAAACACACAATATAATTAAAAAGAGGGTAAAACAATACCGCAAAGTGGGTAAATTCTACTGATTCTCACCAAAACGTGCGACGTAAAAAATCAGCTGCGTTGATGTAGATGTTTACAAGTAGTGGGCGTACCACCGCCACCAAGAGAACCCCTTACTATCCAAGTAGGAACCGGAATTTCTCCATAATTTAGTATTATGCTTTTCGGGCCTCCGTGCAAACCTAAACCGCGACACCCACGCACTAACTAAACTTCTTTTATTAACGGGCACAAACACCTGGAAAATGTCGATCGTCGTTTGTTTAATCGCCAACTAATATTATGAATACTATCGAGTAGGTATAAAATATCGATCAAAGGTTTTTCATGGAAACCTTTTATCGCGGACATTTCTGGGTTACTGATATTTCGTTACAACCCCCCTCCGCGCCGTTGTCCCCCTCAATAGATTGAATACATAATGAAAGGAATCCTTGCCGACACCAGGGGGGAAGGAATGGACATAGCGTAGTCCCATTATGTGTACATAAAGTGTAGGGTATAAGTTTAAGCAGGGTCGTGCCTCGTTAGGTAATGCGTAAATGCGTAGTTATCGATTTAAGAAAGGACAAAACGAAATGTTTTCGCGACAAATAAAAAACGCGTGCGTGCATTGTCCCTCGTATATTTTCACGCGACAATGTTGTGGCGTCCTTAAGTTACGAGTATAAACGGATCGTAATATCAAATATCTAAGATTAGTACACTTCCGGTGGCATGGCTTATCGAGTAGTATGGGAACTGCTTTTATATGACGAATCCATGGAACTGGATAACAATAAATTATATGACTCGGTGTGTTTTCCGGGATTATACAGGGTTTTTATAGCAAAAATATCACTTAGAAAATAATCTGAAATAGACTTGCTTTAAAGTATATAATATATATTAAATATATATATATATATATATATATATATATATATATATATATATATATATATATATATATATATATATATATATACGCAACGCAACGAAGAATAAGTGATTTAGTAATGAAACAATTTTAATTTAATTATTTTACCGTGAATCTGACAAAAACATTATATTAATTTTCAGAAAATGTCAGTCAGGGACGATACGGCAGACGGACGCCAATGGTAGACATAAAGAAAACGTTGGTTTGTTGTTGTTGAAGTTTTTATCTAAATGATGATATAAAACAACATAAAAAATAACCATACCGATGCGCAAAAAGATAGATATGATCTAAATATTTTAGAAATGAATTAAATATAATTGATGGATATGTTCATAAAAATTTTATTCCGCATCAAAAAGTTTTTAAAGCCACCAAAAATTGTTAAATGTTATACCTAGTGGAAATATTTTATCTTTTTTTTCTCTTATATATATATATATATATATATATATATATATATATATATATATATATATATATATATATATATATATATATATACGCAACGCAACGAAGAATAAGTGATTTAGTAATGAAACAATTTTAATTTAATTATTTTACCGTGAATCTGACAAAAACATTACATTAATTTTCAGAAAATGTCAGTCAGGGACGATACGGCAGACGGACGCCAATGGTAGACATAAAGAAAACGTTGGTTTGTTATTGTTGAAGTTTTTATCTAAATGATGATATAAAACAACATAAAAAATAACCATACCGATGCGCAAAAAGATAGATATGATCTAAATATTTTAGAAATGAATTAAATATAATTGATGGATATGTTCATAAAAATTATATTCCGCATCAAAAAGTTTTTAAAGCCACCAAAAATTGTTAAATGTTATACCTAGTGGAAATATTTTATCTTTTTTTTTTCTCTTATATAGTGTATCCTAAATTCTTTTTTTTTTGTCTACGATATACTTTTATGGAAATTTTCATAGGCTACCACCTATTTAGATATTTCCACTGCTTTAGAAGGGACTTCAAGATAAATAAATTTAAATATTTTCGAAAGTATTCTCTCTATCTGGGCTACATTTTGATATATTCTACAGATGACAATGGCTTTTGGTAAAAGTCATGTTTGTTTAATTATTTGTTATCATGCACAAAACATTTTTTACTCCATCCTCTTCGAGTCTGGGATTCAATCTGCGCCTAAAGTTTTTTGTTTTGCGGAATATTGTCAGTATTGGTCAGTCTTGCGGATGAATTTACAGTGATAATTATGCCCATTAACTACAAAATTATAGCAATGATATGTACTTACTATTCGTAACCGACACACAATCCTCACAATGAACAACAAATCGAAACTTTCCGAAGTCGAAAATAATGACACCTTTGCAAAATTACGGTGTAACAATATTCGCGCTAGATGTCTGGCAATTTATTCGCGTTTATTTTCCACATAGTCATGAGAACGCGCTACGTATATGAACATTTTATCGGGACTAGGTAGGTATTCATTCGGTTTAACGTTTCAGCGGTTTTCCATCTGTTTGTAACGATCATTTTTTTGCCATCAACTGGAGACCCAGGGTTTTTTCAGATTCATTTGCATTTGAACCTACTTTTATATACGTTCGTTCATACTCGTACACAATGATGGGCATTTACATAGCTAATCCATTCGTGAAGAACACCGCAAGTGGGTTATGCATACTTATGAAGTATGTTAGCCTAGATAAAGGAAACTTAACAACGTGCTTCCTTAAAATATTCGTAGAAGACTCTTTTTGGTGTTATAAATCCAGTCCAAAATTACAAAGCTAGTTAGCGTTACCTCCATTACCTCTTTCGATATAGTTTTCAAATTTTGATTTGTTTAAACTTAAAATTGGAGGCGGATACCCTGTTCAACATTATCCTATTTACTGAGAAAGAAAATAATCCGATCGGCATAAAAAACACACGCTTATATATACTTTATCCAACGTTCATTGTCGCTATAAAACGGTGGATGCGCCGGGCCAAAAACTATACGCCTCGGCTTTTTTAAATCCAACTTCTCAAAGCGTGCGTTCCAAAATTACTTCTGACAGGATTACCTGGCAACGTCAAATAAAATAGTTGTTGATAGTAGACGTCTCAAAAGATTCACTCAACAACATTCAACAAACTTATTTAACGTTAGTATTCGGTTTTAAGCGAAAACAACTTTATTTGACACTTATATATGTGACAGTTTGCAAATGAATTTTTGAATTTGTTATTTCCATGACAACTGTTGTCATCTAGTATTTTAATAGTTTTCATTATTAGTTCCTCTTTCCATTCTCTGTGTTAACAGTTAGGTTTTCTGCAAAAATCTCAATGTAAAAAAATTTGATAAACACAATTTTAGTCACGAATTTGATTTGGCTCGAGCAGAGCTTAGCAGAGAAGTTTATCAGAGTGCATACTATACTTTTTCTACGATCATAAATACAGCAGCACAAATACATTTACTGAGTCAAACTGCCCGTGACTAAAGTATTGGAAATATCTGAAGTGTCTAGCGACCGTGGGTAAAGCAGCTGACGCCTCAAAATGACATTTCCCGCTAGATGGATTTGTGCGTAATTACCGAGCAGATTTTTAAAAAGTCTTGTAGTTTAAGATAGCCAATGCAGGTATATTTCTTAAAAATCGTAAAGATAACTTTTGTTTTGTGTTACATTTTTATTGTAGGTGGCTCAAATTAAACAAAATCGTATCAACAAAATATATATGATATATTAAAAAAGTTTATCTGAATAACAACAAACACATTAAAATAAGGACAAAGTTAAAATCTACCTCGGATTTTTCTACAATTTAGGCATTAAAAATTACACAGCCCGCGATAAATAACATTGTATTAATTAAAACGGATCCTGATTTAGTGGAATCACCTGAAAAACGAAGTCTCAATTTATATTCATTTTAAAAAAACAAATGGACAAAAAACAAACACAACTGCAATAAAAGTGTCACAAACTTTTAAGCGCAGTAAATTCCAATCAACGGCCGGGGTACAATTATAGGCACTGCCAAGGCATTGGCCAGAAAATGAGAACCACCGATGAAAGTGCAAGCCGGATTGAAATTTAGCACCCAGATCATTTTATTCCGTTTTGAAAAACTCGAACTTACTTGAACAGTACCCGATATCATCAATGTAAGTGGTATGATCGGCACATTTGCACGTTTCCATTGCACATTCCAAGCGATTTTCTCCTTCTTCGTTACAATCGGAGTTATTCCTACACTTGTCGCCTAAATCTAGACAATACGACCTTTATGTTTAGATACAAAAAGAAAAGTAAACGTGGTTTACATTGCCAATTGCAAAACTAGTGTAGCATTCAAACGGCTAAAGTTCGCCCGACGATATACGGTTTTTACAACTTTTTATGGTTTGGAATGAGTTTAAGACCCGCTTGTTGTGAAGCGGAAGGGACCATTCTTTTCAGCACATGAACCACAAGCCATGGCCGTATTTAAGACCGACAAGAACTGTGCCGTGGTCATGTTCTATTTTAAGAGTAGGGAAATCTTCTTTGATTAAACGGTTATATTAATTCATACTTAAGGTAGCTGGATTCAAAGTTGAATCTGCACATTAAATAGGTTGATCTCCTATATTAGAAGCACTTTAGCAAGCTTAAACTGATTTCCAATTTAAAGGTTTAACATAATGACTGTAAAATATTTTCGTTATGTAGATAATTGATTTATAATGGATGCTTTCCCAGTTTGCTATTGGTTGATTTGTTTGGGTTGGTGAAATCGGAGTATGTCAGTTTTATGAAACGAAACAGTATTTTCTTAACCGTCTAAGCTTTGGAGTTATTTCTAATCCGTCTTGTGTTTGTAATTAATATTTATCAATTTATTTCTTACCATATACTAACATTATTCAATGAAGAATGTGGTCGTACGGTTCTGGATCGGCATTGCGATCCACGCCTGCATACAAATTTTCCAAAGGTGAATACCGGATTATATCGTAAAAACGGTATATCAGTGGGAGAACTCTACATGAAAACCTGTACAGGGTGTCCCACTTAATAATTGCTTCTTTAGCGAATGTTTTCATTATCTTATCTATATATCTATATCTTACGTTTATCCCTGACGCACTTATTAGACTTCCATTGGAATTGATAGGAATCCATACAGCCGCAGTGACCATCTTTGCAAATAGCCGCTCCGAGTTCCGCGCTGCATTGAATATCTTCGGAACATGGGTCGCTTATCTTCTTTCCGACAGGCAGACATTTATCTCCGGAGTCGCTTCTCAAATAGCCGTTCTTGCACCTGCAGTGTACCAAGCATTTGGAAAATTGGACCAGCGAGCAGTCGCCAGTCGCGTTACAATGTTCACCAAGACCTGTATAATGCAAAAGGCAAAGGTAAATTAAAAAATAATTCTTATACTTGCTTTGCATAGGTAGGTTAAAATATGGGACTCATCCAGTCAGTAAATTTCTTTGAAATGCATTTTTTTCTTTTATACAATAGCCACTTGAGATAAGAGAACACATACAAATGTAATATTTTTGGCAATAAATTATAGTTTCTAGTATACTAGTATTCTAGCCTAGGTGTTGTGAAGGAAAATTAAAAGATTTTTGGCACCTTCACCGCTTACATGCAATTTTTTTTATTTCATTTCTTAATTAATTTTAAGTTCTTTGTTTGGGATTTCTACTTATTAAAACACAAAATACAAACAATAACAATCTAAAATTAGGTCTATTGTGTTTTAAAATTTGAAGAAAATAATTTAATAATAAAACGGCGTTATTGTGAATATATTACAAATATATATTCCAAAAGGTGAAGGTGAATATTTGGTAAATCTTTATATAAGAGAACCGTAGTTTAATATGTGATACATAAAAAAAAACTGTACGAAAACGAACATTCAAGGGGAAGGCGGTATAAATTATGAGTTGTACAAATAAAAAAAAATTTTTAATTATCAACGGACTTATTATTAAATATATATTATTAAATATATTCCAAAGAAAAAATTTTCTCTTCCATAAATAAAGCTCTCCTATGGAACATTCTTTTCATCTCGAGTCCAATTTGTTCCGGAATAAATAGCGTATTAAAGACACGGGACAGTGTGACCTGTCAACTGTCATGTTGTTTTAAGTTAATTTAGACCCGTTATTAATAAGGGCCGTTATGTAACGCTAATATAGGAACAGATTCTTCCGACGTCGGTCCTTTTCACGGGTTAAACTTCGTTATAATGGGGGTTTGTCGCTGGTAGAGACTCTATTAGTAACTGTCATTTTGGTATGCCTTAGAAATTGTGACCATGGCCCTTCGCTAAAATTTTTCATATGCGGAGGGACAGGTTGAGCCCTTAATCGTAAAAATTAATAGATTTTGAGTGTCTCAAAAGATAAAATAATATAATGTTCTATTTACTAAGTGTCTCGAAAAACAAGCTCATTGCCGTTCTTTTTACTGTAAATATTTTGGTGCTCAGCTTTTAATTGTACTTATATAATTTATAATTAAAACTATTATTACATTACTTATCATTACAAATGACGTTGGAAAATCTCAACAAATAGACCACGTTTTTTTAATATATTATGAAAAAATTAAATTTTCAATACCTCGCATCAAGGCATGTCCTTTGAAATTTTTCATTTTTTTAAAATAAAATAACATATCTCCAGCAGAACTACGGCGTATGTTTTTGAACAGATGGTAGATTCTAGAAATACAAAATTTTTTATTTGTATTAAACACACTGTATATGGTAGAAATAAATAACTTTTTTTTAAAGCTCGCATCTTTACTTACGAATATATATATATATATATATATATATATATATATATATATATATATATATATATATATATATATATATATATATATATATATATATATATATATATATATATATATATATATATATATATATATATATATGTTTTTGTTTATAATAAGCTATTGCTTTTAAATACATTACCATAAAGAGTAATTTTGGTGATTGGTAGATAAAGGGGCCTATTAAAGAACGTGCGACGCAATTTATTTAAAAGCTAATAACGTTATTAATCCCTCTTTTAATAGGTCAATAAAAAAGAAACCGGATCGTATAATCCCCATCAGGAGTCCATTTTTTTTACTCTGGGAGTGCTAAGAAATAAACATCTAATACGTAAACATATGGTCAAAGCGAAATGTGGTGTGAAAGTTGATTTTTTTTTTACGCCTGTTTCTTTTGACAGGCACGATTTCTAGGTTTGTATTTCTATAATAATTATTAATTAGATCGTCAACTTTCCGTCTTTTTGTTTATTTAATTTAATGATTTGTGGAAATAGTTGTCGATAAAAATCAATTTTACCTAAAATGTTCAGAAATTTACAAGAGATCTAAAATGACAGGATGTCAAAGCTTGATTTTTCTATTTTCTGAATAATTTTCTAAAAAATGCCGATTATTTTTCAGATAGTCATTTCCAACAATTATTGAATTCATTTTTTTTAATGCGGGATCACACAAAATGTATGAGCCTCTAAAAGTAAGAAAAAGGAGATAAATTAAGAATAAATTTCAATTTCTCATTCCAAAAAAACCACAGGTGTCAATTTTTGTGCAGAAATCGGCATTATTTCGAAAACTCTTGGAAACGTTTGTAGTAATTTTTCGCCTTACAAATATTTCAGAACTGGCTATGTGAAATATGGGAGACTAACACGCCGTCTATCTATCACACATCGAGGAAAAAAAATGACCTTTGGAGACTAGGCTGCCAAATAAAATAAAGTTTCCGTTGGAAAACTTTGAGAATTAAGTAAAAAAAATCCATTAAATTAACAGTAACGCTGGGCCTTGTGGAAAAATTAAAAAGGGATTGTTTAAACAATAGCGAAGCGCTTACGCGCGAGACAGTTACTCTCTTTCGCTCGCGCATCCTCACACGCCGATGAAGATATCCACGGCTTAATAAGCCCGTCCTCAGTCAATGTCACGAATTAATCCCGCGGATCAGTGACAGAAGGCCTTGATTCCGATTCATTTAAAACGTCATTAAAGGAAAGGAAAATCCTCCCGCATATCCCACAAATCACGTTGGCATAACAAACGACGCCTTGTCAACGTTGACGTATTCTTAACTGGTGTTTATCTGGAAATATACGTACCGACATTTTTGTAACAGACACCGTCATATTCGTGCATCTGCTGCTGACAAACGCATTCGTTATTTTGACATTCCGAACGGGGGTCGGTGGATCGGCATTGGACACTGTCTTCGCAGCTCTCGTTTAGTTTGGACGCTGCGAAAATAAAACACTTCATGCGTTAAAGCAGTGTTGTCAGATGACGTAGAAATCGTAAAAATCAATGACCAAGAATTACGTTAATGCATGAATAGTATCTGTGTCATGTAATGATGAAGCCACATTGATACCGACTACTTCAAGTATTCCTTCATGGCGAAATCAAAAACAAACGAACACCAGAACAAATGAAACTAGCTTGACTAGAAAATCTAAGAACGTAGTTCGGCAAGACATCTCCAACTAGGCTCTAAGCATGAATAAAATGATAACCGTGCTTGTATAAAGAACATCCGAAACTGATAGGCGACCAGAGAAAAAAAATCACTTTTTCTTATTTAATAATAATAATAATTTATTTCCCAAACATATATAAACAATACATTTAAAGTTGTCAGTATGAGTTTTCGAAGTAAACATACAAAGAGTTTACGCACTGTAGTTTTATAGTTAAAATTGTTTTGTTTTTTTAAATTTAATCGGCGTGCAGCTGCTTTTGAGAGTGATTGGTATTTTGTTATACAATTTAATACCAACCAAGTTAATGGACGATTGAGTTTTGTTTTTTATGTCTGGTATCATTTGAAAATCGGATCCTTTTTTTTATTTTCATCCACATACATTATGAACTGATAGATGAAAATTGAAGGATGTGTTAGTATTTTTTTTTTTTTAATTACAGTTATCCTAACTTTGCGCGCAACTCATAGTTCGAACAATCTTTTTTTGAATTTTAAAGATTCTATCTGCCTCTGCGCTATATGATATCACGTTAATGAAGTTACTAAAACAAAGCGTTAAAGCTGCCTCAAAAGTTGTACAGTTGAATAAGTTTTCGAATGTGAAATGTAACTTTGTTTAATTTCCCGACCAGCAAATCTATATGCACGTGCCAGTTAAGTCTACTATTGGTGAAGTTTACCTTAATTAATACAAAAATTCTCGAATTAAACTATTTCTTATATTAAAACAAATATTTGAAATTGTTTCAATTCATATCCATCCGACGTAAATATATGTTATTTTTCCCATTCCCCACAGTGGTTAACAAAGCTAACTTCTTTAAGTAAGTTACCATGTATTAATTAGTTTTTGACTATTCTTTATTAAAATAAAGTAAATAATTGAAAAAAGCTCGTCCGAAAATTCGAATTCGAAAATTTATAATAATAATAATATAGTTAAATAAGAACAAACGTTGTTCAGATTTTCACCTAAATATATTTAAATGACAGCTGTTTCGGCAACACCGTGCCTTTATCAAAGGCATTGCGGAAACAGCTGTCATTTAAATATATTTATGTGAAAATCTGAACAACGTTTGTTCTTATTTAACTATTTTAAATGGATTTTCATCAAGTAAAAGACACTTCAGTACAATAATAATATACTTTATTCGAGTAATTTCGACAAAGAAAATTACAAGATGTATCTGATTGCTGATTTCTACACGTATCCTTACAAAAACAAAAACACAAATCACAAATTTCCCATATGGTTTCAACTAAAGTTTCATATTCGTCAAGTACCTACCTATATATAAAAAAAGGACCTAAACCTACTCTGTAACAAAACTAACTAAACTTAAGAGGCCAGTACTTTATTTTTTTGAAAGTAACCAGGTTTTTAGTTTATTAGGAAAACAATTTATTCTCGCATTGTGAAGGGAAGCCGTAACTAAATGATATTTCAAATCTTAGATTAGGGTTGTTCACGTCCCACATTAGAACAAAGGAACTTAAAGTTCGGAATTAAATAAAAAAATCAAGTTGGCTATGAACGTCTAACTATTATATATTTTGGAAGAACACTTACTAACCTACAAATTTCGCCGACTCTGTTTTTTTTTGTTATAAATTCTGTTATCGCAGCAGCGCTGATAAAAATATGCTGCCGCGAAAGTGCATTTTTAAACCGGCATTAGATAGCAAGTGTATTTAGTTTCGTTCAAGCATTTATCTTTTAAATGGATCAAATAGCATCAGCTATGTACTCGTTATTTTATTATATTTATAGGCACAGGTTTATTTACTATAACCCAAATTTATTTTTTATTAAATTTTAAGCAAAAATATATATATTTTTTTAAACATGTAGACAGAAACTTTACTGTCACACGCTATCGCAAAAAGATTTTTATACCAGAGTATAGCTAGGCTATCCGTGTCTCATACTTTACCATATTTGCCTACGCCAATTTGTGCCGTAATTTTTTTTTATTTTTTTCGGAAACGAAACTTAAACGAAAAATATGAAATAAATTTAAATTTAAATAAAATGAAGTCTTTTGGGTGTAAAAATTTTGAAGAACAATGTGCATTTTTGAAAGATCACTTGAATTTTTTTTTAAATTGTCCTGATTCTAATGTACGTACGTTCTCTCAGTCAAAAATTGCTCATTTTACTTCTCGATTAAAAGAAAAATGAAGAAAAACAAAGAGTGGCTTGAGACGATGCTTAAATTTCCTATATTTAACAATAACAACTTACCGAATCGAGAGCGTGGGACACCTGAGTTATCATTTGAGCAAAGCTGTGAAATAAGTAAGGGCCAAAAAACCGAGCAACTTACAAGGAGTTGGTCGGTTTTGGAGTAGGGGTATGCCACCAAAATGGGCTTAGAGGCTTCTGGATTCCACGCGTCTTCTAAATTGGAATTGATTGAAAATATTGTACAGTCATCTAAATGTGCATCAGAATACCAAAAAGCACACACTCAATTTACAAGATACCATGCTAATAAACTAATGTCTGGAGAGGAAGCACTTTCGAGAATGGTAGAAGTTAAATTGACTCGATAACAATACAACGTAATAAGAACAAAAGATCCAGCAAGATTCCCAATGAGGATGTTTTTAATCTTATGCTAATAAGTTCTGATTCTTACATAACGAGCTTTATAAAACTACCAACAAAAAATTTAATGTATTCCCGCAAGAAGTTTTAAGCTTAATAACTTGACCTGATTGATTTTCTGACATTTCTATTACCGTAACTGATGACAAATACTCAGAGACCCCAATTTTTTATTTGTTGACTTTGTGTTGATAATTAGAATTTATTTATTTATCTGTATTTTGAATTTTTTTAATGTTTATATTTTATTAAAATTAAATATAAACATTTAAAAAATGGTTTTTAAAACTGGACTTTAGCATTTATTTTTACCTTTTGTAAAATTACTATTAAAGTTGAAAAGGACTTCTTGTTTTTTTAATTGGAAAATAAAATTATAAATTAATAGGCTGGCCCTGTAAAAGGGCTCACCTTGTATAATACAAATGTATTATTTCTGGTCATACTTACTTATATACTAGATTTTCATTCATTTTAAAATACATAAAGAAACATTTAAGCACTTAACTTACTTAGCACTTAGCGTTGGGTACGCTTTCATTTAATTCCCCACATCAGGTGGCCTTGCCTCAGTGTGCGTCTGCCCTAAAAGTTATTTTTTCTGAGAGGTATTCAGGGTATTTTGTTTTAATGGTTTTCGAATAGAGATAACAGCAGTGGACCAAGCGCCGCGTCTTCATATTGATCCAACCCGCATCCTTCAACTTATGGCCGACGGATCTTCCAAGACGGATGCCGTAAATGAACCTCAGGCGGCATTTTTAAATTTTCTCAATTCGTTGAGAAGAGTTAGCTGGCAAGCAAGGCATCGCATAACGTATTTTTAAGATTTCCGATTAGAAAATGCCTTGAGCTATACAAACCTTTTAGACGACTAATAGCCCTTTGAGTACAAGCTGAGACATGTTTTCAAAGCGAAGTTTTGTGTACAAAAATAACCCCAAATTTTTGAAGAGAGCTGCTTGTCGCCAGCATATGATTGTATTTTACAGTACTCGACGAAATCTAAGAATTTTGTTGCGAAAATAATAAACAAAACAGGATCTAAAATCGAGGGTTTAGAATTTAGATTTCCATGTATATTAAAAACTTACTAGTCTATATAATTTTTTTTAATATTCGAAGAATCGCCCTGTAAAGTATCGATTTTATAAATGAATTGATTCACCAAACATTTTATTCAGTTTAAGTGGCTTTGCCTTAACGGATAGTCCAATAATAACGCACGCATATGGATGAGGAAAAGATTAAAATTAAGGCGCCATTCAAAGGCACGTAAATGTTAAAAAATGTTTTTTGATCGTTACAGGTACTCAGTCAGTTGTGTCGAGCGGGTTCGAAAGACCGAGATTAAATTGCCCTTTAATAATTCTATTCTATTTTATCATCAAGGAAACAATACCGAGCGATACGATGCACTCCACCTACATCATAAATATGTAGATGATTTTAATACAATAAGCTTCTTTTTGTGTTAAAGCGCATTGAAATTAATCTGTCAAGTACGACGTTAAGATTACAATAATGCAGTCTGCCGTCGAGACGTAATAAACAATTGCCGAGTGTTTAAAAAAAAATCGTAGGAAAAATTGTAGCATAACAGGTGTAGACATAAATTTTGCAAAATTCACGTTTTACCTGTTAAGCATCTCCTTCCGTCCTCGGGTGCGACTCTTCCGGTCGAACATGCGCATCCGCCTCTTTGACACTCGGAATACCCGATATTGCATTCGCCATCGTCCGTGCATTTCTCGCCGATTTTATTCACGACGGTCGCTATTTTGTCAGCGCAAAACTTTGTGCCTAAACATTCGCAAAACTTATTTTTACAAGTGGCGTTTTGCAAGTGACTACACTCGACGTCATTCTCGCATGGAGTTAGAGCTAAAAAAACAAAAAATATGTTATCTACAAACGATGGATTCGAGCTTCTATAAGCAAGGAGAAACTTGGATGAATTTTGAACGAGAAAAATCATAATAAGTGATATTTAGCTAATTATAGGTTCATAATATGGCCCTCGCCCGACAGTTCAAAAAGTAACCATAGCATCAGTTTGAATTTTCGTTTGGAATGGGTCGTTATTTATCGTATATAAATTAAAAGTATTCCTAAATCCTTCGCTTAAAAAACAAAACATAAAATGGCCTTCGATTTTAAACTTTGGTCTATATTTATTATAAAATAGCAAAACAATTTCGTCCATTCGTTCACTAATTTCGATTATGAATTGTTACACGAGATCAGTTCAAAGCTTAAGAAATGGAAATGCCTGTGTAAACGGGTGTTGGTTCGACAGTCCCGATTATTTACGTTTTATTTAATATGTAGTTAATTTTTATTACCCAAGTTATGTTCTTGTGCGGAACCGAGCAAACTGTTTTGTGCTCCAGATTTTGCAAACGCAACCACCAAGAGCGAAAACGCTAAATTCGTTTTGAACATCGTGCGCTGTTGCTGAAGATAACTAACAAACTGAACTGCTAAAAGGCAATTACAAAAATAAGAGCAGGACGAGCAAAACTAATGGTCGCTTTTTTCTACGAAACAAAAACTGACGTACTTTATTTTCCTTTTTTTTTGTCGGTGTATACGATCTTTCTGACAGACGCACGTTCCACAGAGATGTACTAAATTAAATATCGCTTTTTTATCGCAAACCGTGTAGGGTTAATCGACTCTATGAAAACAAAATCACTTATCTTTAATTGAATACGTCTAAATAATTCTTATCACGCTCATAAAGTAACCAAAGTACGAAATTTATGTGCCTCCACCTTCGTCCGAGTGTGATAAATTTTCTAAACCAAATAACTTTTAAAGTCGGTTCGTTAATAAAAACCCTCTTAAAAGGAAACACTTACGATACGCCAAAGTGTTATTTGATTTGATGCCTAAAACGGCCTGACAAAATCTTTTTTCTATTACAAAAACATATTATTTAGTATGGTCTGCTCATAGATTTAAGAGAGTGACCAATTGCTTTTCAATGGGATTATCCAAGGGTGGTCATTAACATAAAATGCAGAAGATTATTACCTAAAGTTTCGGAATTTAAATTCAGGTTAAATTGTGGTCCGTAATAGAAAATAATTTTATACCTACCTGTGTTTAATATTCTTTGGTTTGGTATACTACTTAGTTTAAGTTTATTAGTAATCATTCCTATTTCCTGTGTAATACAGCGTGTGTTGAATCGTGTGCGAAGTATGCAAAATATGTGCGAGTCTAGTGTATCTCAGGAGATGCTCTCGACCAAATATAGAAAACACAATTCTATTGAGACTAAGGAAGTTATAAACAATGTTTATTTGACTCTCATTGAACGTGGTGCCAGCAAGCAAGCATCTTTAGAAGAAACGGCCACATTGACGAAAATTCCAACATCAACTGTATGGAAAATTGTGAATAATTCCATTTCAGCGAGGGAAAAAAGATATTTTAATTAGGAGGCTTGAAAAAGATGAAACGGGTGATAAATGTGGCAGGACTACCTGGAAGTGTATTTTCAACACATGGGTTTTAGATTTTAAAAAATTGACAAAAGGCAAGTTTTAATGGAATCTTTTAGAATTCGGAAATGGCGACTGGAATATCTAGAAAAAAATTAGGATTTACAGAGAGCAACAAAGGCCAATTATTTACTTGGATGAAACCTGGTTCGACACTTATGATACCCTAGAAAAGGATCGGCTTGACTCAACTGATAAGTGTAAAACAAACGCGTCATCAAAAAGAGGTAAACGAATAACTATTTTGCGAAAAATATTAAAGATTCTTCTCTGGATTACCATGAAGACACCACCGCTGATTTATTTGAAAGTTGGTTTAAAGACAAACTAGTTCCAAACATTTCTCTTAATAGCCTCATTGTAATGGACAATGCAAGTTATCACAGTAGACAGTTGACTAAAACTCCTTCCACATGTGACACAAAAGCAACAATCCGAAACTAAATGTATAATAACGACATTTATTTTCACGAAGATTATACCAAAAAGCAATTAATTGAGGTTCTACAAAGCTTGAACCTACAAAAGGAATACGTCTGTCCGATTCCCAATCACAATCGATCTCTGTCCCTCCACAGGTCCTCGTCCAGTCATCTCCATTGTATTTACACTATAGATGCCCTCTCTCCAGCTCTTTCTCGGTCTTCCCCTCTTCCTTCTTCCTGTAGGTGTCCAGGTGAGTATTTGTTTAGGCAGTCGCTGTTCTTCCATTCTTTGGACGTGACCGTACCACTTTAACTGTTTTGTGACTATGCTTTTAATGATCGTATTGTATATTAAGTGTTTGTTTCGTCTCGTGATTTTTTGGTCCCACAAGAAGGTGTTCAGCATAGTAATCGCCTTTCTTCCTTGATTATTGCGTTCTTTAATGGCGTAGTCTAACGTCCCACTGCTGGATATGTACATTCCCAGGTATTTGTAGGTTTCGCAGCTTTTGATAGCCTGAGCATCCTCTAAGAGGAGGTCGCATTGTGCTCCACCGATACACATATACTTTGTCTTTGGTAAGTTTACTTCCAACCCCCATTTCTTGTATTCTTCGATCAGTTTTCGCATCATGTATTCTACATCATCGTAGTCTTGCGCCATTATGACTTGGTCATCTGCGAAGTTTAGGGTATATATGTTTGCATTCTTAAGGGGAATGCCCATATTTCTGCATTTTTGCTTCCACATCCTTAACGCCTGTTCAAGATATATCTGGGGGATACAGAACACCCTTGTTTCAGTCCCTTGTTGGATATTTTTTGGCCGACCTTGACTTTAATGTGGCAGTTTCTATATAATTCTTTCACTGATCTTATTATGTTGACGCTTAGGTTTGTCTTGTCTAATGCCTCCCAAAGTTTTGTTAGCGGTATGGTATCGTATGCCTTCTTCAGATCCACGAACAGGAGATGTATCTCCTTATTGAAGGCTGACATTTTCTCGATAAGCTGGGTGACGCAAAACAGATGGTCAACGACGGATCCTCCCGCGCGAAAGCCCGCTTGTTCTTCTGCTTCACTGTTTGTGTATTCGCGTTCTATTTTGGCATTTAATATTTTACCATAAATCCGACCGATTGAGCTCGTAACTGCGATAGCTCGATAGTTGTCGCAGTTTTCCTTGTTGCCCTTTTTGTGGATAGGGGTAAGGAAGGATAATTTCCATTCTTCTGGGATATCTCCGCCGTTAATACAATTTTGAAAGAGCTTTGCTAGATGTTCATACAGTTTGTGTGTTCCATGTTTGATTAATTCTGCGAGAACATTACCTGGCCCTGGTAATTTTTTATTTTTTATGTTTGTGCAAATATCTTCTACCTCATTAATGCTGATTCTGGTCGGTGAAGCCGAAACCTGTATTATGCTAGGGCTGTCGTCTTCAAGGAACTGTTCTCGGTCCTCTGTTAAAAGCTTTACTATCTCTCTCTTTGTGTTTTGGCGTTGAGATTTCAGAAGCTTCCAGCTTTCACTACTTTTTGTTCCTCCCAGGTAGGTATTTATTTGGTTGCATTTTTTTCCCACGATTCGTTTTTTTTCTTTGTTATTTTTCTTCTTACTTGGGTTTGTGCTTCTTGGAAGACTATCTTATGGTAGTGTTGGTACTTTTGTCTTTTATCTTCAATATCTTGTTTAATTTCCTCAGAATAATCGTATATCCATATTGCAAATAAAATAGAACAAATAATAATTAGAAAAGGCCATGATAGCGATGGTGATACTGATATATTATATGAATAATTTTGAGTAATTTAACTAGGTAATAAAAATAATTTGTAATTTTATTTTAGGTTTAAACATAAATACATACATAAATAAATAAATATTGTTTAGTATCTTTCCTAACAAAACCCCAAATTATTAAACTCTAAGCAGAGTACGGACGGACCTGTTTGGCCATATTTTATTCTTACAGCTTACCCGGGTCTTTCCTTAATTCGTATCAGTTAGTCACTTTCTTATATCTATGAACAGACTTTACCTAATATTTGGTCGCCTGAGATCCCATGCTGCAGTGCACTTAATCTTCCATCTTCCTTCATATCATATCCTTATAAATATGGAAATTGCCAAAGAAAGTATATATATATATATATATATATATATATATATATATATATATATATATATATATATATATATATATATATATATATATATATATATATATATATATATATATATATATATATATATATATATATATATATATATATATATATATATATGTAATAATAATTTTCTTTTATTTATTTATTTACAACCACAGAGCGGGCAAATAAATATTTTATTTTTATTTAAGAAATTTCGTTGAATCTTTTCCATATTTCGAATGCAGATATTGTTGCACCACTACTATAGAAGAGTTTGACCGCAACATTATGAGAAGCATAGTATAGCATAGTGATGATTAAACCTAATATTTTACGACAATTGTTATTACAATTAATAATTTGACGCGAAATTTAAGATGGCCACCAGTTCTGAACGACGATAGCTTTAAATCGCTTCAAATTCTCGATGCGTCTGAATCTCTGCAAACCCGAACAGAGTTCGATGAGCTTAATTAAATTTCCGCGAAAGGTTCGCCGAATGGCACATTCATGAATAGCATCTAAATTTGACATCCGCGCATTATTTTCAAGCCGCGTGTTCCATGTCAACATAAAATAAAAACAGCGCTGAAAGACGTGACCAAAATGCTAATATTAGTGACTAACACTCTTCTGTTTTGCACGGGATAGGTTAAGTCGATAAACCTACCTTACCTTAACAACTAAGTAAGAGATTTTTAAGTGCTTCAATAATTGAAATCTCACCATCTGAGGCTTTCTTTAGACGACGCTCTCTAATTTGATATAATTTTTTACAATATTTTTCTAATACTTTCGTCTTCCTTTTCTGAAACTGGCATTCAAGAATCGTTTATAAAAGTCCACAGAGACAGTATTTCAATAATTTAAAGCAATGACACAGAAACAGAGCGGTACCTCCAGCGGATATCTCTAATTATATTAAGGCATCTTTTTTGTGTCAAACCTGTACTTAAAGTAGGTGGTATATATCAGCCCCTTTGCGATGACTCTAGCATTCCCTTTGCAGCATTCTTTTAATTATATCTCGTTTATATAATATATAAATTTTGCACTAACTAAAAAAGTATTGTCATCCAGTGTGTATTTAACTATAATCATGGACCGTATTTTGAGAAAAAACGTATCTGTTGTTGATAACAAGGCAATTGATGCTGCATTTCTATTTAAATGTATTTATAGTGAGTCTTGTTCCATTTACATTATAATAGAGCTTCATATATATTCTCGAATAAGTAAGTATGCGTGTTCCATCTTCTATATTACATCCGAAAGATCTGCTTAAATCGACGGTACTAATCCGGACGTCAACGGTAAGTATTAAGCATATAAATATATGTGCATATAGACCGACCAATTTTGCTTAATCGAGAAAAAGAATTAGATTAGAAAATCTTTCACTCAATTTTCAAGATCAAAATGACAATGCGAAATTAAAGTATAACTAAAAAGAGCTACTTATTGAAAACTGAAATAATAGCATGCAAAAAACGAACCTGACCTGAACTTGAATTTTGTAGAACAATTACCATGGAATTTCAGGCATTTCTTACAAATTCAAGACTTCAAGAACATACTCCGGGCGGCATTGATTTCAAAATTCAAAGACGTATTTCCACAATACACTTCTATTTTTGGTTAACTATTTTGGCAGTGCTGTGATTTACGCGGGGTGCACGCACACTTAAGAGGAGTGCGTATTTCTATTTCCAGATGTCTTAACTCATCTCCCGAAAACACGGCATTGTTTGTTTTTCTTCGCCCGACCGATTAGCCACGCAATGATAGGTAGATGAGACTGTTTGAAGATGTTTGGGGATTTTTCTACGTAGAGTCAAATACTGTAATATATCAGATAGGACAAACAATGCGCCTGCTTAGTTGCACATTAGCGTTTTCTTCAGTTTTGGGTTTGAGTGTGGTCTGATAGAGATAAGTGATTTATCGCAGTCAAGTGCGACACCATATGATGCTAAAATAATATACGCCTTAATTAATTGAGATAATTTACGGGGGCTTCATAAATCGTTTTTATCACTATGGTGAGCGTAAGTTTACAGTAGTTTTTAGGTTAAACGCTTGTTTGTTTCAGGAAGTGAAACATTCGAGACGTCGGATATTCTAAACGTAGGCTGCATGTACAGACAAAAGATATCTGATCTGATATCACTAGGTTGCTATTCTGATTATGCCTTATTTGAAATTTTTCTGTGAATCTATATAAATATATGAATAATTATATAACTAAGGAATGTATAAAACTGTAAATATCTTATTATTATTATTATTATTATATATTTTATTCGCTGTTCAACTATAGAGTTGAAGAGTAGAAGTTTAACTTCATAAATATTGTAAAAAAAATGTTGCCGTTGCAGATAAAAATTTCTGTCCGGAATTGATGATTTTTCTTAAGAATGCGCAAAAACTATCATCACACTTCCCTACTTCAGAAAGATAAATCCAGCCTTCAGCTCTTCAGAATGCCTGTCTCAGATACTCTTATGGTCTTCGTAAGTTTTGATCATATTTCCGCGAACCTTAAGGAATCAACATTAAATCGCAACTTTTAATTTTAACTAAAAAAATTATCACCCTGCAAAGACCAACATATTTACTTGAGAAACTTACTCTAGCTATACTGCTAACTGCTTTAGCTATAACGCTATCAAAACCTACAATAAACTTAATTGATTAATTACTTTTAATCGAGAACTTCTAAACATCTAAATAAATTGTGTTCTCTTTCTATTTAGAATTTTTCTTTGTTTTGTAAATCCGTTACAAAAGCTTTGTTTTTCATATTGCTTATAAGGTTTTCTATTCGTTGTAATATGGGTATATCTAATCTAAACTAACTTATAACATTTGTATATTAACGAATAAAGACTATTTGTTATTATGATCATTGTTATTAAAATAATGGTATATTTATCAATAATAAGTGATTACACTTGAAGAAAAATAAAAAATAATTTAATGTGTTTAAATTTAGTCTAAAGCCCATGTATTTCTGTAAGTATTACAACATGTCTACCACCAAATTGCAAGAAATTTGGCAAATAAAATTAAAAGCTATTTTTTCCCGTACTTGTTTGTAAATAGGCGCAAAGCGTTTGTTTTCATAAACTTATAGGTTTAACCTCTATAAACAATGTAAATAAATAATAATAAATAATAATTTTATGAGATATCGCACAGGAAAAAATCTAAGTGAAGCAAATGTTCAAGAAGCAACTGTAGAACCTCTTATAAACAGAACCCTCATTCCTTCATCGTAGGTAATTGCAAATGAAAGTTTCGCCTTTCCTTATAAAACGTGTCAATGGAAAAGTTATTTTAAAAAAAGTAGCAATTGCAAATTATAACAAAGAAAATTAAAAACTTTTATAGAGCAAGTCAATAAAAAAATTGTTTAAAAAAAAAACGTGTCTTGTCCACCATGAAAAAATTTACAGTTAAAAATACATGCATTTTTATCTGCTAAAAATCCATGCGTAAACAGGTGTAGAAATAGCATTGTGTCTACCGGAATGAAAATCTTAAAAAATATAAAATTAATACGTAAGTCCTTGCTGACTTGATTAATAAAACTTTTATGCTCGCCGAATCAAAATTTCAAAATACTTTTTATATAAATTTGCGTAATACGAATGCAATAGGATCATTCGGTCTTAACAATTGCAAATAACAAACAAACAAGTAAGTTTGGACAAGAAACACCAATTTCCAGCAAAAAGAGCAACAATAGTTATTAAACATACTAAGCCAATTATATAAAATTACAACTAACCAAAATTAACCCTGCCTAAGTTCTAATTTTAATACCAGATCACAGACCACACACAAACGTATTGTTTAAACTTTCCATGTTTAATAATGCGCTACGCGTTACTACTAATTTATTTCGCCCAGTGTGAGACACATAGTTCAACAATATACAAATGTTTATTACATAAATTTAAATTTTAAATAAATTGTCTGGGATGAAATCCACGGCAAATTGCTTGAAATTTTATTTTATTTAATTGCGGAAGATCTTTAAAACTGCTTTCCAAATAATTAATACGGAAGATGTTTTTAATTTTCGTCTGTTTGTAGCAACTTCAAAGGTTACGTCATAAGTTCAACAACCAAGTTTTATGGCACAATTCGGAGCGGTAGAGAAATTGTAACTGTTATTGTTCGAGAATGAAAAATAAACGGGCGGTTTCCAATTTGCGTTCATTTAGCTTATTTTAAAGCGTTCGCTATACTCATTATTAGCACTCGGATGCTATAAAACGATCACGCTTTAAACGTTTTGCAACAGTATTTAAAAATATGAGGCAGTACTGGGAAGAAAAACAATTTTGCATTAAAACATATCTAATTTATTCAAATCTGTTATTTATAAAAAATTTCTTATCGTGCTTGTTGTAGATACAACAGTAGTTTTGTCGTGTATGGCATATTTTTTGGTTACTTAGGTTTTTGACTCTCCTCTATCAATCTAAAATATTTTCAGTGTCGCAGTGTTGCCGATTGTATCGAAAATTAGCAACAACTGTGATTTTTTATGTAGTATACACTGTAGATTGTTCTATTTTCCGCTCATTTTATAATTAAAAGGGTGTGGAAAAAATAACTTTTCGACGGTTTTGTGCAAATTATGATTTTCTAAACGCCCTCATCATCTAAAAAACCGTTATATATAGGTATAAGGAAATGTCCCATTTAAAAAATCAAAGTTGTTACTACTAATAATACTAGAATTAAAGAGTTAGAAGCCTAGGTAACCAAATTTTCAGCAAAGTGCCGTTCTCTTAAAACATCTAATATTCTAACGAACCAAATTTGATTACAACGTGTTCCCAAAATTTGTTTTTTAAGCCACTATTTTGATAAAAATTTGATATTTTCATTGTGTATGCGTGTGTCCTTCTCGGTGGGTTCTTTCGAATGCCTGAATATGAATCTGCATAATTATCTATTGTTCGAAATCGCTTCAGATGATGTACGTAAGGCACTTTTAATGAATATAAATTGCTTATTTCACATTCCACTTTTCTACTTATTTGTTTATTTTAATTTTTGTTTTAAAGTGGATAGATAATTAGAGAAGAATAAAAACAGACCAACTCGCAGGTGCAGAAAGTTTAGTCTTTTTTGATGTCTAATTTATGTGACAAGTAAAATCGTTTAGTGGAAGAAATAAAACCTAAGAGGAGAGTTCGAAAATAGTAACGCTAATTACGAGTATCGTGTGAAAGTCAATGACGTCGTGGAGTAGTTTCAAATGGTCGAAAAGGCGAGGAAGAAATTAAAAAAAAAATAGTCAGTGGCCACGTCTATCGCTGCTGAATTTTCACTCGAGAACGAGTATTTTTAGATGTTTGCATTTCAGCCCGCAGTGGTAATTTCTGCATGCAGGTTGCATAAATCGCAGACCTATTTACATCGTGCCCCACATGTCTGGACCTTATACCCGTACCAATAAGACCACGTAAAGTCGGTTGTAAATTGCGGTATTATGTTGCGAGGAGACGCCAAAGAGTTCTTTTTTAAGGGTCGGAGCCTCGTCCTTTTGACGTAATAAATGGCATTTGTTAATGAGAAACGCCGATTATTAATTAGTTTTGGTTGGGGGGCATGCAAATGCATGTAGGTGCGTGCAAGCCTGAAATATTTTAATTGACAATGACCGGCAAGAAATTGTTCGACATCTTTAACATGTGTTTCTGACTGATCGTATTCGCTTATACTAAACGCAAAAAGAGAAAAATGATTTTGAAACGTGATTCTGAGAGAGCCAAAGGTAGATATAGAGATTATAAAGGTTTTTAATCATTGGTAGGTAGTTCACCATCTCTTTGATTACATCCACATATTTAGGTACACTCTTTCTTCTTTTAACGTTTTGGTTCCTGAGCAGTAACGAATCAGTTAATTGCATTTGATTTGAAAGAATTTTTTTTAAACCAAAACGCTTTCACCCAGTAAGAGTTGTAAAGTGGTTTTTGTTATAAGAAGTTGCGATTTCACATGATGGTAGACTAACCGCAATTTAATTGCACTAAAATTAAAAGTCACTCTTTGGGAAAAAAAATTATAAGGAATTTTTTCAATCAAACAGAGCTTAGTCAATTACGTGAATACGTTCCATGGGGGTGGGGGTGATTTTTATCAATGCAAATAGCACTTGCTTTTCATAAGTATGAAACTAGGTAGATTTATTTGTGACACTTGAAATTATTTCTATTAATGCAGTTTAAAAATTAGTCGACAGTAACATATACAACGCTGAGGTTTTGGATCTTTTGAAACATACAGATCCAAAATGCATTTTTTTCTGGGACTTTAATTTTATAATGACCAATTTTATAAATGTAAATGTAAAGTAAGAGTTTTTCCTTTATAATTAATAAGGAAATCTATGTTCCCAATACCAAATCTTAACTTTACTGTAAAACCAGTTTTTTAAACAAAATGCAAAAATATCTCAAAGCACATTTGAATTCTAAAGGTATTTTTTCTTCCTGCCCTAGATCGACTGAACTATAAAATAACATAAAGGATATATATTACATTAAAACTGGACTAAAATGACAAAACCAACCGGGGTCGACGAAGTTTCACCACTTAGTATATAACACATATTATAAGCAGTTGCTTTCCTGACTTATGAAAAATATCAATAGGAAAACCACTGGCAAAAATAAGTAATCCTAACGATCTGAATGATCTACGAACAGTCAGTATTCTACACGCAATTTCAAAAATATTTGAGAAAGTTTTGTGACAAAAATATGGTCAGATTTTTCAAAAGCATTTGACACCATTAATCATAGTTTGTTCATAAGTAAGTTAAAGTTTTAGAGTTTCTCATCAGCATTGTGATCATATATATCAAACAGGTTTCAAAGAATATTCTCTAATAATATATATTCCGATCAGGAGTCCCACAAGGCTCCATTTTAGGACCAATGCTCTTTCTAGTTTATACTGCTGACATTTTGAACTCCGTTCTGTGCAGTCGGGTACAGGCATTTGCCGATAACACTCAGTTCTATTGTAGTTTTGATGCCGATGACTATGTTGAGGTGCAGAATAATATATATCGCCATTTAGGTATTATAAGTGACGTTTCTAGTGGCCACAACGTCAAATTAAACCCTACGAAATCATGCGCCATGATTTTCGAAAGTAAAAACTTAACATTAATGTTAATGACACTAAATTAAAATTTGTAACTAGTGCAAAGAATCTGGGGTTGAATTGGATACTCAGCTTCGGTTCAAGCAACATTAAAATCTACTGCTCGGTAAAGTTGCTGTATAATAACAGACACATACTATGCAAAAGTTTGAGAAGTAACTTATGTGAGTCACTTGTCTTGTCTAACTGTAATTATTGTGACTTTGCCTACGGTTTTTACTTGGATTATGATAGTCGAACCCGAATACGAAGAGTTCAAAACTCATGTCTCCGTTTTGTCTATGGGATGCGAAAATTTTATCTTATTTCTCTTTTTTATAACAATATAAACTAGCTGAAATTGGATGATCGTAGAGATCTACATTTTAGTTGTTTTTTTTTACTAAAATTATTAACGAATCCCTTGCCTCCACCTATATTAGTGAGCGAATAATATTTCGTTATAACGTAGACATAATTTTAATATCGGACCGAAATGTGTTGTCGTTCTTTTTCTTATAACGCAGTGTGTTGTTACAATTCAATACCCAAACACTATCTCAATGTTAAAACTTTCAAATGCACATATAAAAAAATATGCTAACAATAACATTTTCATATTGTTAAACTGTTTATGGTTTATAGAGGATTTTTTTATGTAGGTACTGAGCCTAAAAGGCCTATTTTTTTATTGTTATGAATTGCTCGAATGCTTTTAAGTTAGACTGCGCCGGAGTTGTGATATAGTATATTATGTAACAACTGCGGTAGACGGTATTTTGGCTCACGAATTTATTTGACACGAGCGGAGCACAGTGAAACGAGTGTTTAATAAACGAGTGACTTAAAAAATTTTACCGAACCTGTTGCATACTATAGTTTTTCTATGACCGTTAGTTTTTGGGTAAAACGATTACCCTTACTGACATGACCGTCAGAATTGGGGGTGGGAAATATATCCGAAAACATCCGATTGCTCCCAATCCCGTGCGGTAAAATCCCGGAAATGTCCGAAGAAATTAACAAAACTGAGAGCCCGTACATTCTTATTTCGTTCGTTTTCCAAATGAAATTATTGAAAAATTAAATTAGTTCAATTTAAACATCAATAAAACGGTCTTCGCAGAAATGCGTCGATAACAAATTAATTAATTACAGTCGATGTGTCTACATTAATCGACGTATTGTTTACGCTCGTCAATCAGTGCCTTGTGGGACACAGCGAGTGAATGAAAATTTTTCGGATCCTTCGATACTCAGCTAGGCGAATGATATGGCACTTAGAATCGAAACAGTCGAACGTCACGCCTGTGGTAGTGTGGATCGTAGTGTGTCCTGGAATAGGCAGCTCTCTGGGTAGGGATATTTTCCATCGAACGATTTTTTTTTTGCGAGGGTGAGTTGTTTTTTTTTACTATTTGATCTTGACCCTGTATCCATACCAACAAATAAGGTTTATCAAAAAAAAATTAAAAAATGTACATTTTTTGTTTTTTTTTTCTGCTTTTTTAAAGCAAATATAATTTAGTATAAAACCGTCATAATTTGGATTTTCATTTAACTTTTGTTAAACAATAAAAATAGCATTATTTTGATTGCGAACTAACCGAAGGAAAGGAATCAACTAAAAAAATAGTTCAAAGCAAAAAATGCCCAAACCACTAATATAATTTTTCTTTTTAATAAAAAAGTGCTTAATATACTCTATGGTGTTCTCACACCACACATTCCTCAACAAAGCTCCTTCTTGATTTTGTTTGATATGATTCGACTTGAGATGAATGAAGTAAGATCATGTCCGTCTAAGATTTTTCCAAAATGAGTGTACCTATACTTTCTTAAAAATTTAAATTAACGGGTATTTCATTTAACGAGCAAATTGCCCCACTTGCAGTTGTAAATAGGATGCAAATGCGGACACCTCTCGAAATTTATGAACCCAAACGAGATAATTTGACGTATATCTTTCAAATTGACAATTTATGTTTATGGTAAATCGACGAGCTGAAAAGGAATATATTTTTTCGATGGACAAACAACAAATTAACTTTATCTGCGCTCGGTTGACCATCGGTCAACGCAGTTAACTTTTATGTAATTCCCACTCGGGCTTGAAGAGTTTGATGCGGTTGAATGATTTAAGCGTTTCGCTAATAAACAGCGTCATTTAATATTTTCTTGGACGGACCAAAGAGATGGGTAGATTAGACTAGGTTATAATTACCACGTTGGAATAACAGTTCACTGTAACTCGTTACCCGCGGCATTCTTATAATATCATAGATTTCAGATTTTTTCTAATGACCTTTTGGTGTAATTTTTTCGAGTTTGCTTTTCAAATAAAATATTTAAATAATGGATCCGTGTACACTAAATTGTCATTTTTACTATAAATTACCTCAAGAATTACCGCTTACCGAAATACCACTTAATTTACCACCGATTTCTACTACATTGCAAGTGCTGTTACCATTCCAACGACAGGTTACTAACGAAAACCTTTTAAATCTTCTATTTATTAACCTAATTTCGGTCTACAGACAACGTAAACAAACAAAATGAAAAATGATATTAGAGCTCACACGCGTTGCAAACAGGTAAAATTCATCATCATTTCATATTCAGGAACAAACATAAAAACTAGCAATGTAACCAAGCAAAATATACATTCCAAAAAAAAATACAAATTTTATGGACACATAAGTAACAGCCAAAATCAGCAAAATTGAATGAATTAAATAGTTTTTACAAAACGTTTAAATTACTTTTTAGTTTATTTGTTTTTACATAAATAACCTCTTTCAGGACTTTATACTATTGGTTGATACTTTTGGAGGTCCATATAATCGTTATTTTCAAGTCACTTTTTTTTGTTCCATTAAATACTATATATTAAATATCATCATCTATCATCTTTTAGCATTTTTTTTTCTATAATTCTACTGATTCCACTAATGACCACTGATTACCAAAACCACTAATTACCTGTAATCAGTCCTCATTTCCCCTAAAATTTCCTATTATTTACACTACTGTGTACACTAAATTAGCATTTTGAAAAATACATTTTAAATTTATTGAAAGAAATCGCGATAGCTTCAAATTTTGTAATTAGTATTTTTCTACCAATTTATATTCTTTGGTTCGTTGATTTTAGATAAAAACAGACATAGTCAATAAACTGCATCAACAAACAAAACTTAGACTCAATCGCTTTTTACATGCTTTTTCGAATTTAAACGTTTTCTTTATCAGCATCGTTCGTTTTTCAAAATAAAGCGATTCGCGGCGTTGATGGAGCAAAAACGTCGCAATTTAAAACTTGCGCATAAAATATAATTTAAATGCAAATAGTTATAATAACGTCATACACCAATAAAGCCGATAAAAAAGTTCGCTGTAAGTGGTCTACTATAATCTTTCGCGTTCATCATCTTCAAGATTAACAATTAAAACAATTCTCCATTCTTGATATCAGCCTGCGTTCCATAGGATAATCAACAACATTAAGTAGTCACAATCAATTTAAGATCTAATAGTTTATATAGCATCAAGATATTATCAATTTATCTATATATACATTCAGGTTTTGTATTATCTAATGCGAAACCCGAACGTATATTTATTGCGAATTTCGAGGCAGATATCGTTAGTCCTAGTTTTTTGTTGCAAATAAATTTATATCCCTTCTTCGCTTTATTGGTTTCATGGAAATCTCTCGTCTGTGTATTGCTCGGCGATTTGATAGTAGCGCCTCAACGCAATAAATTCGACGCTTTTGTCGAATACCACGTGTGTGAGTAACGTTCTTCAACGGATCGTGTATACAATAATATACTATTACATTACAATGTTTGTTTATGTTGTAGTGAATCGCCAGATGCCGAATAAAAACTTTTTAGTTAAGGCGAATACGAGCGAAAAGGTTATCGCCTGCACAGTTCCTTATAGATTTATTTATATCTCCATTTTTGCGTGAAGAAAGAAGGCTTTGACCTGATAAATACATCGCAAAACGCGTATCCAAAATTCAAATTCGTTTTTAAGAAGATAAAAATAATGTATTTTTTTTATTAAAACTAGAACGGCAAATGCGTGATAGAAAAATGAGGCAAATTTTAAAATAGTAAATGACAGAGAGTAATGGTGGTATTCTTGTCTCTTGATCGTTTATATAAATTTCTGGTTATTCAATTACTTTATTTACCGATATAATTCTTACTGAAATCATTTACATTTTATCATATGATAAACAAACATTATTTTCTTTTAATATTTGCATTTGTATTTTTTTAGGAGTATTATTTTGGGAAAAGACTTGAAATACCCTCGTAAATATTTACCTAAATAACCCTAAAAGTTCTTATTATTATCTAAAGTGATATTTCTCATTTCTAGAAAAAAGAGCAACAAATCAATAGATGAAAAATTCCCATATACTGATTTTTTTGGTAATTTTGATTTTCGTTAATGCTTCGAAATGCTGTGTTTATAAAATCTTCTTTATACGTTGTAATATTTATTTATATAACAAAATGAAACAAGACAAAAAAGAAACTTATTTTGTCTTATATTCATTACTTTAAAAAAAAAGTCACCACAACCACTTCGTTCAAAGAAGGATAAAAGATGACTCACAGAATACTAGAGGTATAAAAATAAAAAAGACAAAGAAAATTATTTTTACTTCCCTTCTCACTCTAAATAATTTTTGACTCACAAAATCGAATTACCTGAACCATTTAAAAATTATTAGAAGTTAGTGCTCTAAACTAGAGACAAGATATTGTGTAAACTGTATTTGTTGCAACGAATAAAAAAATCAGTTTACATTTTCACATTAAAACAAAACTGGACATCGGTTCCTGCCAATGAGGAACGAGAAAAACAGTTGCCTAAAGGTAGTAAAAATTAGACCATTTAATATTTAAATTTATAAATATCTTTCTATCTTACAAAAGATGTAAACGCCTAATTTTGAAACACACTGTATTAACCTCTTGTAACTTATTAGCAAGACATGTAGTAGTGTTTATAAGTAGGTACATATGAGAAATTAAATTTTTTAGAAATCGCTATGTCTTACGATTCACAAAAGGGACCAAAAATATTACGACACTATAGATTAGAAAGGCAATACAACCGATACATCGGACTATCCAAATAACAATAAAAACATGGGCACATAAAGAACGTTTAGTAAAACGATAACGAGCCCAGTCCATATTAATTATATTTCCCTCATTTGATTTCCATTACACGAACTTTTTGTGCCCCGTTAACGGCGATTTATGTATCCTCTACAGTTGACGTATTGTTGTTATCTTTTAATTAAAAATAAATTTTATCGCCGCCAATAAAACCAACATTTTAATTAACAGATCCCGTCGACAATTCCGTGTTATAGACGCGGGATGGAGCTGGACAACCGATAAAAGTTGGATCGTAGGACAAACGATATGGAAGTGCGACTCTGCGTCTTCTAAGATTTTTGGTACAGGCCATTAGCGAGAGCCGTTAATGTAATTAAACAAATAGTTACGCAGTTTCAGATATTCAGCGACGTGTTAATTGAGCGTTTAACGCCGAAAGCTCTAAATACCGCGGAATTTATGACGAAGGAAACACGAAAATGATCTGTACGGCACCGACAGTGTTTCTGTTTACTTTCGGGATCAGTTGCGTCATAGGTAAGACACGTGGGTACCAAATTAATTCAAAGGACAAGCCATTGACATCTGCTAGCCGACATTCTAAACGCATATGGCGTAAAAATTTTGACCTAATAGATCTGTGATTTTATTCACAAGTTGTCCCTTGTTTTGATGATCGAACCCTCGACGGATGCCGGTGCTCAAGAAAAACATGATCATGCATTTCGGTTTATAACGTTTCGAAGTCACATTTGATCTGTTTGCAGGTGATTTCATATTTATATATGTTTGTTTATATTGATTGCAAAGTCATTTCTCTTTTCAATGGTGGTGTTGGGAGATGTTTAATTAAGTTTTGAGGAAATCGACCACATATGTTTTTAAATATTTTTCAAAAATTATTCTTGTTATTATTGTACCTATTATTACGTTCACCTCATATATAGGTTGAACTACTGTTGTATCCAGAGGTCCTTCCATCTCCTGAATTGGGAGTAGGAGAAAGTAAGCAATTCCAACTGACGGCGGCCATTTTCTTATTAAATATGCTTTATAAAAATTGAGTAACCTGCATCCGTATTGGTTCAAAGTGAGATAGAACCCAAAAATAACCTTTCTACGAACATTGAGTTGTTATTTTAGGGTCTGGGCTTCACGAGCGTTGCGATACCGACGAAGATTGTGGAACAATAGACACATACTGCAGCAACAAGATATGCGCGTGCAAGGAGCATTTTGCTGTGTTTTACGATAGCTGCGTTCCACGTGAGTAAAAAAAAATCCTAAACCCGATAAAAGTATTACAGGCGTTGGCGCTAATAATTTAAATAAAACACCCTGTATACTAATGGAGAGTAAAAATTAAAGATCATACAAATTTTTAGTAGTTATCGCTATTATTTAATCAGTTTATTAATGTATTAATAAAAAACCAAAACCACACCTACGCCTTTATCTGTTGGCTTTAAACTTGGGTGATCTTTTATATTATACAGTGCCCGCGTAAATGATGGGACTACCCTTTAATTTTTTGTACCACGGTGAAATTTTGCTTGCACGTATATAATTAAAATATCCAATTTTTGACATTTTAAGTTTTTTTTTTAATTAGTAAGATGGTCTTTAGCAAAGGTCTTTTCACGTTCTAGTCGCATACCAAATTTGAAAACATTTGATTCTTCAGTTTTTGCACAATGCTACAAATGCTACTTTCCCTAACAGGTGGATTGTAAGTTGAGGCCTCATTCAATGGCAAGCTCCTTCGCCAAACCTAACACCCCTGGACTTTTTTCTTTGGGGATATCTAAAATGTCAAATTTATGTTACAAAATCAAATTCAGTCTGAAAGACAGAGTTTGAAATGTTTGCATTGTAATTCCCCCAGAAAATTTGCATAATTTTACTAGGTGTTAATTTCGAACATTTAATGAAATAGTTGACAAAACATTTGCAAGCATTCATTTTACTGTCTTCTAAAAACGAACGAATCAAATGTTTTCAGAATTAGTATGCGAATAGAGGGCCTTTAAAAAGAGGTATCACATGACCCTTCTTACTGCTGTCGTTTTGACATATTTATAAATATTGTTTTTAAGTAGAAAATTAGACATTTTTATTATATACGTGCATTGTACAAAATATAAAACTGGAGGGAGGTTTCATCATTTCGGGTACTGTATAAATGTCTTGCCCAAGACCTGCAAGTATAGGACATGGGGAATAAGTTTTTCCACAGATTTTGAAATAAAAAAATTTAAAATTTTTGAGGACGATATAATATGTGTAATGTGTAATATGTGTAATATGTGTAATTAGTGTTGACAAAAAACCTTTAAAGCCACTTGTAGCTCCGGTAGTAACTGTCTTATTTTAAATTGTACAATTTTGTTAAAAATTAGGTCTAACTATTACTTTAAATACACTTTTGAAGAAAAAAAGATAGTTGATCGTCGTTGTTGACAAAAAGTGTATATAGTATCGTATCGTATAATAATGTATAGGTCATTTAACGTATAATAATGTATAGGTCATAACAAATTAAAAATGAATAAAATAAATCAAGTAATGGTAATAGTAAAGGTAAAGAAGTAAATAATCGATATTTAACACAGATGATTTTTTTTGTCAGGTAATATATCGCTGTGGTATCCCCTACTCATATTATGAGTCATTTACGATTATTACTATTTATTTCAGCGAAACATTTGAATAAGTATATCGATACGTTCTACCACTAGATGACTACCGCCTCACTCGCGTCAATTAGATTTAATAGTCCTAGTTACATTTACGGCATCATAAATTTGGTTTAAAGAGTTAAGTATTTCCAACGCACCGCTGTTAAAAACAAATAAAACTGCTGCTAGTGTGTTACCACTAAATTGAATACGACGGCTCCTCATTGTGAAAATTTTACGCCTATTATTTCAACAGCAATTGAAATCCTTTGAGCATCCAATTCTATTCGTTTCTATTCGCTACCACCATAAATCACAAACCCGTTTCAATCTGTCGGGGAACTGATGAATATGCAGCTTTTTAAATCAGTAATAATGTAAATTTGGTGTTGGTATAATATAAAATTTTTTTAAATAAAATATGTTTCTCATTTGCAATATCCATTTTTCTTAAAAATAATGAAATTAATTAATCGCGTATATTTAAATTTTGTCCAGTGTTTTTCTTGGGAAATTTAAGTTAAAGTTAGAAAAATGTTAATATTGCTACCTTTTCATGACAACTCCTTCGTTTTACCGTCCATGAAAACATCCTGAAATATTTTTCGGTTCAATCGAGATCGTATGGATATTAAAAAACGTAAAACCTTACTTAAAATTGCCTAAAGTTGCAGCGGTACTCACACCCTCTCCACGGGAGTCGTAAAAATGTTACGATGATTTATTTACACTTCCGACCGACGCGACGCGTTGATTAGTGAATGTGTGAACGAGACTTACGATGTGCTGCGCACTTTGGGACCCGTTGGGAAGTGTGAATGGGCCGGGTGTTGCCTTTACGTTAAAAAAACAGTAGACCACTGTTTGAACTGCAATTTATGGCCGCTAAGGGTTGCATGCAAATTAGGGTAAATAAAGTCATAAAATTAAGTTATTGGCTTTGAAAAGGCGGGTTTTTTAGTATCCACGAATGAACTGGGCATCCGACAATACCCAATGATAGATGTTAACCCCCGCGTCCTGTATAAAATAATGTACGTGGAGATATTTGAACCCAGCAGATGGGGCTCAAATATCCTCACGACGATAAATTATTGTTAAAGTTTTTTTTATTTAAGATATAATTGGACGATACCATTGAAACCAAAATTAATTAAATAAGTGTAACTTTTATTCTAGTCGCTCAGCCAAGAATACGATGTACGGATCGAAACCAATGCCAAGAAGTGATGGGCATCAGAAGCATGTGCACTAAAAAGAGACAATGCGTGTGCAAGCCTTTTCATCACTTGCATCTCGGGCAGTGCGTCAAAAATAGAGGTGAGTGCTTATCAATTTAGAATCGAGATGAAGCGAAAACAATATTTTCCCACATATCTTCACATTCCCACGAGGAACACTATCTCTTTTACAGGTAGATACGGTATAAAAAATGTAGAACAAATTTCGAATGTAGATAAGTTTCCCATCGCACAATTTACAGTTATTCTTTGGGCCGGGCCAAAACAAATTAGGCTGTTTCAATTTTCGATAGTCGTTAGTTAACATTCTAAAAATGAGAAAATCGTGGTTCTTCGGTATTCGGTTGATTTATCATCGCTTTTTATAATGCTCGGAACTATTCATTTGTCTTTCGACTAGATGTTTGGCCGGTTTCCAAATATATATAAATAATTTTAAATGATTTCATACGGTTGCTGAACTCATATTATCGAAAAAGCAGGTACAAGTAAAAGCAAAGCCTTCCTTCCATCCTTACTTTTGTTTGTGTACACCTAATATTATAAGATAGAAAGAAGGAGAAAGAGAGAAGAGAAACAGTATACTGTTCGCAGTAAACTGGGACTAAAGATAAGGTGATCAGACGTGCCGCTTTTGGCGGGACAGTCCCGATTTAGGGTTTTTATATATACGAAAATCATTGTTTTGCGTTCTAAAAATCTTTCAATTTGTTTTGTGTTCTAATAATCCTACAATATTTAAAAAAAACGACAACAATATACTGAAACAAATTCACTCAAATATGTCAAGGAATAAGATATACATTTTTTGATAGTTATAAATTGTACCTATGTTAAAAATGAAAAAAAAATAATATTTTTATTATTATTTATATTGTTATATTTATTATTTTTATTCTGTACGAAAATTTTTATTGATTTGCCTCTCCCTCCTTCAGAGTTGTCACGCTTTGCCGATTTAAAAATTTGGTCACCTTAACTAAGGACCAACAAACTAAAACCACTATGTAATATACTCAACTGGCAAAAAATATGGAAACAAAATCAGCATTTCATTTTGCAGATTTACACGACATTTGTGAACACGACCACCAATGTTATTGCGGTGCGGGTTGTGAGAATAAAATCGCTTGTATCGGACGTAATTGCACGTGCAAACACGGGCACAGACCATACAGAAGCAGGCAATGCATAATTTGTATGTATTAATTGAACATTATTTGCTTTTAAAACAACAGAACAAAAATGTGCATATTTATAGCCGATGATGTACTTCTACCGACTACCACGGATGTTCACACCAGCCCATCTCCAACTTCAGCAACTCCCAGCCTGACGACTCCAATAACTCAGTATCCGGCCAACGAAACTTTTGTGGACAATAGCTGTAGACTATTCCGTAGCTTTAGTTTCTTAGTATATGTTCCGATAGTTATAATAAACTTTTGGAAATAAGGATTACTTTAGACTGATATTCGTATATAATATAGTAAGATTTTATATTCAACACAATAAAAAAATATTTACTGTGTAAATAGAATTTTATACATATTGTATATCGAGCAATTTCATGACATCAGGTTATTTTACCAGGTTTGATAAGCGAAATAAAATCTGAAAATATTATCCCAGAGTTTTATTTCATTTTTAAGTGTTAATAATAGCAAGTATAAAGTATTAGAAATAATAACATATTTGAGGCACGTGCTTGCCAGTAACAATAACGTCCATTGTCATTATTTGCGTATTTGTTTGGAACCTTAAGATGAGGCGCGAGTCTACACAAAGAAGAAGAAGCGTGTTGTGTTGGCTCCCTTGTATGAAATGTACTATTAATTTGAGGTTATAAATTGTTTTCGGTTGCGATTTGGGTCAAAAAAGAAATGTCTTTTTGTATTAAATTGAAATTGTGCCACATTTTCCGGATATTCTGAAGCCATAAATAAATTGTTTTTTGCGTCTGCCAAAACCTACACTATGTTTTAATAATAAATAACATGGTGCTCTGTCACCATAACGTTATTTATTTTTGTAATTTTATATTAATTTAACAAATGCAATATAATTAAAACATAATGGACGTGGAATCTAAAGAGGGCAAATTAACTTGGCCCGAATTAAAAGCGGTCGTAAGTGAGTTAAGAAGGCAGTTATCAAGTTTGTCCACCATGGTTCCAACTGGTTTCACATTTCGAACATTGCAAGATGGTCGAACCAGAATATACTTTTTAAGTACACCCCACAATGGTTGGGAAACCACTTTACTATTCGCGGACATACCCAATTCCAATCAACCAAACAGTTTGCGATTGCAGTGGCAATGTGTTCTAGAGTCAAATTTTCCTTGTCTGTCGACATGTAACAGGTCATCCAGGGAAGAACAGCTGTTGTGGGAAAGAAAACGATTGGCTACATGGGGCATAAACAGTTATGAAATCCACGAAGAGTCTGGAAAAATTATATTCCCTGCGGCTAGTAGTTTGTTTCAATGTGTAGACAATGGCTTTTCGAATGGGCAATTATTTCCAACCAAGCTGCGGTTGACGTCTATTGGAGCTAAATTAGACCCGCAAATATGTCCATCCAATCCAGATCTGCTAGCCTACATTTGTAACCACGATATATGGGTTACACACACAATATCTGGCTCAAATATTAGACTAACATACTCACACAAAGGAGGAAGGAATCTATCAGACGATCCACTCAGCTCTGGGGTGCCATCTTACGTCATGCAGGAGGAATTTTGTAGATATCAAGGATACTGGTGGCAGCCCAAATGTATAGGTTAGTACCAGGGTGATCCATTATAAATGTTACCCCACTCTAACTTTTAGATGTGTTGATTTAGTATTATTTTTGGAATAAATGTAAACGGACTGTTCATTTTATGAAATAACATACAGGGCTCCTAATTAAAAAATTTAATAATGTATTATGCTTTATGTCACATCTTACATATAGGTAAATATATAATATTAAATCTAAACATCCTACAATTTTTGTATTAACCTTTTCTTTCTAAAATGAAATAAAAGTTAGAGGTAACATTTATAGTGAGTCACCATTAACACATTACTTATAGATCTATAAACTTTTTCTGCAAATGCCAATTTAAGGTGGTGTCTATAGAATTCTTTATGAGGAAGTAGATGATGGTGATGTTAAATTATTTTGTTTCCCATCCTCCCAGTCTGATAGTGGTGACGTCGAAGAGTTCCGATTTCCCAGAGCGGGTTGTACTAATTCAAAGTCATACCTCAAAATGATTGAATTTAAACTTAACGAGCACCTGCAGATTGTTGATCTTTGCATGCTTGATTTGCAATTTTCATTGTCAGTTTTGTTTCCATGGATGGAATACATGGTTCGGGTTGGATGGACCCCTGAGGGAGAATAGTAATTTTAAAATGATAAGCTAATTTTCAAACTTTTGATTTGTGATCTTTCAGTGTGTGGGTACAGCTGTTAGATCGAAGGCAACAACATCTGGAAGTGGTTCTTTTATCTCTCAGCAATTTCTGCGATGATCTTCCATATCTCAACAGCACATGTAAAATGAGCAATATATCTGGTAACCCAATTGTCCAAGTTTTGTACTCCCAAGATTCACAATTGTGGGTCAATGTTCATGATCTGCTGTATTTTTTACCTTTGGAGAATAATGAGGTAACTCTAGATCCTAAATTTACTATATCAACATATATGTATATAGTAATTTCTAGGTTAAATTCATCTGGGCCAACGAAGACAGCGGCTACAGACACTTGTATTTAGTAACATCTCAAATTATGCCACACACCAATGGTGTTACAGAAAGCCCTCAAGTATGTTTTATTATGTTTGCACATTTACGTTCTAATATAACTGAGTGCGTTCTGCTAGTTAACGGATTATGTTTTTCTGGCGCCCAAAATTGTGTCAAAAGTTCAGCTGACAATGGGCGAATGGGAGGTCATGGGTCAAGATATTTGGGTGAATCCTGAAAAACAACTACTTTATTTCATGGGGCTTAAAGAAACCCCATTAGAAAAGCATCTGTACGTTGTTTCGTTAAAAAGACCAGGAGAGGTAAGACTGCTGACAAGGCCTGGATACTCATACGCAATTGATTTTAATAAGGTTAGTAAATGTGCTTTTGTTTTCCTGTTAATATTTATATTTAAACATCAGAAATTTAATATTCGTTTTTAATATTTTGCCTCTAGTGATCTATAGTACTTTTGTGATGATACAACCCTCAATGCTCATGGTGAAAATTAAACTCGCGCCTTCTGGCACACTGCGTTCGTAGGTCTAACGCCTCGGTCCCATTGTTAGGTTATGTTTGTAAATATTCCATTTTCATGTATTTAGTTGATATGGTATTACCTACAGTGTCAACTTTTACAACAAAAATAGAAATTTGTTATGTAAACACATCGAGAAATGGCCACTATTGAAGTCTGTTGTTTATTTCAGGAGCGTAATTTGTTAGTCACTGTATATAGCAACATTCAGAAACCTCCCGCTTGTCAAGTATTTAGAGTAGATGAGACTGACTGGACCGTCGAGGGTATAGGCCTGACGCCACTAGGCTACTTAGTAGAGTCGGCACCCAGCGTTAGCGAATGCTACTCACCCGATCTCTATACCCACGAAATTAGTTCCGGCCACGTGTTATACGCTATGGTATTTAAACCTCACAATTTCGAACCGGGTAAGAAATATCCCGCCATATTGAACGTTTATGGTGGACCCGAGGTGCAGCTTGTCTCCAACACTTTCAAGGTAAACTCTTAAAGCGGTTTTTAGTGGACAGACGCAAAATCGTTTTATAGGGCATGAGGCAGTTGAGAATGCACATGTTGGCCGCTAGAGGTTATTGCGTTATAGCGATCGATTCGCGCGGATCTCAACATCGCGGCTTACTGTTTGAAGGTTATATAAAAGGCAAAATGGGCACTGTCGAGCTCAAAGATCAAGTCGAAGTATTATGTTGGCTAGCGGAAACTTTGGGTTATATAGATTTGGCCCGAGTGGCAATACACGGCTGGTCTTATGGTACAGATTGTCGCCGAAAATTTACCAATATTTTCTAAAACGTTGCGCTTCCAGGAGGTTATTTGAGCCTTATGGGGTTGATTCATCATCCGGACGTATTTAAAATAGCTATCGCGGGCGCGCCCGTGACCAATTGGAATTTGTATGATACCGGCTACACGGAAAGGTACATGGACTTGCCCATGCATAATCCCGAAGGGTATCAAGAAGGTTCAGTATTGAATTTCGCACACAAGTTTCCTGAAGAGTAAGTATCATAACATTTTTGTTATGTATTAAACATACTTTTAAATAATTACACTACACTTCGAATTAAAGCTTTATTTCTTTAAAAGGGAATATTATATATTACATACAACATGAATGGCGCGAATCTCTATGTTCCTAACCTTAAAACAGAATAGCCTAGAACAATGTTTAGAAAAGCACACTACATTTTCTCCTCTTACTAAAAATAAAACTTCTCTACTTTTACAAGTCTAGTTTTTGAGGTTTAATAATTCTACCTAATCGAGTATTAGTACCAAACTTGGGAGTTCCCGGTTAAATAATTTTGTTTATTTGGGTTTGATACATCGTTACTTGATTGTTCAACTTCTGGTACTTTCGGGGGTTTTCACTGGCGTAGAATGTGGCAACTTGTTACTAACATTAATGTTGGGCAAAGGTGATAATGGATTATTATCAAGAGGAGCACTTAGTGACGAATATTTCTTTGAAAAGGTTTTGTGTACATTGAAATCGTTAGAAATATCTCCAGGACAATTTCGAATATTGTCAGCATCAACATGTTTTATATTATTAATTATTTGAGCTAAATAAGTTGAATGACAATATTTTTTAAATAATTACACTAGACACTTTGAAATAAACCTTTATTTCTTTAGACGGGACATTATGCGACATTACACACAACGTGAATGGCGCGAATCCCTGTGGTCCTAACCTTATAACAGAAAATCATAGAACAATGTTTAGAATAGTACACAATTTTCCCATAGATATAAATGTCTTATAGATTATTTAATAGTGGAAAAAATCATAATATCCTTAAAATCTGTGTCTTGACTACCATTGACATTCACCGTCTTATTATCACGCTACCAAAAAAAGATTGCTCTTTCTCAGCTATTTTAAAAATCCTTTTTTACTTACGATTTTTTCAAGATTAATTTTTTGTAAAATTTTGTAATGTTTTTGTTCTCTCCCCCCTGTTAGTTAAGAAAAACCCTTTTTTTTTTCAGGGAAAACCGCTTATTAATAATTCACGGTCTAATAGATGAAAACGTCCATTTCAACCACACATCGCAGCTTATAAATGGTTTAATTAAAGCGGGCAAGCCATACCAGTTGCAAATTTACCCCAATGAAAGGCACTCCTTAAGGCACTTAGATTCGAGTAAACATTACGAAACAACGCTCTTATCGTTTTTACAAAATAACCTCTAATAAATGTAAACATTGTTTACCTTCACACAGCCACAATAACATTAACCGCGTTAAACAAAATTGGATTTTTATAAAATGTAGCTTTGACTAACACCGTTGTAATTTTTCAACAGTGGCAAATGCGTTATTAAAGGAATAAATTCCATTTTTATTATCCCGCTGTATTATTAACATTGTATCGATTCTGAGTGTTAACTGTCAGGTTAGTTCGATAGGTCTTTTTGACCCAAACATTGTATATTTTTGAATTTGCAATTTTATTGTCTGTATTTCGCAACCGGATTGCTCGGCGTATACACTTACGAAAATCTTAGAGCTCTTATATTTATTGTATAAAAAATAAATTATTTACATCGGATTTCTAATAAAACTACTGTTTTTACTGTGTGCTTGATTTTAACTGTCGCATTCATTTATTTACCACAATATTACTGCAACTACAAGATTGAACCACAAAGCTTGTTTATTGATAAGAAAACCCTGTTCGTGTTTTTCTGTTCATGTACCAATATAGATAATGTATCCTTTTCTCCAGCTGATGCCATTTGGTGGGGCGAGCAATTGGGTATGCAGTCTGCCCAAGCATTCTTCTTTTTCTTAACATGACCTGGTATTCATTCCCTCCAACTCCACGCAACCAAGCTGGTATATTGTACAAAACTCTAGTTGGGTGCAAATTTTCGTTACCTAAAATAATTGATCACTTGGTAATGTTTTGCAGGTACTCCAATAATGATGCTCACCCAATATATCGATGTAATCGTTCTGGCCAAAAAGTGCTCTTTTTTCTGTCCATGCGTGTTTAGGTGCATATTTTGGCATAGGAAGCGGTTTGGCATCTTTAACTCTGGGCAAAAGACCCTTCTGGAATATTGGATCTTCATATCCATAGCGCTGAATTAAAGGGCCCTTTGCTATTTTTTCCGAGTGATAACGAAATCGTTTTGAAGTTATTTGAGGAATCCAGGATTCGGCAAGACAAAAACATGATCGAGCCAAATTTAAAGTCGACATAATAGGAAAAAAATTCTATGAAAAAAATTGAAAACGGTTGTTTCCGTACTCTTCTTCTTTACGCCGACTATCCCAAATTGTTCAGAGAAATAGCATCCTTTTCTTTAATTGTGTTAAGTAAATAGTATGTAACACATATCGTAAAAAAGAAAACCTAATGTAATTTTGTGGTCTAGGAAAGTCAGTGTTTGTAATTTTATTGATTTTAATCAAATCAGTGCCATAAATGTTGAAAATTGGGTTTCATAGAATTGTGGGTACATTAGAACCCAGAATTCTACCGATAATCGTCGTTGCTGGAATTTACTGACGGAGAGGCCAATATATATTTGCTATAACTGAAACATAAATTTTGTGTCATTGGACACAGGTAGTATTTATGATTTTTTCTGTTTATCATCATAAAATACAAATCAGAATCTGGCATCACTTTTGCAATCGAGTCAAATTTTATGAATAAGTTTCAAAACTTTCATAATTTACTAATACAAATTAAGGTTCTAATTTTAACGCTATTAATATTTTATTCATAGATAAAAATTTGACATTATATATTCTAAATATATGATTTTATATTGGGCATGCTTTTCCTTTTTGTTTTAAAGCGAATACATTCGACAAATTTGATAAGTTGATAGAACATTTTTAATTTAGTTGGCTTTGGCAACTTAAAAAGTAAGAGTATATAATTATTGTATTTGTTTGTATATACAGATTTTTGTCGTATACCTGTAACAATAAAATTGGTGCCTCGGTTTTCCATATCTGTGTTTGGGCTTCTGGTAAGGCAACATGAATAGTTTCCGTAATAAAGGCTCGCGAATTGTGTGTGTACTATACATAAAACAATTGTGGTTATTAAAGAGGGTTTATTAAAAACAATACGGGACAGACAGCGATCACAGTGCACATTAAACAAAATAAATAAACGGTAAATAAATAATAGTTTAAACTTTAATAATGCAGAAACCGCATCTGGTTGATTGCCTTAACTTGGTCGGGTGGACTGGGATTACGTCCAAAGTTGCACGTCTTTGACACCTTTACAAGTTTCTGCTGCTGACTGGGATTTTTGCTGCTTTGCTGCGTTCTCCAATACACTGTCTGAACCGCGTTTCTTCCCGCGATGTATCGCGTTGCGGAACCGACTAAGCTGCCTGGGGCCGACATTGTTTCACTCTCTTCGATAACAAAAAATGGATGATTTTCTTCACTTCAAACCCGTAGACCGTGGTTCTAACAAGCTTGACTGTGTGAAAAGAATGAATTGCCAGTGCCACCGCTTTCCGATTTATAGTCCGATATTATCGATAAATAATACGTAATCATAAACTGACGTAAAATCCTGGACTGCGGAATATTTGGTGTCATGCGGCTTTTATGTGCTGCTTCTTTTTTTAGGGCACTTAACGGAATTTTTCCTTAGTAATTGTTTGGTCTGTACAGGGTATCGCAAAGTGAACCGTAGCGATCTAATATGGGAAAACGGTCTACTAACTAAATTTTAAAAATTTTGCATCTTGGGTTTAGGTTGTCAATAAGCTTTATTCTCAATTTTTTTATATTCAACATTTTGATCATACTGTGTAAATCGTTATCAACAATATTAAGGGTTTATGTAAAAGTAGTTATAAAAAACGTTCCGACGACGTTAGCTTTATATAAAACACCCTGTTTATAATACCTTCCATCAATATCTTTCGGAAAATATTTCATTTTACGTTTCGGAGAATTGTTTGTGAAATTTTGATAATTGTATTTGATTGAAATTGATCCAGAATAAAAATTGTTTGGAATCGAATAGATTTTCCATGGTCATAACTTGATATAAAAATACATTTAGACACTAATTAAAGCTGAAAACGTAATTTTAACTACTGCTAACTCCCTAATTTTGTGGCTGTAGTTCCATTTTTTGATTTAGGTGGAGCGTTAGTCGGTTTTGACGTTTCGCATTTGAATTTTCGAGTAATACTTTATAAATTGTTATTTGAAAATGAATAAAATATTCGTAACCTAAGCGCGTTGATGAAATCTTTGACTTCCATTGCGAATTATTTAATTATTCAGACGTCAATCGTACGCAATTTGGTGATTATTTTTCGTATGACCAGTTGTGATAAATAAAGGAGAAAACAAAGTTGACTGAGGTGAAGAAAACTGGCTTTAAATAGCAAACAAGGAAACTTTAAAGCGCTATACCGGATGACACATATATCGGGCGACACAAGAAAGTGGGAACACTCTGTAACTTTTAAACGGCTTGAGATAGTGATTTTAAATTTGGAAGGGTTAATATAGGCAGAATGTACAATTTTTTGTCAATATGTAGTCAATGGTTGCACTTCCGGTTTGAGCGGTTGATTATTGGGTTCAGGACGGTTTTTCTCTTTTTTTGTTTTTTAATTTTTTTATTTAATTTTTGAAAATAGTGTCTAGGAGGTTGTGGCCATCATAAATACTATTTTGTCTATACTTGACTAATGCAAAATAGCATTTAATTTTTTAGGATAACCTAGTTTTTTTCAAATAAAACCCAAGAGGGAACAAAAAATTTTTAAAACTGGTACTGTTTTTGCAACATTCTGACCACAAAATTTTCAAAATTTTTAAAAAAATAAGCTTACACGAAGGAAAAAACCAGATAAGTAAATACATTTTTATAAAAACAAAATATTACTTAGGTGGCTTTGCTTCTATTCATTATTAATTGTCAAGTCGGTAAGATGCAGTGGAAAGAAAAAAGCAGATTTACAAAAAAAATTAAATTCAAGGGAGAGTTTCTTCTGAGATTCAATGATTAGAATGTTTTCTCGCAAGTGTTTTATTATGATAAAAAGTTGATATTATTTTGGAATACGGGGATGAATGAGTTTGTCGAGAGTTTCTTCTGCGTTTTTAATCTTACCACACAGCCACCTAAGTAATATTTTGTTTTTATAAAAATTTACTTATCTGGGTTTTCCCTGCCTATGAGCTTATTTTTGAACGGATTTTGAAAATTTTGGTGTCAAAATGTTGCAAAAAAGTACCGGTTTTAAAAAAAAATTGTTCCCACTAGGGTGCTGTTTAAAAAAACTAGGTTATTCTAAAAAGTTAATAGTTCATTACATTAAATGCCATTTGCCATTGGACAAGTAAAGAAAACTTTCATTTTCAATTTATCCCATGATCCGATAAATAGTATTTATGATGGTCACAGCCTCCTAGACACAATCTTAAACATTAAATAAAAATTTAAAAAAAAAACAAAAAAGAGAAAAACAGGCCTATCCTACGTAGAATGACTTCTTGAATCCAAAAATGCAAAAAATATAGGTTGTGCCATTTAAAATCCAAAATTTACTGTCGTTACGCTCAAACCGGACTACATATTAACATATTAATCTTTCCAAATTTCAAATCGCTACCTCAAGCTGTTTAAAAGTTATAGAGTGTTCCCACTTTCTTGTGCCACCCTGAATAGAAAAAGGAACTGGTTTTTCAAAATATCCAAGAAACCATTTGTTCATTTAAAAAGTCTCCGAAAACTGATGTTAAAAAGTTATCCAAGGGGCGGCCTTTTGATCAGAAGTATTGCCTCCTTGTCCTTGGAACATTCTTAAATTGCGGGAGGTATCGAGTGATACCTCGTTTGAAAGGTAGTTTTAATGCTTTTATTTTAACGTGCTATTTCTCAATGTTTAGTACATAAAATCGAAATTATTGTTCTAAGCGCTTTCACGATAATATATATTATTTGGTTTTAGAATTTTATATACATTTTATTTTTACGTGCTAATCTCAATTGTCGTGATTTTGAGTACCCTATGTACTTCAAACGTGCGTCATATTCCAAAAAATCTGAACTTCGATCGGAATCACCTACGTTTTAAGTAAATAAAATCGTTTGCCATTGTCAGTCAAAATACACAGAAGTGCCTTTCCTATTTTTCCATTCGGATCGGATACACAATCGCCAGACGTCCGCGGGGTATCAAAATATTATATTTATTAATTATTCTCGTGACGTCAAGCCGCGGGATTTATCTCAAAAAAATGTTCGTTGTGTCCGCGAGCTATCAATATATTAATCACCAGTCGCGCACGGGATCTGCCAGTGTTTGAACCCTCGTGAACTCGTATTCTGCTCCATTGACACACTGTGGTGACGCGATAGAAACAAACCGAAGGAAATGTAGCGCACATATTCTTCGCGTGACTTCGAGGATTTTTTTTTTGAAAATATGGAAAAAATCGGATAAGATCACAAGCACCCACTTCAATAATATCTAGTCGGAAAATTTACAAACCAAAGCACTGCAAAATGGAGAGCAAAAGATAGGTGTGTGAGGCGTAAAGTTTCTCAGCTTGGTTAGTTTGTTTACTATACCATAGGAAACGAAATGAGGCCTACAAATTAAACCAACTCAATTCATTGTGATTTAACCCTCAAAACAAACTCATATGAGATTATTTGGTTGAACATTTCGTCTACAGATGCGTCTTTCTTTAAAAATTATCATGTGCGCTGTGTAGGTTGAATAGAATATAATTCCAATTTTTCTACAGTGTAGAAACAAATTAAAGCAGCCCTATTTAGTTTACAATAACCTCCTCATAATTGTTCCTTGTTCTCCCTTTGCTTGAATATTATTCTGGACCCATGAGGGACGAAGATGGTTATTGTCTCTATATACAAATATATCAATAATAAGTATCAAAATTCTACACAAAAGCTGTCAGAGACGCTTAGGGCACAAGTCTAGTAACAAAACATTTATCTGCATGCATATTGGATCCACATTTTTATTTTATTTTATTTATTTGCTACAATTTGAGGAAATGAAATCCTAAGAGTAAAGATAAAGAAGATTTTGCTCGGGGTATAATTTACAATAATTAAAAGTAATAAACTCACTATGAGATTTGCTAGTCAGTTACATTTTCATATTGATAGCTGGGAGCGAAGCACATTTTTCTCATGGTGGGATACCCTAAAGCGTTTTCGTCGCTCCCACAATTTTTTTAGTTATTGCGTTATCCTGCAATCGCTCTTTGTACTTATTTGCCGAAAACAGCAAGCACGTGCATTTTATAATCGTTCTATGGTTTTAGAGTTTAAGAAATGAGATAAAGTCGCTCACGTTTTCCTAAACAACATTTTTGAGAATTAAACGTGTCCGCAATCTCGCGATTTCAGCCATCATAAAAAATTCGATCAGATGTTTTCGGGAAATTTTAGCCACAGTATTCTAACGTTTGTCACTAGCGGCGCACGTTACTCAGAGGGAACGTATAGTAGAAAAGGTATAATATGCAACACGCTGATTAACTTCTTTCGATACTCGTTTATTAAACACTCCCTCCGCTAGTTGTGATTAGAATGTTGTGATCATAATATTAACCTTGCCATGTATCAAATCGAAATAATGGTTTAAACCATATTGGTTGGAAGCACACATTTCATTGCCAAAAAGGGAAGGAGACGAGTAGATTTCAGTTGTTTGTTAGGTAATTTTTGGTGTTACGTAATTATTTGCCAACGACAACTAAACGATTCAGAAAAACATTTCTGTCAAGACCAGTCAGGTGCACGACCAACGTTTTTCCCTATATATTATGTAACCATAAAAAAGGCGTTGTTTTGAATGGTTTTTTTTATTAAGGAAGAACAACATATATAAATTTCTGTACATAATTTAGCATTATATACAAAACAATAATACGTACAAATTCTTTGGCGAAATTATATACAAAAAATAAAAGTAACGATAAACATAACAAAAAAAAAAACATAAATAATTACAAGACGTCGAAAGGCCTAAAACAATAGTCGCGACGGTTTTAAAACTGGAACGTACACGTACAAACGAACATACAGGTCCTGAGACATAACCTGACATCTAAAAGTTAGGGGTCGAATGGTATCGTCGACTCAAGAAATAACGTACCAGAATAGCGAAACAGGTTTAACATCGAAAGTTAGAGTCAGACGGAAGAATAACAATTCTGAGCCGACGACGGGCAACGCTTGACACTCACACACCAAAGAAAAATATCAGCACGCCTTCGTTTTGCGTTTTAAATACAAAATACCCACTATAAAAATTGCTAAGTCGGTGAAAAAGTGCAAATCTCGATAATAGACACGAAAGGTTTCGTTTAAGTACACGAGTGCGTCGTAACATTTACCTAAGAGTATTACGTGATTGTACATCTGCATAAAATAAATAATCTGCGTCGAGATTGCCAACTCCCAGGGACGTGCAGTTTACCACATAAGTTAAAAAGAGCATAGCCGCAAGTTCAACGACAAACGACAAAGAATTAATTAAATAGCTGATTGGTAATTTGTGGATGGGATTCGATTGACTTACGAATCACTCACTAGTGACAAATCGCTCGCCTCCTGACCAACCGCTCGATAGCTAGTTGGCAACCTCCGCCTACAATATTATGTCAGTCGTTTCATCTTTGTCACCGCCCGCATTCGGTTAAATTACGCTAGACGGTAACTTGTCCAATTGGGGCAAAGCCTGGCTGCCCCGCCTCCGCGGAATGGTACTGTTAATCGAAACTGTGGCCATCTCGGGACAACCGTACGACAGCAACAATTCAACGAGGTTTTTGCTGGCGGCGACCGTCACGTCATGGTTCACGCTCTTCGACGACGAGCACTTCGCCATGTTTATGCTGGCGGCCGCTTTCGCGTACGCCAAGCAAGTCCGGCCGTCTTGGTCTACGGCCTTCACGTCCGCGTTGTGCTATTTGCAAAAAAATAATTTTTTGTAAACGAAATCAATCACATGTCACAGAAGATGAATTATCTTAACTGAAAATGCAAAACTTATACTTATATCTTTTTCTGTTATTTCAGCTAATGGAAACTCCTTTATAATTAGGGGAAAAGTTACATTTCGTACTCAACACCATTATACAAAAATAAGGACTAATACAATATTTTTTTTGCTACACGCCACTGCAATGCTATCTACAAATCTTCTGGATTCCTCTTGCGTTCGTTGTTGATAAAAAAACCATACTGTTGTTTTCTTCAGAGCTTAACTGAAACTGGTTTGCATTCTACTCTGTACAGTTTTAGATACGAGGTGTGTTCAAAAAGTAAGGCCACTTTTAAGTTTTATCAGAAAGTATTTATTTATTCAACAAAATTAATGTTGCCCCCTTCAAAATAATCAATCCCTCTCCCCCAGATATGTGATAACGTTTGTTCCAATCCTCGAAGCACTTCTGGTAAGCATCTCCTCAATCGTTTCAAATATCTTTCCCTTCATAGGTTTCTTGAGTTTTGGGAACAGGAAAAAGACGCAGGGGGCCATATCAAGTGGGTGAGCAGGTGTATTATCGTGATGCAAAATCCACGAATTGTTTTCCCACAATTCCGGACGTTTTCTTCGTATTGCTCCTTGAAAACGGTGCATAATTTCAAAGAAATACTCTTTACTGACCGTACGACCTTGTGGTAAGAACTCTTGATGCACTACCCCAAACAAAACATTAAGCAAAACCTTGACATTTGATCGAGCTTGAAGTACTTTTTTGTTCTTGGCGATACTGGGTTCTTTGATTGGGACGACTGAGCTTTGGTTTCGACGTCATAACCATATACCATGATTATTCACCAATTATGACCTTTCTGAGCATATCAGGATCATCAATGACGTCGTTTAACAGCTCTTGAGCGATGCTCCCAGACAATTTTCGCTGCTACACGTTTCATGCCCAAAACTTCGGAAAAAATTGCATGGCATGACCCAATAGAGATGCCGACGTCTTCAGCCACTTCTCTAATAGTGATTCGACGATTTTTCAAAACCATGTATTTCACTTCTTCAACACTTTCATCACTTGATTGATGAGATGCGGCGTACAGAGAGCTGTTGTCAATATTTCAAGTGTTTTGCAACACTGCATTCCATTTTTTACACAAAATTTTATGCAAATTCTTTGTTCCCGTTTTTCTGACATCAGTAGATTGCCGAGCACACAAAACGCGTCTAACGCTTCTGTCTCACAAAAAAAGTAAACATGCAAACCAGCTGAAACTGTGAACATATGTTAGGGACATGTGTACCAACATCACCTTACTTTTTGAACACACCACGTACTCTTTGAGGGGCATGGACATTGACTCAGATGATTGACTCGCATATAAGTAAAAGGTAAGCACCTGTGTCGCTCTTGTATTACCGACTATTTATCATTTCTATATTACAATTCAATATTAAATTTCAAATTTAAAAAATAACAATAAGGAAGATATTATGTAGACGTCATGTAATTTCGCCATTCCACAATTTTTTTTAACTAGGTTAATGTTGAGTAGATTTTAAGCTAGATTTCGCCGTTTGAACCTTGCAGTAGATAGTTACATTTTCTTCCAGTTGTAGATTATATTTCATTTCTCAGTAAATATTATTATATTATATATAATCAGAGATTGATTGCATTGTTGGTAAATACGCGACGGTGCCAAATTGTTGTTTACTTTAAATTAAAAATCGTTATCAGAGATTCGCGTAAGAGCCCTCTTTGGTGTGGAAATAAACGCATTTATTTATCATGGAATAAGCACCTTTATTTATCAATTTCGTTTTGAAAAATAAATAACCTTGCTAAGAGGATGTGGAAAAGCTAAAATGGCCGCTGCAAAGATATAAATGGGAGTGAAACTGAAGAAAACTCTTATCCAAAATAATAAGAGTCATAAACATCACAACGTTATATTGTCTAAAATGTCTTTGAATCTCTCCTATGATATATTATCTTGTCTGGAGAAGGCTACAAGATCGGGATGATAGTTGAGGTAGTCATGTTTCGACATTTATGACGCTAGCTTTGTCGTAGTTTAATTATATGATATATGCGTAAGTGATTTTTATTATAAACCGGATAATTCTGGTAATTGGTAGTAAAGCCCTGTCAAAATTTGGCAGCTAATATCAATCGACGTCTCGTTAGAGCGACCATCATACAGTGTAGCCACCTAAGCGTGCAACATATGAGAACATTTTTTTGATTTTGAACTATTTTACTAGATTTTTTTTTTTTCGAAATTTTGCATTTAATATCGTTGCATTCCATTCTCATGAAAATTAAAAACCTAAATTACGTATTTTTCAAATATTCTTGAATTTGAACATTTTCCAGATTGATTTGATTTAATTAATTTAAGTTAAATGCAAAAAACATTTTCTTTTTTCTTTCAAACTACCAAAGCTTTTTTTAAAAGAAGGCCTAAGGTCATAAGGGTACTTTAGTTTCGTGTAATTTTTATATTTTATGCCCTACCCAGTAAACTGTGTGACTTCGAACCTAGCTACACCTAAATAATAATTTTATTTTGGTGGAGCAATTAATTTAAAAAATCCCATGTATTAAAGACACAAGTAAAAAATTAATACAAATGTAAAGGTAGGAAAAGTTACTTAATTTTTCAAAGAAACTTCCACAGGCTACTGTAATACAGGAGGAATCCAAAGTTCTATAAAAAGTCTTTATCCGTGATTTGGCACCTGTGCAAGCAGTTTTACAAAGCTCAATTACATTATACCGTTCTTATAGCCCTACGTAGTCTTCGCGCGAATCTATACACACTTCAAACTCACCCATATTAATAGTTGGGCGACCGCTAGGTTTCCTAAAGCGCAGGCCAAATGCAGCGGCGTGCGCAGGTCGTTGGGGCCCACGTGGGTGTTTACTTCCTGCGCGTTCGCGATCGCGAGCACGTGCACGATGTTCTTGATGTTAGACCCGCAGACGGCGTCTATGAGTTGCTGACCGACGGACATCGTGCCGTTCAGTGGCGGCAAAAACTCTTTGTTTTCGTATTTCGAACGTATCCACCTCTCCCTCTCCTCCCTGCTAGAGCCCGGGTTCGGTTTCGTTTTGTTATAGGTCTGGTATTCCCACACGGAGTTCGCTAGTGTGTTGCCGATTGCCAGCATTACGCTTAAATGTCCCGGACTGAAATAAAATTATCGTTGAAGGGTTTCAGGCGGTTTTTCGCTAACTTTTCCCACATAGAGCACACATATATGAAGGTAAATAGTGTGAGAGCATTCGCAAGGCAAATAAGAAAATAATTCCCTATCTACTGTTTTTACCATTATATGTATTCCAGATCTGTAAATACGTTGTCCCAAGCACCAAGTAACGGATAAAGGTAAGAGAGGAAACGAGAGGTACGCGTCTACTCTTGATTTCCGCTGAAACTTTGGCTGTTAGCCGTCTTTATTTGTCGTTTTTACATTCAGAAAATCGGTTTTGGAGTAAAAATTAATTTTTATCGAGTAATTCTTCTTAGTAGAACAGGAGAAACAGTATGTATGTATCGTAAAAGTAAAAAAAAAAAACATTTTATTGATTCCCTTAAAATAAACTTCAACAAATCTAGATTTAATTAGTTCGAAAAATTGTGTGAAAACGACAGATGTTTAGCTAGGTGGGTGGCCTATAAATTTAAACATCATCCACACCTCATACCAAAATGGGTATCACATCTGCAGGGCTAATGTAACCACCATTTCAGTGGAAGAAAATTTTAAAAAGTTCATAAAAATAACTCAATCAGGAATGGTCCTAAAATATCAGAAAAAGTTTTTGAACGTTTTGAACAGAAAAGACAGTCCGCTATTGAATTGAAACCAGGAAGATGTTTTTTGGGACAAAGTTAATTCAAAAGGACTAAGTATTCAAACAAAAGTAGGAGAAAACAAAAACCTATAACGATACTTAATAGTAATAATGATATTTTTGTTATGTTTTTCTTGTATTTTGTCATTATTTTGAAAATAAAATATTGTCAATAGGGATGAATATATCTAAAGGATGTTTGTTTTAATTAAACAAGGTTTGTAAGTACTATGCACTGGTACTTTGCTAGATATCAAAAAACTCTATAGCTTTTTATATTATTTTACTTTCAAAATAATTTATACAATAAAATATACTAGATATAAGTAAATAAATTTATTAATAATTTTCCTAATGTGCGTTGATGGTAATCTCATGAAAACAAAAGGAGACATTTTGTTTATACAAAATAAACAAATTCGAAACAATATTATTATTGTTACCATTGGCGTAACCTAAGTTTATTTATTATCATTTATTCTTTTTCATTGATCCTTTTTGTAAAATATTACCTAATGACTCTGAAAAAAATAGTTCAATTTTAGTAGAATTTTTTAAAAACAATTCATTTTATTGCAATTTTGAAACTTGGACTCCTTATATTACACATCAACTTTGTAACACCTACTCTCCTTTACACCCTATGTATGAAAAATCCGACGTTTACTTGTCACCTTTTATTTTATAGATGCATAATATTTGAGTAGACAATATTCATATTTTTTCACTAAACTTAAATACTTACGGCCATTCGTCGAGATTAAGCGATCTGACTCTAGAAATATGAGATCCCAAGTTCCTATGTATCCCCGAACATTCGATACACATAAGCACACCCAGATTAAGGCTCGCCCAGTCGGGGTCTGAAAAAGCGAAACGAACAACGTTATAGGAAATATTTTGACTATTATAATTAAAATCATCTTTGAACTATTCGCTCGGCAAAACAACTTACTCGGCGCGTCGCAGTCGACACAAAAATTGTTGCCCGGTATTCTCGTTTTAATCGATTGTATCGACGTCACCTCGTTCGGGTTGCTCTTCGCTTTCGACGATTCGTTCAATTGCAACGAATTCAGAATCTGCTGCTCGATAGCGGACACCCATTCGTCACGTTCTTCCGAGCTGGATGCCTCGAAATGCCACTGCTTGCCTTCTAAAGAGACTATATAAAATTCATAGCCGTCCGCATCTGTAAAAAATATTGTAGATAGTTTTTTTTTGGTCCTTCGAACCGGATATGTTTTGTTTCATCTTCGCGAATCCAGATTTCGATCTTACCGTCATATTCAGAGTTTTTAACGCCGCTACTCTTCACCCTGCGGTGCCTCTTTTTCACGCTCGGCGTCTCCGTCTTGCTGATCTCTCCGTTCAAAAACGAATTGCTACTGGACAACGTCATGCCTTCGTCACCGCTCGCCTGCGAGTACTTGAAGCTGGGATCTTTGACCGTTTCGAAAGCGCTGAGCAGAACCTTCTCGGTGGGGCGCTTGTCCTTACCCAAAAGGGACAATCCGCCCAAATTTTCGTGCAACGCGTTGCCGCTATACCCTTGTCCCGAAACGGTGGCGATCGATTTCGAACCCCTGGGCTTCTGGCCGGGCACCTTCACCGTGACGTACTGTAGCGAGATCTCCTTCCCGTGGACATCGTCCATGTAGTCGTGCAAGCTGGGATGGTAGGTCAGTTGTCCGTCGTCGCACAACGTCACGTACTTCTTTTTCCATTCTTTGTTCAACGGCTTGTTAGACTTTTTGTACAGGTAGCCCTGTTTGAGGGGTATGGCCCGGCCGCTACCGAAGTCGCCGCCGTTCTTGAGTTTATCGTTCTTGGACGGGGTAAACAGGTTGGAACGTCTCCTGTTCTTGCGCGAAGTGGTGGGCGTCGAATTCGGCGTGGGGAGATCTTTTAAGTCTTTGGAACTGTTTTGTTGATGCTGAGCGGTCTGAAAAAAGCACACCCATGATGTCCCAATCAGTATCAGATTTAGGGCAAGCTTTCGTGACCATTTTGGGGAAAAAAATAGTTTCAAAAAATTTAAGATCTATATAAGGTGGAAGATGAAATCTTGAGGCGAGAGACGTTTTTTTCCGAAACTAGACTGATTTATTTTTATAAACACGCAACATTAGTCTTTGAAATCTAGACAATATTGGCAACGCAGAGCCAAGTCATCGCTATTGTCACAGATAAGTAGTGTCACCGTTTTTGTTTTTTTTTTTAAATTTAAAAGATTTAAAAGTGCTTTATATAGGACTCACAAACTGTAATTTATGCTTTCAATATTTGCTATTTCACAAAATTGCGGCCAATAGGGCACAAACATATTTTTTTATAAGAAATCTTCCTGTTAGAAGAATCCATCTAAGTTTAGATTTTTCAAAAAACAGCCACGTCTTAACTAATTTTGGCCTGAAGATATCATAAGATCTGGGCATATTTTGAGAAAATGCTACCTTAAAAACACCGAATCCAAAGCTGGTGACGATATATCAGGGGCGATATTGGTTGTTGAATGCCGCATGGTCGTGCTGGTGAAAAGCCAGAATTTGCAATTATATATGTCATTGCTTAATGTGTTTGCTTAAAGTTATTTATATTGGATATTTAATATTTATTATTTGTATTTGACCAATATAATAAAACACATGTGTTCAGCATGTGTTCTATTACATAAGCACAGAACCATAGAACACAGGACGCAGACGTGATTAACCCTATGGTGGTTTACACTTTATAAATGTAGATTTACATTAAACACTTAGTTCATATCTTTATTAGCGATATAGTACCTATGTACCTATGGTACCATATTACCTATGAAATTAGAACATGGGAAGGGGAAAAAATGGTTTATCGATTTTTTTTAACTGGTCTATTATTCAAAGAATGTGGAGCTGCTGGATTCCACAATTGTTAGTTTGCAAGAAATTTAAGTAATTAGCCTGTCAATATAACAATATCGAAACAAAGCTATATGTTCAATCATAACAAAAAACCCAAGGACAGCGATCCCTTCAGATTGCATAACATGTTATACCTTATACCTTATTAAAACCTCTAAAATTTTAAAACCTTTAAAACTTGTCTAGAAAAATCTATATTTCCAAGCGGTAGCCTCGTTTTTTAGACTTGACTAGACTTGAAAAATTGGGTTTCCACTTTTTCAAACTCTACCCAAACCATTTAATTCAATTTAACCAATACTCGTTCCCACTTTTAGCGATGAATGAATTCAGCCCACCGCATCCCCTACGTGTATACATATATTTGTCCCTATATTATTTGTAATTTTTTTAGTAAATTGCCAGACACAAGCACCTTATTGATACTTCAGTGATTTCAATGTGTTTATATTTACAACATTCCAAATAAACTTTATTATTATTATTAATTCCAAATTAATAAAAAGTGCAGTCCCACAGTTACTCCGTACTCCAAAAAAGATTTTACTGTTGCTTCACCAGCACCGTGATACAAGGGAAGCATAACATTGGTGATAGTCAAATTCCATCAAAATGTTTTAATTAAATAACATTTGCAATTGTAGAGTGTTATCTATCACTATTTAATAATAATATGTATTTTATAACAAATTATGCATTTGTGATGTCCAATTTACCTACAACCCTATTCAAGGAATACCCGAATACGGTATTTAACGATTCTAGGAATCTCAATCAAAATATCCACTCCATTTAGTTCTCAGTACCACGCAATGGCAACGTAAAAAAATGTCACCGGTCATTCCACAACCCTTGGAAAGCATACCTGCAGATTATCCAGGGAGTGAGGAGCCGCAAACTTGGCGACGTTGTTATTTTCCGTCATAACCGTCTGTATGACGACGCCGTGACCGGAATTGACGCTGGCCAAAGTAGACGAGGAAGAGTTCCATTTTTCGTCGCACGACTTGTAGCTGCTCGAATCTTTGTCTGAGGAAGTCTGGTGGGGAATGGCTTTGGACGCGTGCCTCGCCTCTTGTTGAGCTTTGACGTGGTCCTTGTTGTGGGGCAACGTGTGGTGACCGGGCGACATATGGATCTGTTGCGATTGCCTATCCATTGGCTGGTACCCGTTATTGCCCTGGACCAAATGTCGCTGGATGGAGGCGGGGTGGTAGTGGTTGTTCGGCGTCGAAGGTCTCGAATTGGTCGGCGTCAGGCAGATCGTCGACTGGGCGAGGCGTTGCTGGACAATCTTTTGACACGCTGAAAGTCCGATTTTGAAAATTCTCAATCCTGACATTTTTAACGTATTCACAGGGTAAAAAGAAACCTTTAACTCTTTTGAGTTATAAAACACCCTATACATTTACAGACTATATGTTATGCGTAATTTAACAGCAACAAACCATTACTACAGACGCATTTACTAATAACTTAGTTAACAATAGGACATAATTCATCTAAAGAATAGAAAGAAAATAGCATTGAAACAAAATAAAAGTTCAAAAAACTTTCCCTTAATGGAAAACTGCGACGTTTTTGTAATCCTTTGGATAGCCTTAAAGATAAACCATATATTTAATTTTTGAAAATTGTTTTTTATTTTCACGTTTCAAAACAAGACAATAAATATGTTTTTAAAAAAATCTACACCACCGCAGCACACGTAAAAAAATCTATAAGATCTTCTACACTTTTTCAGAGTACCTAAAATTGGACACCCGGGGCAAAAGTGTCGACTTATTTTAAAAGTTTGTTACTTTCCAGTCGTTGGGATGCCAAAAAACAGCAGTTCTGAGTTCTCCATCTAATGTTAAAAAGTCGCAAATGTTTAAATGTCAAAATCTGACACGACACAACCGCTTCTTTTTATTACACTTTAGTAGGACAAGCCTGCATATTTATTGCATTTATTGCATATTTTTATTTTGGTAGCCACAAAATTTTAAACGATATTAAAAAACGTATCAACCATAAATATGCAAATAACAGTATAAAGCAATTTTTAGTGATAAATAAAATACATACAAATATAAAAATTAGTTGAAATAGTTTCAGCCAGCGCGCCGAACATGCCAGCAATATGCTTGACGAAACGTCAGCGAGACAGAATCGACATAAGAAGCAGGAGAAATTCAGAAGATATGTACCTATAGGTGTTTATTTACTTAAAATATTAATATATATAACTTTCATTCCAAGTCGACAAGAAACTGAAATAACTTTCAATTAAAAAAAAATTAAAAAATATTTTAAATGTTTACTGACAACAAATGAACAATAGATAATAATAAAACAGTGTGTATTATGCGACACACTGGCTCTTCGTTCGTTGATCTTTTCAAGTAATATATGTTTGTACTTTTTTTAAAATAATGTTTATAATTTTTTAAAATATTTAAGCATATTGCTATTGGTTTCTCACGAAATTTTCCTTTGTAAAATTGGTATTGGTGAATAAATTCATTACTCTACTCTGCTTTATTCAAAATCTAAACTTTGTAATTGCTAATCGCAATAGAAGACTTTCTTGTGGACGAAATGCGAGCGAATCAGTTAAGCCTTAGTAATATGTTTGGTATTCTATAAAACATTAATAAAAAAGATATCAATTAATTGTTATGTTTTTATTAGCGAAATTGCCTTAAAACCATTAAATAGATATATTAAATAGATATTAAAAGCAAATCGCCATCTCATAAACGGGCAGGCGAACAAACGCCTACGGTACAGGCGATCATAATTTAAAAATCGCGCCGGGCGCTTATCTAACGTGCACAAAAATCCCCTTCCTATACACCTACCGACGGAAACAACATACAAGACACGTGATAATTAATGGCGCGAAATTAACGGTCAGCGAGCCCGACTCACTCACCATCCTGAAACACTCGCTCGACGTTCAGTCCGTAGGTGGCGCACGTCTCGTAATAGGAACACCTCTTCAGGTCTGTCGCCAATTTCCTCGCGCGGCAATCGTCGATCACGCGCGGGTTGTTTTCGCTGATTGCGTCTGAAAATAGCCCCACAAGGTTTTATCTGTAGATCGCACGATATCGCCGTAATCCCGATAGGCGATTTATCGATGTAATCATAAAACGCCAAATTGCAATTTTTTTTATTAACGGGTTATCCCTAAATTACGTCACAAATATATTTTGGGAGTAGGTCGAAACTTATAACAGACAAACAAAATGAGAATGAGAATGAAGAGCAGGAGTAAGAATCATGAAATTCCTATGACGAAATTTGTGGATCGCACCTTGATATCAAAATATGTCGCCTTCGGCTCTAATATTTAATTTTTTTATTTCTATTCTTTTTCTTGGCGGCTGAAAAATTGACAAAAATCGTTGCAGTCCAGTAGTTAACAATGGCTGTAAGAACACGTTTCGGCTACTTAGGTGGTTAACAACAGCTAAACACTGAAAGGATATAAAATGTGGAACAGATCGACAGCTGATGACCACTTGGTAGCAAGTGCTCGACAAAAGAATTTTATTATTCAGCTTTTGGTACAGAAAAATAATGTTTTGCTATCAACCAGTTACTTTTTTTTAATATATGTTTTTAACATATTTCAAAAATTAAAAAGTTGTTAACTTGGTATTAAAGAATCAGTCAAACAATTTTATTACCAACCTTTTTGTCGAGGAAGATGAATCATTTTTATAAAAACGTATTCTTGAAATGTATTCGAATTATTACAGGTTAGTTTTGATTCCCTTATTATATCATAAAACGCCAAATTGCATTTTTTCTAATTAAGGGGTCACAAATATATTTTGCGGGTAGATAGGTCACAACTGATGATAGACAAGCTTAATGGGCCAACTTGGGATGAGGAGGGGTAACAATTACAAAATTCCAATGCAAAAGTTGTGGATCGCACCTTGAGATCAAAATATGTCGCATATAGGTATCAAGGTGACTTAGGCTCTAATAGTTTTTTTTTCTTTTTTTCACCTGAAAAATTGCCAAAAATCGTTGCAATGCAGTAGATAAAAATAGCTCCTTGAACACGTTTCATCCATTTTTTTTTCAAAGAAACTTCCACAGGCTACTGTAATACTTTTTACAAAACTTCTGGATTCCTCCTGTGTCCTCAACAAAAACCGACGCAGGAGGAATCCAAAAGTTTTGTAAAAAGTACGTTTCATCCACTTAGGTGCTTGACAACAGCTATCGACAGCTGATGACCACTCGGTAGTAAATGCTCGACAAAAGAATTTTATTATTCAGCTTTCCTTACAGAAAGATAATGTTTTGCTATCAACCATTTAGTTTTTTTAAATATATTTTAAAAATTAAAAAGATGACCACTTGGTATTTAGGATCAGCCAACCAATTTTATTATCGACCTTTTTGCAGAGCAAGATCGACCCTTTTTATAAAAATATATTATTATATTATACATTACGTCACAAATATATTTTGGTAGTAGGTCGCAACTTATAATAGACAATCTTAATGGGGCAATTTGTGGATCGCACGTTGAGATCAAAATATGTCGCATATAGGTATCAAGATGCCTTGGGCTCTAATATATAATTAATTCATTTCTTTTCTGGAGTTATTTTTATAAAATTGCCAAAAAACGTTGCAGCGCAATAGTTAAAAATGGCTGGTAGAACACGTTTCAGTCACTACAACAGCTAAATACTAAAAGCATATAAAATGTGAATGATGACCACTTGGTAGAAAGACAAAAGAATTTTATTAAGATAATATTTTGCTACTAACCATTTACATTTTTTAAAATATATTATAAAATGTTAAAGTCATATTAAGCGATCAGCCAAACAATTGTATTATCAACCTTTTTGTAGAGGAAGGTCAACCATGTTTATAAAAATATATGATTGAAATATATGTATATACGGAATTAGTGCAGGTTAGTCTGGATTTAATTTTTATATATTATTTTATTATTCATGGGCATGTAGTGAGGTGCTTTTTATTTTAAATAAATGTTGTTTGACAAAGGAAACACCATCTGAAAATTTCCTATAATACAATTTAGTGATTCATCACCGTATAACATTTTGTTCTTAATACGAAGCGCTAAATAGAACGGAACAAATTGCGATATTGAAAAAAATATTTATTTAAAATTACAGCGTTTTAAGTGACAAACCAAATGCAAAGTTTGTTTCGGGCATAAAACTAAACAATTTTTAAAATAAATTATTTTAAGTTTACTTCGGTTTAGTAACTATACATCGAAAACTACTATAAAAATTAGAGACACAAAATTTTGAACCACAACATTTTATCCATCTTCCGTTTTGGCTCTCCGCAATTTTTACTTCTTTGAGTGCGCTTACCTTGCGTTCCAACTAGAATTAGTGGGATTTCGGCAGTGTTCCTATAATGGGACATTTTCGTGTAGTAATTGTATATGGCGTTGAATGAAGACTCGTTTTCGAGACTGAACACGAAAATGACAGCGTCCACCCAAGCTGTAAACTGAAACAAAAAAATCGTATTTGATTAGGTACCACCAAACAGATTATAATTGGTTGGAAAGTCGGAAAGATTGGAGGTTGGGGTACTTCAATTGGATACACCTTAAATTCTAAAATTTATAAACATGAATTATTGTAGCATATGATGTAATTAGTCAATTGACCACTTCTTAATTGACTAGTCAAAATATTTAATAACAATATTCATTTTACAATAAATTATTATGCGTTTGTGATGTCCAATTTAATAAAAATATCGACTCCATTTAGTTCTCAGAACGACGCGCCGGCGACTTGTAACGCACAATATAAATAAATATAAATTTCATTGTATTTTTAAAATTATTTCGGTCAATTGAAACAAAAAAAAATTTGACCGGTAAATGCCAAAATCCTAAATGTATTACTTCTTTTGTAGAAATACAAAATATTATGGAGAGACAATTATTTAAAAATATATTTCTTCCTGGTTGAGATATGAGGTATAGCTTTAACTCCGCCATTTCTAATAATAAATATAATAAATATATAATAAATAAATATTCAATAATCAATAGGTTTATATACAGTGAACAAGATAAGCATTACCTTATTAATGAATATAATATATATGTCAGCACCGCAAAATAACTATAACGCCAGTATACACAAAAAAAACAGTACCATAAACCATAAAGAACAAAATCTCTCTAAAGAGTACGCTACACCCAACAATTACAAAACCAAAGAACAGCTAACTAAAGCTAAAGTCAGTAAATGCATATAAAGAGAGGGTAATCGCAATTATTATACTTATACGCTTTTCCACCTCTATAATATGTTATAAGTTGAAAGCAGAGAATATCTGAAAATAACCTCAAAAAGGAAGAATACGTATGCAAGATTTAATCTTCCCACATTATTACAACAATTACCAAATAATATTATACAGCGGCGGAGACAAGACAAGGTGTGGCTAGACCTACGATAGCGAAATAGACACTGGAAAAAAGTGGTGGAGTCCAGGAATCATGGGCAAGATTTGTTTCTTGCAGCATTACTACAACAATTAGAGAACATTTTACAACGGTCTCTAACCTCAATTCTGTTTCCGTCCTCAACCAATCACCATTTGCGACATCGTCAGTGACCGAGGTCAGTGAGGTGATTCGCGTTGCTAAGTACATAGTGGTACTAAAAATGATTATACTTTTCTTTCAAAAATGGTTCTACCATTTAGACGGCAGCTTACAGAACTAAATAGATTTTGCTGCCCGTTGGTAAAACAACAAAAAAAAAACGCCTAACACCTTCTAACTACTTACGTATTTTTCCACATATTTACTCGAAATGAAAAACCGCAGAAAACCAACAAATAAAACAAATAAATCCGATCAAATTCACCAACGCGCGCCAAACGATTAGCTACGCAAGAAAACCAGTCGAGGACGCCGAAAACTACGAAGGGTTAACGGCAACGCGCCGCTCCGAGGGCATTTTCCATTTCCCGCCCTGTGTTGCCGTCCTCGTCGCCGTCACCGTCACGCCTATTAGACTTTCTTCGTCGCCAATTTTACTTTTCGGAATCGATAACGCCCCTTCCACCACTTGCAGCCCGACGTCGTCGCCGCTGGTCCCAGACAATGTATGTAGGGTATACGCTATATGCACGTCGCTGCACCGAGGGCCAAAGATAAGGGGAGAAAAAACGGAAAGGAAGATAAGATCTCGTTTGACGAGTGCATTTTGCCCGCGAGGTCGTTTTTATACTGCCTCCACGGTTTTTTCCTTTCATACAACGTCGGTCAAATATTTTTTTTTATATCAAAACGAAGAAGAGAGATCCATTAACAAAAATAGTTAAAAGACAGAACTCGCAAGTTGAAGATTCCCATTTAAGGGTTTGAAAATGTTACTTCATTCAGAATTGCAAACAATATTAAGAGAGGGGAGAAAATATTCCATATTCAATCTACGAAACAATTACAAATCGTCAACAATTAACATTCGTCACCATATTTATTTCTTATTTTGATGTTTAGTTTCATCGGTTTGGTTTTGGTTTGATCAGATAAGCACCCTTTAATCGGATTATTAAGGCTTAGAGAAATTCAATGGCCTTTTCCAACTCTTTATCAAGTTCTTTGTAGTTTTCAAATCTTCTTAAATGTTAATATTAGCAAAAGCCTACAATTATGGAAGTTACCTGCCGACGGCAATAGAACTCGGGTCCGCTAGGTATTAGAGGACAGAACCTTAGGGTCAGACTCTCAAACGTTTTGGTAATAATATATATTTTTTTTTGTTTATTTATTAGCTATTATCATATGATTTATGCTGTTTTGTATAGAAATGTAAGAGTTCTCAATTTTTATAATGTGCTGAACTCAATTTTTCCAGCTGTCAATTGGTATATTATTAATTACGTTTTTTATCAAATTTATAACACTCGGGCGTAAAGTAGGAGTAACATTTTCTGCTCTGACCTTTTGATTTTACTTGGTTCCTCCGCTCTATGGGGTTAAACATGCAATGATATGGAGGAACACTCCAGAAATATATCGGAAAGAAAAAAATTTACCTGGCCCGCCCCTGCCTTGTCACTCAAGTAAGAATACAAATTTTGGTAATGGCTTTATCCAATAACAATAGGTAATAACATCGTTAAAGTTTTATTGGGGAGGGTCCGTCCAAATCCAACACGATGACGATTGAGTCGGACAGGGACATCACATAACCATTGCAGTCTTTAGAAAGAACTGACCCTACTCTAAAACAAAATTTAAAATCGTCAAATCTAAAAATTATAATTAAATGTAGGAGTCCTCCTAAACATTAGCTTTCTGAAACTTTTAATATAGTTTTGTTCCATCACCCAACTGATTTTTTTGTCAGGCAAAAAACATTCATCGCATCAAAAAATCAGTTGAGTGGCAGGAATTTACAGTTCCGAATCGCGTTTTGACTGCGGTTTGAACAAAGCTAATATATTAACCCAGTTGGTTGGCATACGAGGTCACCTATCGTTTTCAACCAATAAGACCTAGCGTCTTTCAACAACCAACATGGCCGCTGACAATTCGTCAGGAGTCAGTTTAAATGTAGTGGACTAAATTCTTATATTATCCTAACCTTAATTTTCACGCAGGACTTAAGCCAAAAACAGTGGCAAGCCATTTGGTTCGACATTAATAATTGTTTGAATGTGTTCCTGTAGATTTGTACACATTTGGTTCATCAATATATTCTATTTGCACAACATCGCTAATTTAAGTTGAAAAAAGAAAGTTTGACTTCTAATAAAAGAGTATATAAGCGAGAGCGGGATAAGTTTTGCAAAACAACATGAATACGTGACCATCAAAACTGACAAACGTCAAAAAACCATAAGTAGCCAAAGTGGTTAACAAAGTCGACATCTTAAAGTGACACTTTTAGCACGCTTGGTGCATGATTGGGCATTTTAGAGTATGGGAGTAAAAAAAAACGAAAAATCAATTTCATAAAACTTACATTTTTTCTTACTGAAAGTTAAGATATAATCATCATTCTCGGGTCAAACGGATCCGTACTTTGCGCGTATCCATTAGGACGCTACCGGGGCATGAAAAATAAATAATTGATAATCGATGCGTGTCTCCGTTGGAATTCATACGGCGACACAAACGGTGCGGTTAAAAAGCGATTTCAATCAACCGCCATTAAAAAATATAATCGAACAAAAAAAGGCAACAGTTATACATATAATCGAACCGCCGGTTATAACGCGTACACCCGGGTGGTGGTGCGGCGCCCCATACGTAAAAATTCAAAATTTGTTGTTCCCAATTTCGTCTTGATAAGGGTGTAACATTACCCAGACCCATTAGACGTAGCGTGTGAAAATCCCTACTCGATTCGCACAAACAATAGAACGCTGAAGGTCTTCACGGCTGTTGTTTTAGGATACGCCGCTAGAGGGGGGAAACTTTGATTACCTGCAATTCGGGAGGGCCACCTTCGTCCCTGATCAGCAGCAAGTAGCTTTGATTGTCGACCAGGATCTCTTTTTTGAATCGCCCGCCCTCCGGCGATTCTTCTTGCATGTAAGAACCGGTCAGGTAGCGATGAACGAGCGCCGACTTGCCCGACGACAATGACCCGACGATTCCAAGGCGCAAGTCTGGAACTGATCGCGACAGCGTCCATTCTTGGGAATTGACGAAGGAATCTGCAAAGATATTTGCAATGAATTTCAATTTTCAATTTCAATTCAAATTTTAGTTCCGGCCATCGCACCTGTACGACGTACTGAGCTAAAGATTAATAACAATGGGGCCAAGTTAGTTAAATTGAAGTAGTATTGTATCTAATGCAACTTTCAGCATTTAGGATCAAACTGCAACACCGCGACTATTCGAGAAAGAGATTTCCCCTACCACTAGTACTTAAGGAATCACGTTGTTTTGACGAGTTTGTTTGGCTAGACACATGCAGGCTTTGTTTTCTCCTTATTTACAGGTTTCAAATGTTTCACTTTTATTACTAAAATAATTGAAGAGTGTTTACATTTGCCCCAGATATTTTGGGGTAAATGTAAACACGCTTTTTATTTTTTTTTATATTTCAGATGCCTCGAACATATGTGCGCAAGACCATATCCAGCATATCCAAAATAACACCTCATTAATGTTTAGAACCGCAACAAAACTTGCCGCAAAGCTCAAGAATATTATAATGTCCCTATTGCAGTAATTTCCCAAAGGATTAATGGACGCAAAATTTACATGGATTCCACTGGTCGAGGACGCAAAAGAGCAGTCTCTGTCCAGAGCGAAAAACCAAAAAACAAAAATCAATCACTGTACCATCAAAGGCCAAAATGACTGAAGAAGCATGGAAAAAAGGAAGATATGAAAACGAAGAGGCAGAAAAAAATAGAGAGTTCCTCAATTGACGATGATTCAATTGAATTCTTTAAAAGTGATTCAGAGAGCTTCTGGGAAGAAGATTTCAACAAAAATGAAGAAGTCACTCTGAAGATTTGAAAAATGGTGTTTTTGTTCCTGTCAAATTCACATCAAATTCACAGATGGTAAAAGAAATACTACTATACATAGATACTTGTGTTCTATAGAAGATAGTGACATTGAAGTAGTAGCACTCAAATCTATTGACGAAACATAGCAAAATTTCGCCATCAATAAAAGTGATCTTAGTTTTGTCTCTCAAGAGCAAATATTGGGAGTTCTATCTGTTCCCTTAATTAAAATGAAAGGCGGTAGAATCTTTTATCATTTTGAAAATAAAGTGCCTATTTCATGAAATATTATTTTAAAACCGATTTTGTTATTTGTTGTCCAACAATTTGTTTTCTTTACCTAATGTGTTACTATAAATTTTGTAATAAATTAGGCCTAGGTTTTTAAAAATAAAGTCAAATAACTTTGGGGTAAATGTAAACACTGGAAAAAATTAGCAAAAAACTATCTAATAGCCTATAAGGTTAATGTTCACATACACTCCTCAAGAAAATGCATTTTCTGGAACCTGTTTCGTGATATATATATTTACATTTTCCCAGAGTGGCCGGAATAAAGATAAGCATTGACAGATATTTTTTGTAATTTTTTTAAAGTTGTGAGATCGAGGGTTAGAAGTTAACAATTGAGAAGTACATTTTATTATTTTGCTAATGAATTACACCGGTATGGTGAATACATACACAAGTGTATTTGAGTATTACGCTAATTCTAGTCAATAGATTCCTCTGAAAATATCGACCCTTCACATTATTAGGTGACTGATATCGAAAATTTCTCAGATAAAGATTGGGAAAAAACATCATAACACTGAGAAAAAATGAATGTTGATTGTGTATCCAGAAGAAAACTAACCAAATTTGCTCCAAGCCCGATGAAGAACAAAGTTAACAAATGGTCCAACATCACCAGGCACTTGCTTAGCAGGATTTTTGGAAAAACTACGGTTGATCTAACCGTTATTCAATTGAATAAGACAACTGCAAACCAAACTGAAGTTCAAGGGTCTGCTAGGATTTTAATGGAAAAAATGCGAAACTAACCATTATTATAGTATGGTATTACGAATGACATGTATATAGGAGTTCTTTATTTTAATTCCCCATGCGTTAGACCACTTAACGTTTCTAAATTACACTGAAGATTAACAAGTTACGCGGCTGTTTATATTTAGCGTATTCCTAGATTTAATTATTATGACTCTTTTTTTTTTTGACAAGATTTTTTCCAAGAATAACAGTAAACGCGTTCTTGGTAAGGTCAGCATGTCGTGGGTCTGCTGTAAGATAACTAAAATTTGTATAGACAACAAAAGTAGTAGAGATTAAGTATTTTTATTTGTTTATATTTGATGGGGGTTGTAGTGCTAGAGATTGGTTAAAATATGAGACCCTAAGTAATTCTAGTGGCAAGTTAGTTCCGAAATCTGCTTAAGAATTTACTTTCATCAATATTTTAGAATTCTGGAAACACATAAAGGCGTGTTTTAGTTAGTCGTTTCAGAGAACAAGAAAATAGGACAATTATGGGGTGATAAATAATAATAACACTTGAACACAACAATATAAATACCACTAACAATAACACAAAGATTTAATTTACAATTTGAAACGTCCAAAATTCAGCGCATCCGTGCATAGGTTTTGGCAATGGATTCTAGGAAATAAGATCTAAAAGTAAAAACATTCAATCTTTTGCTGTTTCATTGGATATGAAAAAATGCGCGAGAACGTCACTGCCGATTTTAAAATAGCGTCAAGTAGCAATTCCTGCGTCACAATTTTGCAAATGTCGACAGCGACGTTGATGAAAATGCCTGACGCAGGAAATTAGGCAGCAAATTTGAACGGTTGATTGACAAACCTACTTTACGCGTATCTGCAGAAATGGCCAAGGCAATCGACGTCGTAATTATGTTGAAAGCCGAATAAATACCTCGACTTCGTCGGTGGCAGGAAATTAACCGATTTAGTTAAGATTATAGAAAAATGCTAAGTGTTTTGCATCTCCATATCTAACTTGATTACTATAGAGTGAAGTATGTAGATATATACCATCTTCTTATATTTAAATGGAGCATTAAACTATAGAAAAACTAATTCTTTGATGTATCGCATGCTACTAATTTTTTTTTTGATAATTCTAAAAAAAACGCTTATGTATTAAGATATAAAAATAGTTACGTTTAATTGTTTTTTAAATAACAGTAACAGTAAAAATTTTAGAAGCACTTAAAAGTGCCGAATATAACATAAAACAGTTACTTTTTTCGTTTCTTTCACTTCACTTATAATTTTTGATCTACGAGGGATATCAAAAACGTAAAATAATAAAAAAAACATAACACCGTCTTATTAACAAAAATCTAAAAGATAATTAATAAAATATTAATGGAACTAATAGAAGTAGAACGGTGCAGATTACATCAATGTATCTTGAATAACAACGCAATTTTCTCATAAGGACACCTCGAAAAAATGGACACCGAGTGCTCAAATCCAAACCGTACCCAAGTTTATACATTAAATAGGTGTATTTGTATTTACAGCAGATGCGAACGTAATAAGGGGTATTTTGTAGAGCCATATGAAATCCCCGTAAGCTATGTTTAAAATAAAGAGAAGTGTTATCTTTGTGACAGATGGGTAGCAAACAGTTTTCTTTTTTCAGTAACAAGGTCGCATCAAAATTGCCCACCGCAACTTAAGTTGGGACATTTATGATCCGATCTTCACAATAACGCATATTATGCGTTATTATCGCGAATTCCGTTATCTGCATTCGCGACTAGTTCCATTACCTACCGGTTTCAACAAAATAGAAAGTGTGTTTGTTGGTTTGCGAACGAGCTGACAATATTTTATAGCTAAATAACTTTCTTCGCAAGAATAGTCTATTGGCAATGAACTTTAGAGATGTTTAAAAGGAAACGTTCTTATAATATACAACGACCGATTTCTAGTCTTAGGATTAGCACTTTTGGTAAATGAATTTTTGATTCTTAAAACGCAATTTTAAAAAGTAATAAGCCAAATGTTGCATGTTGTTGAATGGGAAACCAAAGAAGTCCTATATAGGCTCCCAGTTAAATATCAATTAAATAAACTACAGAAATGCCAATATTCGAAAACAAAATCAGAAAATTCCTAGGTACTTGCCGTAACAAGAATTATTAACAAGAATTTTGTCAATTTAAAGAAAAAAAAATTGGTTAAAATGTGAAATAATTGTGATTTGTGTAGGATGTGTAATTGTTTCAAACAAGCCACTTACCAAAAAGAAAATATATATATATATATATATATATATATATATATATATATATATATATATATATATATATATATATATATATATATATATATATATATATATTAAAAGTACGCCAGGTAAAATAATACCTGGTATTTATTTATTTAATTAAACAAACAAGCTCACTCAACAGACTGATTGTAACAGACGAATTATAAACACGAATTGAACAAAGCAGAACACTAACACAGTTTATTAGAAGTACGCAAAAAAAAACAGCACAATATAATAAAGGGTGATTCAATAAGGGTTTCCATATTAAAATAATAAAAAAAACTCGGAAGAATATAAAAATATACAAACATTTTTATTGGCCATTTAAATCTAGGGGAGTAAGATCACATGATCGAGGCGGCCAATTGATATCGCCGTGAGATAATCCGACCGGGAAACTTGCCCCGCAGTAATTGCATCGTTTCTCTGGATGTGTGACAAGTGGCTCCATCCTGTTGGAACCACAAATCTTCAATGTCCATACCTTCCAACTGCTCCCAGAAAAAATCAGATATTATGTTTCGATAGCGAACACCATTAACCGTAACAGCGTTCTCCGCATTATCCTCGAAAAAAAAAGGGCCAATTATTCCTCCGCACCAAAATGCGCGGCAGTCACTTTTTGAGGATGCATTGCTTTTTGGACAATCTCTCTTGGATTTTCTAATCCCCACATACGAGCATTGTGTTTGTTTACAAAGCCACCAACGTGAAAATGTGCCTCATCGCTAAAGATGATTTTCGTTGAAAAATGAACCCCTTGGTCTCGTATCGATTCTGCAAAAACGCGGCGCTGTTGATGATCTCGAGGTTTCAACTCCTGAGTTATTTGGACTTTATATGGGTGGAGATGCAAGTCTTTTGTTAAAATTCGCTGTGTAGT